CATCTACTCCACATTGCGGTGTTGTGAGGAAAACGGTGTATCTGCTGGTAGGGTACTGTTGGGTATTGTTGTGTTGTATTGAAATATTCATGGTTCTTGTGTAAGTGGTGTTATTTAAACTGTGAGGGAACATCTCAGCAACCAGTAATTGTGTAGCTTCGTGTCTAAGTAGGGATTACCAAGAACTACATGTGTCTCAGCCATAAACACATCAGAGACAAATGAAAAGTATGGCCTTTTAAAAATTTCCGTGAATGTTTCTTTTCTTTTCAGATTATGTGCTGTCATTCAGGCATTTATATTAATTACAAGATTAAAGCTTTTTTGAAGGCCAAATGTAGGGATTCTAAGAACTTCATTTTTCAATTCATGCAAGTCGATCGATAATTTTTGATCGATATTGCAGTAGACTGTTTAGCAGAAGAAAATTTGATGAAGTTAATTTTTTTTCTTGGTAGCCGACATATAGAGAAATGGTGAATTTACATGACATTTTGTGTTCATATTCAATTATATTTTCACCTAGTTTTGTCTTTTTAGGGACTGAAATATGATGTATCATTTTAGTTTATAATTGATCGGTACCTACAAGAGGTATGCTTTATTAGCAAAACATTTCCAGTCCTAAAATATTTGTAAATTTATAGGAAATGATATACAGCACATGTTCAGCAGTGGTCCAGGTACTGCGGTAGCTGTGCTGCCAATATGTTCGAGACTATATGACTAGTGCTGTCTCCTCTCGTACGCTCCCTCAGTACAAACACGCTCCACAGCTCCATTAGGTGATTACGGCATTTTTCCGAGCCACTGCAGATAACATCAGATGCTTAGACGCATACATTAGCTTAAGGCAATAACTAGGATATTTATTTTTCATAATGGATTGTATCATTCTATTTACTTTATGCCACAGTCTGACATGAAATCCTGTGGGATTTCAGGACAGATTTAACCTCTGCTTCCATTAGTTAGGGGCCAAATGGAGGGAGCATTTAGCACAGCAAAATATCAAGTCAAAACAGAATCAATATGTGTGGCTCTTTAACGTCACAAGCATCTTCATCCTCACAACCAACTCACGATGAGAACATAGTTTTCTCAGACAGAAGAAGATTCATGGATTTGTTAAAGTAAAAATATTAAATTTAATGAAATGTGCATTTAGATTAGTCTGTAAAGGAGAATGACCAGATTAAAAAACGCTGTACAAACTGTGTTGAATAAGGATCATTAGCTTACCACACTGAGTTAATGTAAAACTCCTTTTTAGTCCTGTGTAAATAAAGCTTTGAAATATTGGCGAAAATACTATCAAACAAGTTTAAATGGCTCCCCATACGTTTGTTTCTTTACATCTTCCTAAGATAGTTTGGATGAAACAAATCTTTTATTGTTCTTATAAAAAATCTAGTTCTCTTTGATTTAATCACATCTAATACCTTTAATTATTACATCTACAAGTTTTGCATATTTCTAAAATACTTCCTATCCTGTAAGCTAGTCTGTTCCACCATCTTATGTTCCAGCCCTTACTGTAATGGCACAAAGTGAAGCTACAGGAAGGGTCTCCTTAAATGGAATATCTTGTTTTCAGAAATTATATGTCAGTCTCTTAACCTCCCTTTGTTTGTATTTCTTACCTCTACCCCTGGTGATGTTGGTTAGCAAAGATGGGAACCACAACAAAACATCTGGCCAAATAACAATGCTATAACTGTGGCCTGTGCTAATGTATGGAATTGCTTCATAGCACCACAAGTCAGACTGGGGCAGTATGTTAAGCACACTTCCACAGTCATTCTCCTGGCTAACTGATGTGGAAAATCACTGATCACCAGAACAAAGTATTCCAGCCAATCAGATCAATCTCTGTGGAAAGGTCATGGGACCAATCAGAGCTGTTCACTTATTCCTCATTGATGTTTTGGTCAAATACCAACCTTCATTGATAATATACAGAAATACAATCACAAATATTTGCTGAAATATCAGATAATGTAGGAACTCCTCTAAATGCCATTGAAAGGAGAAACGTAAGAACAGATAGGAAACAAGAGCAGAAATTAGAAGACATTTTTACAGCACATGTACCATTGTGAAAACACAGTACATACTGTTCCAGGAAGTACCATTTGTTTGGAGATCTCTGTATGTTGGGCAGTCATGTCTGTGTTAATTATGTTGACAAATATACTTTGTTTTGGAGAAACAATGCCAAGTGTTTAAGTCAATCAACCCTTCTTTGTCATGATGGTGTTCAAGCCAAAGGCCTATAGTACATGGGGCGGTGGGGTAGCCTAGTGGTTAAAGCGTTGGCTTGTCATGCCGAAGACCCGGGTTCGATTCCCTGCATGGGCACAATGTGTTAAGCCCATTTCTGGTGTCCCCGCCATGATATTGCTGGAATATTGCTAAAAGCGTTGTAAAACTAAACTCAGTCAGTCAGTCAGCCTATAGTACATAGTCTAGGGTGTGCTACATACCCATACACTTAGTTTTGTAACATGATAAACGAACAAAGATAATTTTGTCATAGTTTATATGTGGTCTTATTTCATCAATTGACAATATTTGGTGTGTTGTAGAAAAGGATACATGTTTTTCTCTTCAATTGCTAAACACTGACTCTACACTTAAAATGTGGTATTCTACTTCAGAACAACCATTATCAATTCCACAAAGCTACTTTTTCTAGAAATACCAACATATCTGCCTGATTCAATAATTAAATCACATCAGTAGAAAGGAAATCAAGAAGGCATTATTCTCAACTTACACAGATATACATTTTGACTTATTGTTCTGCTATGATAGTAGTCTTAAGTATGGTGTAGTTATTAGCTTTCCTCAAACTGAACAAGGTAAAATGTCTTTCTCGGATGGATGTATCTTTTAAGGTGGGTACTAAATAGCATGTTTGTCAAATCTACAAATCAGTGTATTCCTAAAGTACCTGTATATGTTATCAATACAGTAAAACACCTTTGTAACGAACTCCAGGGGACCACTGAAATTAGTTTGTTATATCCGTAGTTCGCTATTCACTTTTTTATATGATAATATAAGGTTTATTGAGGACTTTTAAAACAGTTCGCTATAGCAGTCAGTTCATTATATCCGTGTTCGTTATAAAAGTATTCTGTAATTAGTTTCAATTTACAGAGTCCTTTTTAACTTTATTTGACAATATTTGCTCATAACATCAGTGATAGCATCTTGATAAAGGATATTGCTTATCAATGGTTAAAGCTGTCACAGTGAGCCAAGCCCGCTGAGATGGGCACTCTCGTTTCCACCTTTCTGTCTTGAGAGATGACTATCAGTCATCCACACACTCTCGTGGAACTGGGGACAGGGTAGGACAGACATACTGCTAGATCATCCTTCACAGATGTAGTTACTGGTTTTCCCCACTGTGATAGAAGGTGACTGCAATCAATCTTAATGAATACGAGCTTCTAAATACTTTGATACGTTAGACATTAAGATTTATTGCTTTTGTTCATCGACAAATGGTTGAACGTTGTGAACAGTTTCATGTCGTCCTTTTCATAGCCATGTGTCATGTACAGCCACATGATATAGACATGAATTACTATCATGTGTGGCGTACTGATTTTATGAAAAGTGTGTCGTAATTCTTGTATATTTCAAACAAGACTAAAGGTAGTACATAAATTCTTACAAGAATTATGCTAAATCAGTGGGACTCATGTAAAAAAAATAATATTCACTACTTATAATTGCTTAATTCATTTAAGATTCCTTTGGAAATATACACTGATCAGGAACTGTCTTAGAAAATAACTCTTGACTGACATGAAAATCTTCAGCTATGGTGTAGTTTCCAGTGTCATCATGCTGGAAGACAATGGTTTATTGTGTTACAAAGGGGAAACTAGACTAACAACTAGTCTCTGAAATGAACATATTTTACTGAAAAAAAGTTCCTAGTAAAAAAAATATATATATATAATGAAAAGGAGCCCTGAGGAAATCTAGACTTGCCACATTTTCTAGACTTGCGTGGGCTTTCTTGGATATATTTACTTCAGGGTCTGTACGACAGACTAGGGGGAAACTTCCACTTGAGGTTGTAAGAGGAGGCACTAAATAGGTTGAATATGGAACATTAGTTTCTTGATTTAAGATTCTCTTTGTATTTCTCCTGGCATGGTAAAATGGGACTTTAAATAGGTTGAATATGGTACTGTAGTTTGTAGAGCCTCGCATTTCTCTTGAGACTGTCAGTGGGGATTCGAAATAGGTTGAATACGGTACTTCATATATCCTGGCGTGTACTGGTATTCACCATAAGGCTTTGTCTAGGATAGGTCTACCATATATTATCATTCCAAACGATGCCATTATCACATAACTTACTAATTGCATGAATTAACAGATGAATTACTGCATGCTAATTATATATATGTGGTTTACTGGTGATCCAAATATGGTGGTGTTGTTTGTGTGTCATAGAGAATTGATTGTGGATTATACATAGCCTATTTACTGTGACTGCAATTCAATCTTTGATAGAAGCCTCACAGGGTGTTCAGATTGTTTTCCTGCAAAGTTTAAATACTGATAAAAAACAACTGTCAAAAGATTTTTTGCCAATTAAATATGGCCGAGAAGGAATTGGATCGTGAGTTTTTGGTGCACTGTGTTTTACAGATTTATGTTTTGAGAACAAAAATTATCATGTGATTAAATTTTCAGTATATTCTTTAATTGTGGAAAGAAGTGAAGACAAAGATTTGCAAACCAAGATATCAGTGTTTTACGCTGTGTATGTAAACCACTGAATCCTCTTAGGTTTAGTGGATCTCACCTGACTAAAATTATAACTTTTGGGTTGAGATTATTGTATATCTAACATTTGTAACAATTAACCCAATTGGGATGAGGACACTAACAGTTGATCGTGTGACCTACCGGTACATGATATTGTTTACAATTTAGAAAACATGATATGTAATTTGCCATATTTTCAGATGTGGGTGTAAATCCTCCAGTGATGTCCGATCGGACATCGGAGACTGAGAGTCACGGTGATGACAGCGGACATATTTCAGGGACATCTGCAGAGAACACCCCTGAACACAAGTCCCGACATCATAGCCATCTGTCAATACCGTCACTTCGTACTGACGTCAACATCGTTGGAAGAGGTATTGTCATCCTGGTCGCTTCCCACTTGTGTCCATCAATACATACCTTACCTTCAGTATCTGTGTGGTATTCATAAAACATTCGTTGCAAGTTAAGTCTAATGGTGATGAAATGTAATGTTTATGCATTATTTTTTTTACAAATCTGCCTCTCAAATCTAATTTGGATAAAGCAGTCTTGGTTTTTTATCCACATATACCTGGTTAATTGATATGATGTTTAATATTCTATGCACGTTTAAATGGTAGATAATTTAGCAATATTATAACTCTGTTTCCTTTCATCAGACAAATTTTAGTGAAATTATAAATTTATGATATGATAACATTACATAATCTATACCCACACTTACTGAAATTAAGACTAAGTGTTAAACTTTGACAATCCTTAGTGACTGCCATTTTTTTACTGAGATTTCAGTGATTTGGATTATCTCCCCTGACAATGAAGTAATGATGAAATGCTTTGGTTTGGTTTATATACTGAACACTGAAAGTAAGGGATCATGAATGTTTTGGGAACTATATTTCTGTGAATGCTGAGTAAACAATATCATGAAATTGTCCCCATTCTTTTCAATATTCATTATTCTTTACTTAATTTGTCCAGTACATAATCCAACACTCCATCATCAGGGGAGATAATCCAAATCACATAAATGTAGTTCATAGTATCCCAGGTCAAGTTTGGTGCTCAGCACTAGTAAGATTGTCAAAGTCTATCACTTGCAGTAGGTACCACATAGCAGCTTTTCCTGTTGCCCGTCCATGTATCTGTATTTTGTAATCTGTGTGTGCAATGCCAGTGCAGTTTAGCAATGGTCACATCTCCTCGTGTTCACAATAAGCACTTTGCTTCCTGTGTGTTCTGGCTATCAGCCAGATGTCAATGTTGTGTGCATCACCCTCACCTGAACAGGTACATCATTACCCAGATGATCAGTATGCCATTCCACAAGGAAATCTCACTGCGACAAGCTTTTTGTCACTGCTGTCTACCTGTGAGTCTGTGACAGCCTGCACTGCACTGCGATAACCTTGTGGACTGGTTTGGAATAAAATAAGCTGACGCAAGATGGTCACACACCTGATGTGATGTGGAGCTGAGAGTAAAGAGGTTTTCTCGGGACTGCCTGTAAGCATGGCAGATTGTACACATGTGAAATCCTTCTCTTGAGGGTATGTGTGAAAATGAGTTGTCCCCCCTCTGAGATGTGTGATAATGAGTTGTCTCCCCTGGTCCCATAGCCGCAAGACAGAGAAGAGGAAGATGAAGACATAGATGACCTGGTTGCGTCTCACAAGTCTCTTGGCAGTTTACGTGGTAGTCGTGGCAACCTTTATTCCAGTCTTACAGTAAGTCCGTCTCACACACTGAAGGGTTCTATGGAGCAAAAATCCCTTCTCTTTTGCGCGTGTTCTGATTGTAATAATACTCATTTTTTACTGTACTAATATTTAATTGATAAATTGCAATCAAAACTGAAAAAAACATTTACGGTATAGCTTATTTGTGGTAGCGACTACAGGTGAAAAGATGTGTCGAAAATGGATATATTTATACATAACCGTCATTTTCAGCGTTCAAGCACTCTGTCATCGGTAACAGTAATTAGAATTTTTGCATGGAACATATAAAGCACTGATAGTTCTTCTTAATGAAATATCAACATACAAGGTGTTTGGTTATTGGCAGAAGTTTCATTTTCCAATTTTATGTATATATTTTCTTTTAAGTTTTCATAACACACAGAGAAATAATGATTACTTTATGAGGCTATGGGAACTATTCATTCAACAATATTTTTATGTTTACTGTTTTGGTGGATTGTCTTTACTATCAACAGTGAGAAATAATTACTTTTACTGAAAAAAAACACTTTCAGATGATGGGAAAGAAAGCCGTCAGTTTTGTTAGAAATTGAAGTTTGTTGTTATGACTAAACACCAGAACGTTTGAGTTATCTGAATTATGATTTAACATCGTTCACTTAAACAATATGTGACACATTTTAACAAACTAACAATATTTTAAATTAAATAGATATAGCTTTCTGATAGAAAACTAAATACTAAAAAACTAATAACCTCTTGATAATACAGCAAAAACAGTCATAACCAGCAGTGAGTGGTTCATGCTGCAGTGTGTGGTGGTAGTGCCTTTTAGATCCATCTTCAAACAAATTCAGCTTCTTTCATCAGACCTTAGCTGGTGCAACATTGATGTAAACTTTGATTAATTAAATATTTACTAGTTTGACCCAATCGGATACTAATCTAGCAATAAGCTATCAGTATAATGACTTCATGTTTTCAGTGCTTCATATAAAATGATTTGCTCCGTCAAAGCACAGGAATTCATGACAGTACCTGACTTATGTTTGTTTTGTAAATTCCTCTGAGAGACGTATGTACATTAGTAACACGATAGTGTTTATACCAGTGACAGAGCTTCAACTTAATTACTTACATACTTCCTGCAGTGGAATGTCGGCTATGGACGTACCCCATGGCACATGTGAAGTAGGATGTGATCTCACTTCGAGTTTCATGTCATTTATTTCCTCATGGTTCAATGGCACTGCTCAGCAATATTACAGCTATGCAAAGCATGTAGATATCGAGTTCAAAAGTCTAGTGGTTGATATTTTGAGCAATGATGCACATGAGTGAGTGAGTTAAGTTTCACGGCGGACTCAGCAATATTCCAGCTATATGGCGGCAGTCTGTACATAATACAGTCTGGACCAGACAATCCAGTGATCAACAGCATGAGCATTGATCTGCACAATTGGGAACCGATGACATGTGTCAACCAAGTCAGCAAGTCTGACAACCCGATCCCATTAGTCGCCTCTTACGACAAGCATGGGTTACTGGAGATCAATCCTAACCGGATCTTCATGGGTCCATGTATGATGACACGCAATCAGCCAGTCCTCAGAATTTGACCACCCAATCCACTCACCAGAACAACTAATAGTTTCCTGGTGGCCTACTCTAAACCACAATCCCTCTCACTGGGTTTTTATGATGTAACAAATGCTGATGATAATAATAATAATAATAATAATAATAATATTATTGCTTATAAATCTTCATTGCCGGTAACAAAGGAAGATTTGTATTGTGTTGTTTAGAGGGTATTCAGGTGTTTTTTGTTTCATGGTAACTAACATCTGTGTCATTGCTGCTAACAGGCCACACCCACAACCATGAGCTCCTTGCACTGTAGTACACATGTATTTGGCCTTCACTTCACGCTAGTATCAGCAGCTTTCTAACTTTCTGTATACTCCACAACAGTGTGCCTCTCTTTGCTTGTCAGTGTGTCACCTTGCAAATAGTCAAGACGTTTTTATAATAACAGTTTTATGGTTGTATATGTACGATTCATTTTCAGTGAAGCTCCTCAAAAGTTGTTTAGACAGCGGTTACAGCAATCATGCATTAGCTTATCAAGTTGTTGATTTTAACTATTTAAACAGGTTGTTTTCTCTTTTTTATTGTTGTTAATTGGTGATTAGTTTTTACCATAACTATATGAATTTTTTTAAATAACTTATATTTCAGGTTGTTGGTTTCAGAGTTTTTCTTTATTGAGGTAGAGGGTTACAAAAAGTCATATTTAAATGTCTAACTATTTAATTATTTCACTTCTTTTATTTGAAACTGCACCAATCAGTACTGACATGCCTAGGGTGGATGGCAGACATATACATATCACACTCAAAGAACTGTTTCTGATATTTTCTGTCAGTTCTAATGGTCACGGTAACACTGAAATATTTAGAGAGTGCCCCAGCTGTAATGGATCCAGGTTGCCTGCCAAAGATTTAATAGTGACCGGTCCTGCTAATGAATTGTGGTTAATTCCACGGTAATAAGGGACAATAATCCGCAAGTTGGTACATAAAGCAAAAATTGAAATGACTGGTTTAAGTTTCCCTATGTAAATACAGACGGAATATTACTGACTGCAGTTTAAAGTGAAACTCCGATTTTCATTCAGACATAGCAAAACATTGATAAAAAACCTTCAGAATCAGAGGATGGCAATGCTTTAATGCAACATATTTGTTGCTGCCATCATAGTTTTCACCACTGCCATTATTTTGTTGAGGGGAGTTCTGGACATGTCTCAAACCAATAACGAAAGCCAAACTGAATTTTTGTATAAAGGAAAATGAGTAAATTATATCTATCTTCAGAATGTAAGAAAATACTGTAAATTTACATGTTAGTAATTTGAGGAAGTTCTTCTTAATGCTGATCTTACTCCAATTCTCCCGAAGCAGGCCCCATTTTACATCAGTTGTATTGTGCGTATTACAGGACAGTCGGGAGAGTTTGTACAGTGTGTACAGCGATGCTGGGGAGATCAACTTCGGGAAGATCCCTGCCACCGGGGAGATACTGTTTGGACTTGACTACAACTACAAGACTGGGGCCTTGGAAATACACATCAAGCAGTGCAAGGATATTGCACCAGTCGATACAAAAAAGGAATCGTTCAGATCCGTGAGTTTACTGTACCACTCAGTGATTCATAAATACCCTAAATGAAATGGCAATGGGGAAAAGAAATAACAATTGATTACAAGGTACATCCTATAACTACATAGTAAGGGGAGACAACTAACACATTGCCTTGTCAGGTGATGAAGGGGAGATAACTCTGATCAGATTGCTACAACTTCTGTTGCAGATATGTGAAGACCTACCTTCTGCCAGACAAGACGCGGAGTGGAAAGAGGAAAACCAAGATCAAGAAGCACACGCTCAGCCCCACATTTGATGAAGTGTTGAGAGTAGGTTGAGTTTCCACTATTCAGCTAAAACATATTGACAACCACTTTGGATCGGGTCTGTTTAGGCATTGAGATTATACTATCATTCAGTATGTTATAGTATCTGTGTTAAATATGTAGGAGATGCTAAACCATCAGGTAAATACAATAAAAGAAAGATACAAAAACTCACCAAAAGGCTGTCTGTGTGAATGATATTTCTGTTGGAGGGATGGTGCGAGGATTCTGGGATACTTCTATTTCTGTAGTATGATTTATTCCAGAAAACACTACAAACACCTCAGCTGATAGATTGTGTTAATGGATTCCAAGTTAACAAAGCCTCACTTTGTGTTACAATCATCATACATTGTCTGTTCTCAATGTTTTAAAGTATACATTGCCATGTTACAGTATGTCATCTCAAAGAGCGAAGTTGAGAACAGAGCATTATGGGTAACAGTGTGGCACAATGACCGATTTGGCAGAAATGACTTCCTTGGGGAAGTGATGATTCCCATGGACTGCTACAAGTTTGGCGACGCCTCCCCCAAGTGGTACCCCCTTCAAGACAGAGTAAGCCATTGTGCCCCTACAAGCTAGGCAACGCATTTAAGAACTGATGTTGCAGGATTTAATAGGGCATTGTTTGATTTTAAAAGTAGAACTTCTATGCAAGCATTATAACAAAAACAAATACAACTCCCTTCGGTAGTACTTGCAGAAATTCTACAGCAAGTCAACTATATATTACCCTGTAGCCTGCCCACACATCCCATACACAAAAGAGCCTAGATCAATTCCCTACATGGATGTAGAGCAAAGAACGTAGTTCTATTACATATGCTGAGTTGAAACATTCCAATATAGGTGTCATATACAATGTATATGCATGTAAGTATAAATGAGAGAGTTATGCCCCTTATTTTTGCAGTTGGAAGCCCCAGGTGCCCAGCCAGTTTCCTACAAGGGTGATCTTGTCGTGTCGATTAAGTTCGTGACAGCCGAGAACCTGGAGAACGATGGTTCTCGGAAGGGCAAGTCTAAGAAGGGCAAGGGGCCCCCTAGGGGGGAAATGCAGGTGCTTGTGAAGGAGGCCAAGAATCTGACAGCTGTGCGGTCTAATGGCTCCTCAGACCCCTTCTGTAAAGCGTATGTACAACTGGAGTATCATTGCCAGAGCTAGACTTGATGACGTATTGGATGTCTTATGTCCAGTGTGCAGTTTTCTCACTATAATATATACTGTCAATTTGTAATAATATTTTATGCTTTCCAATTACTGATGAGAAGCTGGTCAGTGGTTTAGATACAGACAGTTTGGATACAAGTATTACAGGATTACACCTGTGCAAATGTGATCTTCAAGCAATCATATGATAATTGCAGTGCTAAGATCACTTTGTGCTAGGGGACATGGCCAGTATTGTTGTTTTCCAAATATTGACAAATCCAGAATATTTCATCCAGTGTTTGCAGCAGTGTTTGACATAAAGGGTCAAACAAGAGATAAAAGATATTTTGCCTTAGTTAGTGATATTTTGAGATGAGTTTGTTTTACAATTTTTCGAGCATTGTTTGGTACGTAGGATTCACTGTATGTTCTGGTGTTGTACAGCTACCTTCTGCCTGAGAAGCACAAGAGTAGTAAGCAGAAGTCTGCCGTGGTGAAGCGGAACTGCAATCCCACATGGAATCACGTGTTCCTGTTCGAGGACGTGAGTCAGGAGGAAATGAAGGACCGCAGCCTGGAGCTGACCATCTGGGACTATGACAAGATCACCAGCAATGACTTCCTGGGAGGCGTCAGACTCAACTTAGGAACAGGTATGACCACTCCCGTTGCCTGCAATAGCATGCAAGAACGCTGATTATGCATCATTCATCGATAATTGCTCATTCACTTGCTCGGGAATTCTAATCTGAAGAGGAAACTATTGAAATGCTACTTTTTTCTAATCAGTCAAAAGGATGTATTCAGTGATTTTGCTTGTCTCCTTCAATGAAAGATAGCCAAGAGGTGAAGAATTTCTTTCAAAATCCAGCTGAAACAATGTATTAAAGCCAGAAGAAGGTCAGCACAGAGGTTTCCACTGACATTTTGGGTTTGGTAATCTGATGTATTTTGTGCTCATTGGTTATAATGTTTTTCCATCAAGTGGACCCAAATCAAGGCTCACTGTTTGTGTCTTCAGGTGTGTCATCAGGCAAGACTGTGGAGTGGATGGATGCACGAGGGGAAGAGATCGCCATATGGCAGTCCTGTATGGACCGACCAAACTGCTGGAATGATGGAACCATCGGTCTCCGGGCAACCATGGGCAAGAGTGAGATACGCAAATAACACCTGCTGGATCTAGCCAATCACATTATTCATAGTGGTGTTTGTGTACATACATGGATTAGTCACGTACTTTAAGTATGCTGTTTATGTGGACGTATTGAACGATTATTGTGAGACAATTGGCCTTTCCCTTGCTCTGCCTTGTATTATCAAGCCAATATTCTTGACAAGGTTGCCCTTGATTTATACAGTTCTACCTGTGACAGTGTGAGCCTAGTGTTCGTGTTGTAGGCAACACTAGTTGTTGCTCTGTAGCCAGTGGAGACTAGATCAAGTCACTCCCATCGGAGTCTAAATCAGAATAGCTCATCAGTTCAGTAGTTATTGAAATGATAGAAAAGTTGCACAAAACTCATATTCAGACCATGGGACAGTCCTTTCTGTTCACATGGGAAATGAAGCTGTCAATTCTGTCATATGGGGGATTCATGCTATGTGACTGTCCGTTCTGTTAACATGAGGGAATCAAGCCATGGAACAGTCCACTGGGTTAACATGGAATCAAGCCATGGGGCAGTCCACTGTGTTAACATGGGGGAATGAAGCCATGGAACAGTCTATTTTGTTAACATGGGGGATTCAAGCCATGGGACAGTCCACTGTGATAACATGAGGGAATGAAGCCATGGGACAGTCCACTGTGATAACATGGGGGAATGAAGCCATGGAACAGTCCATTGTGTTAACATGGGGGATTCAAGCCATGGAACAGTCCACTGTGATAACATGGGGGAATGAAGCCATGGGACAGTCCATGGTGTTAACATGGGGAGAATCAAGCCATGGAACAGTCCACTGGGTTAACATGGAATCAAGTCATGGGGCAGTCCAGTGTTAACATGGGGGAATCAAGCCATGGAACAGTCCACTGTGTTAACATGGGGGAATCAAGCCATGGAACAGTCCACTGTGTTAACATCGGGGAATAAAGCCATGGGACAGTCCACTGTGTTAACATCGGGGAATAAAGCCATGGTACAGTCCACTGTGTTAACATCGGGGAATCAAGCCATGGGAGAATCCATGGCAGAATCAAACCAAAGAAGCATCCATTCTATCAACATAGCATACCTGGTGTTTCTGTTTGTGGGTTGAATGGGCAGTGCTGTAAGTTTTGTGGAGCTTGTTTACAAACAAGGCTTTGCAGCAGTTGGGGGGATGGGGTTGGGAGGCAATTATAGTTTGTCTGCTGTGGATCCGTCTCTCCTTCATCAAACATTGACATGTGAATATGCGTGTTATATTGTGTCATACAGTCATATGTTACATGTAAAGTCATTTGTCAAGAATTTTAATATGAGTGCTACTGAACATGAGAGATAAATGCTAAAAATAATATATTATGATATACAGTTTTTAGCAAGGCAAATTAATGTGGTATGAGCACATTAACAATACATTCATGTATCGAAAAATGTTAACTGTTTCAGGTGTAGGTTATCAACCCTATTCAGTAACAAATGTTCAAATTTTCAGAGGGGTATTATGTCGCAGTTGCCAGAGCCTATCCTTCAGATGTATATATGATAATATATAATAATGATAATCTGAATAAATATTATTTATCTTTATTTAATTTGGGGTTGATGACTTTAGACTCCTTTTATTGATCTGTAAACAAAATATACGAGTTATTAGTTCACCCCAAATATACTAGTACAGGAAGTGGCTGTGATTCTGCTCAAAGGCTTGTGTACAATATATTTAGCAGTTATTCAAAATGCCTGAAATAATAAGATTTGAGTTAGGTACAGTGGAAGCTGTCAAAGCCGGCAGTTGTCCAATCCGGCAAGTTGTCAACACTGGCATAAAATCTCAGTCCCGTCCGTGGCTAGTGCAATTATCATCATTTAAAAGCTCTGCAATCCGGCAGCTGTCAATTCTGGATCTCGGCATGAAATGAGCCGTCCGAATGTGAGTTTATACTGTAATCAGCATTGTCTAATCCAGCGCGTGGCGGGTTCGGCCTGATGTGTATTGTCACCAATTAAACTGTTGAAACTACATGGTTGCCGACAAAGACATTTTAATCTTAGTTCAGCATTGGTATACTTGTACATGTAACTGGTGAGTTGACATGTTTTATTGTGATAGAACAATGTATATGAGAGTGACAAAACTTGTTCACTTCTAGTCGGAGGTAACCATGTCATCTGTACAATCCGGCACGCTGTCTAAACCGGATTATTTCTTTAGTCCCGACGAGTGCCGGTTTAGACAGCTTCCACTGTATGTTGAAATATTTCATGTCAGTCCATGTCGTTCATTAAATATGTGATCATACACTGTTTGTGTCAAACTTTGATGTGTCGAAGTTGTCGCCAAGTAATATCTTGGTCACTACATATTCCTCCCTGCGTCATCATAGCATTTGTGTTGAACTTCGAATACCCAAAATATTGACGTAGGTCCCTTCAACTTGGACAAAGTGGTGTCTGACTGTTACTAAGCTGGCAGTGGGACTGAAGCCAAGGACAGAGTTCTACTCTGTGTGACACGGCTCGTGTGATGGTGGTGCAAGTGGTGAGAGTGGAGTACAGTGTGGGTGAGTCGCACTACAGTGTGGGTGAGTCGCACTACAGTGTGGATGAGTCGCACTACAGTGTGGATGGAAAGAGTCACACTACAGTGTGGATGAGTTGCACTACAGTGTGGGTGAGTCGCACTACAATGTGGGTGAGTCGCACTACAGTGTGGGTGAGTCGCATTACAATGTGGATGAGTTGCACTATATTGATGGTGGAGTTGCACTATATTGATGGTGAGTCACTACAGTTTGGGTGAGTCGCACTACAGTGTGGGTGAGTCACACTACAGTGTGAGTAGGTCACACTACAGTTTGGGTGAGTCACACTACAGTGTGAGTGAGTCACACTACAGTGTTAGTGAGTCACACTACAATGTGGATGAGTCGCACTACAGTGTGGGTGAGTCACACTACAGTGTGAGTGAGTCACACTACAGTGTGGATGAGTTGCACTATATTGTGGGTGAGTCACTACAGTTTGGGTGAGTCACACTACAGTGTGGGGGAGTCACACTACAGTGCGGATGAGTTGCACTATATTGTGGGTGAGTCACTACAGTTTGAGTGAGTCGCACTACAGTGTGGGTGAGTCCCACTACAGTGTGGATGAGTTGCACTATATTGTGGGTGAGTCACTACAGTTTGGGTGAGTCACACTACAGTGTGGATGAGTCACTATAGTGATGGCGATGAGTTGCACTATATTGATGGCGAGTCACTACAGTATGGGTGAGTCCCACTACAGTGTGGGTGAGTTGCACTATATTGTGGGTGAGTCACTACAGTTTGGGTGAGTCACACTACATTGTGGGTGAGTCACACTACAGTGTGAGTTAGTCACACTACAGTTTGGGTGAGTCGCACTACAATGTGGATGAGTTGCACTATATTGATGGCGAGTCACTACAGTATGGGTGAGTCACACTACAGTATGGGTGAGTCGCACTACAGTGTGGGTGAGTCGCACTACAGTGTGGGTGAGGGGCACTTCAGTGTGGGTGAGGTGCACATTTTAAATGTGGGTGAGTCACACTGTAGTGTGGGTGAGTTGCACTTCAGTGTGGGTGAGTCACACTGTAGTGTGGGTGAGGTGCGCTTCATGTAGGTGAGTCGATTGTTTATGCCCCAGGATATGACTGTACAATTGAAGTGTTCATTAGTCTTACAATCAAGAGATATCCTTTAATGTACCTTAAAAACATTCATGTTTACTGATAATATCCCAAGCCAAGTCACTGTGTCACTGGAAGTGTTGGGTGTGCATGTCCCAAGTCACTGTGTCACTGGAAGTGTTGGGTGTGCATGTCCCAAGTCACTGTGTCACTGGAAGTGTTGGGTGTGCATGTCCCAAGCCGCTGTGAGCCACTGGAAGTGTTGGGTGTGCATGTCCCAAGCCGCTGTGTATGACATTTGTAAATAGACTCTCCCAATGTCTGTGTTTATATTTTCACACATTCAGAGCTTTCTATCTGTCTTACTGTACAGTTTATACTTGTTGAAGTTTATACCTTTTTTTATATATATTTTCTCTTTCTATACATATTGTACAAATCAGTTTCGTTTCTGACTTCGTTATCCTTGGCTGGAACCAAGATGTATCATTAGTTAACAGGCAGATTAGTTGGGGCCATTAGATCTGTTGTGTCATGTATATCTAGGTACTATGCACCCACATTTTGACATGATACCAATTCTTCAATACTGCCGATATAATAATTTCGTGGGAGACGTGTCTGCATCAGTGAATGATGTGTAGAACCAAACTGTAGTCAGTTCAGTGATGTGTAGAGCCAAACTGTAGTCTGTTCAGTGATGTGTAGAGCCAAGCTGTAGTCAGTTCAGTGATGTGTAGAGCCAAACTGTAGTCAGTTCAGTGATGTGTAGAACCATGCTGTAGTCAGTTCAGTGATGTGTTTCGCTCTATCTGTATTGAACAAACGCAGTATCTAAAGAATATTGACTGTGTACAAGGTTAATATATAATCTATCTTGTTAAAACCAGATCTTGCACTTCAGTACCCCTTCAGTGACATCAAGGTCAGAGGACACCTCTACAGGTCATAACAGCCGAACTCCAACTTTGACTGCCCAATCAAAATGAAGGATGCATAGGTTCTTGAGCCAATCAAAGTCAGCTTTCTAAAATGATTGATCTTCATTTCTTCACCCCCTATATCTACGAAAATTATCTCATCACGGAATGCAGATGTACCATCTATAGTAAGCATTTCAGGTGTAGATGCCACAGTGTTTACAGGGTGTATAAAAAGTCCACAAGAATAAATTAGGAATACATTATTATATGTGCATTCTGGTTTCATCAATTATTGTTTGTGCTTGTCAAACTTGCTTGCATGAATATATGTACAAAGAATTTAGAAGTCTTGACACTGAGTGCTCGATCAGAAAGTTCACCTGATGCTACCTCCTGGGAGGTGACCTTGGTTCTTCGTGCAGAGATGTATTGTGTCAGGATTAAAAGATTTGATTAGAACATATCATTAGAGCACAGCTAAAGGCTCTGATCTAATGTGTGTTCATTGTTTGGGTCAAGAGTGGTACATTTTTATCCAGATAATAGTATCCAACCAAAATTCTTTAACTGACGGTGGCACTTAATCTACCTCAACATTGACACAGACCCCTTGGCTGTGGGTTGGAGTGGAAAGTGCTGTTTGTGCAAAGTGCTCATGGATTTCACAGACAATCTTTCTGGGAAACTATAGTACTTGGCTGTGCTCTAAGTAGATAGAGGACTTGTGACAAGTATTTCATGAGGAAATACATGTGTTTACAAATTCTTTGCCACTGTACAATGATAAAATGGGCAGTTCACTTGAACACTGTTTTCTTTTTCTGTTTCTAAAGTTTCCTTCAGCAAAATCATATCTTAAATATTGTATATTAAATAAACATAATATGATAAAAGGGTGGGATAAAGGAAGTTATACATTCATGTGTTTACAAATCATGAATTTTAGGAATACCTTATGTATTACCTGTATGCTTTGCTGGAGGCATGCTTAATAAAATATTGATTCCCAACATTAACTATCATATAGAAACATTGTGTGCAAATAGTATCTTGTCCTCCTCCATGATGGTAATGGACCTATTAACCAAACTGTGATATACGTTTGTGGAAGATTTAACCTTTTGTCAGTGCTATGATTGGTCATATGTATTGGTGACCTTGCCCTTGTATCTGTTTTTAGTATTGATGTTAGTCCTGTTTCTTTATTACCATCAAAGACATGGATTGACTACTGTTGGTTGGAGAATTATGTAGGTCTTTTCATCTTGGTGTTTATAGAATTGAAACCTGCTTGACCTAAAGTGTACTTGTTAAAATTATCCTTACGAGTTTACAGTTTAGTTTATCATGGTAACAAACCCTTAAAACACCCATGTACACAATCTCATTGGCCTAAATATAATGTGTACGTTATAACTGACATCAGAGAATTATACTGATATACATCTGGGCCTGTTTCATAAAGCCTTGCTATGGCTATCGTAACTCTTATGATATAGAATTGACAAATGCTTTGTTAATGCCCAGATTCCTATACCATTATATCACTGGGCAATATGTCCGTTATATATTCAGCCTAGCTGATGTTGTTCCAGCATATTTACCGGGTATACAATGAAATCCTATGTACAGTTTCTTAGTTATTTGACAATCACTCTGGGTTAGACAAACTCAGGCTGATGCTCAATCTGTCCATGTTAGTTGCTACGGGATTTCTTTTGTTTGGACTACTTTCTGACAAACCTTTAGTGTTTGACTTATAGATATTTCTCCATCATAGATCATGTGTAAATAATCCTGGCTTGTCTCTAGAAAACTAAGTATGCAAAAATTCACTATGGAAATACTCATGTTGAGATATGTGATTACTTTGTTTTTATAATTTCAGATCAAATCGACTTGCCAATGTATTTCATATGCTATCTTTGTATATAAACATATATAAATATATGGCTGGGTTCTATTGCAAACGATATATATAATACTTACTATGTACTAGGTGCAATCTTTTATCCAATTTTCACTCATTTCTCATTAAATACTGATCTAAACAGCTGAGTAGTTGTGTATTTTTGGTGCAAGTGGAGTGTTCGGTTTGCAACATCCAGCTTTATAATGTCACGTCTGGACCTATATTTCTACCTGGAATCCCCAGAGATGACATGTGACAAGTACAAGCTCCAGGCCACTCCAAGATGTGTGGACACTTGGAATCTATGACCAAGTACAGTGAGTGAGTGAGTTTAGGTTTACGCTGAACTCAACAATATTCCAGCTATATGGCGGTGGTCTGTAAATAATCAAGCCTGGACCAGACAATCCAGTGATCAACAGCATTTGGGAACCGATGACATGTGTCAACCAAGTCAGCGAGCCTGACCACCCGATCCTGTCAGTCGCCTCTTACGACAAGCATGGGTTACTAAGATCAATTCACACTTATCAGAGGGGTACACAAAATCAGTGGTCTAGACTACCAGTTGTCTAACATCCATTTTGTGGATGCCACGGTAGCTGAGTGGGTTAGATGGCTGACTTTGTGTGCTGGCGATTAGGTGCCCGACTCTGAGAATGTGGGTTCGAAACCCTGGATGGGACTCAACCCAAAAGTACTAGAAACTGTACTTTACTGAGAAAGTGTTATCCCAAATATAACATAGGTTACATTTGACCACTTGCTAAATGGCATTGTGTATTTTCAAGCACAACCAAGGTGAACTTTCATCTTTAAACATCAAGGAAACAACAACACTAGTCCTGTTGATAACATAAATGGTTTATTCCATGATATATCTGTGTCTGACACCAGCCAGGTCGATTGTAATGACGAGACTTCGTGGGTCCTTCCGGTTCTTCTTACAGATGACCTTGCCCTCTAACTTCTCTCCTGCAAACAATCAGTGAGTGAGTGTAAGTAAAGAAGGCAGTGAATGTTGTTGAGCCAGTCAGCAGAATCCACCCTGGATGACCTAAGCCATGTAATAATGACAGCACATTTTCAGATGTATAACACCCAGTGAAGTCATGCCATGCATAAACCAACCATAACATTTATTTCCCGGCCATCGCCGTTGTATTAATTCTTGGAGATGTTATAAATCTTGCAGAACCCTTAAATATGTCTTATGCTTCAAAATATCACACTGGTAAACAAAATGTATTCTGTCCTTACAGTGTATAGATTGAGGCACTTTACATCCGTGTCCATGCTCACAGATTCACACACACACACTTCCATCTCACCTTTCCTTACAGTCCTGGGTTTGTCCAGGAGAAACACGGTCTGCTTCCAGTGTGTGGCTGGACTCCCCGGCGATGTGGAGAAGCTCACCTGGAATACAGCACAACAAATACTTACAAATAATGACTGATTTCATATTTACTATGACATGCTACTTATGACTAACAAATGTATTGAAACATTTCATACCTTTACAAAATCATACACAATACCATACCATATACAATTGTTTACTTATGTTTATTTGAACTATAGTAGAAATGATCTGGTTCCATGGAGACACTGAATACTATTTTCATGACAACTTATCAACTGATTCATCTCATTCAGCCCAAATTATGAAATTCAGACTATTCCAATAAAGAGTTGAGTTGTAGCTTTAGCAAGTACATCTGCAATATAACCAGGGTTTTTATTATTACCCCTACTATTGACAGATAAAATACAATATGTATATTCCCATCAAGGCAATGTAAAGATGCCTTCTTCTCTAACCTGCCTTCTTCTCTAACCCCTGCCTGAGTCAAAGTAGGACCTGAGTTATTCAATTCACTGCGGCATGGTATCAGTGGGCTAGCACTATGACAACCTAGTACAAGCAGCCACACTTAATAACTTATACACTTTCTCAGGTCATAACAAACAACCCTTAATAACTTATACACTTTCTAGGGATAACAAACACTCTCACCTTTGTATTACATCCCTTCTCGAAGAAGATGTCAAAGTAGCCTACTATCGCTGATAGGCAGCCATCATGTGTGCAGGTCAGACAAAATGGCGCCTCAAACTGGAGGTCATTAAGGCAACATCTACAGGCATCCAGCTCCTGTGTCAGTTAATGTTGGAAACTAATGTCACCATGGTTTCTTAAATAGACATACACATGTAATATACTGGTAGTCATACTACACTTTGAATAGATCCTAACAAACACAGTAATATCAATGAATGTGCAATATGTAATGTGATATAATTATTGTCATAGTTCTAAGGTAAGTAAGGAATGCTGTTTCATCATCAGTGAACTATTAGAAATGGTTTATTACTATGACAACATACACAGTAATCAGTTGCTGAGTGAGTGAGAGGAAGGGAGTGAGTGAGCACTAGATCACAGATTTTTTGCAAGTCTAAAGAACACAACTCTCCACAAATGTTTTTATATGACAAGGAATCTGTGCTGAAGGAAATGACTGACTGACTAAGTTTGGTTTTACGCCGCTTTTAGCAATAGGACACCAGAAATGGGCTTCACACATTGTGCCCATGTGGGGATTCGAACCCGGGTCTTCGGCGTGATGAGCCAACGCTTTAACCATTAGGCTACCCCACCACCCCTGAAGGAAATGAAGTATTTGAACATCTGTTCATGCTTCTGACATATGATCTAACTAAACCCATGAAGTTGAAGCATCCATCTGCTGAGACACTGGGATCTCTATACACTGCCAGTTGTGCTACACACCATCATCTTATACAGCAGCATTTGTCCTACACATAGTATTGGCAGCAGGATTCCCTCACCTTGACAACACATGGCTGAGTGATACTTCCACTATCTTCTACCAGTTCCACAATGGCCTCATGTATCACTTCTGCCTTCATGCAGGACATCTTGAAACCATATACATCATCCCAGAAAGTGATGTGTCGGCCATGAAGGTCAAGGTCACCTGACCCAATGAGGGATATAGTACACCTATCTGGAAACACTGAAACATTGGAAGAGAGAGGATCATACCTTAGTGCTGCTGCCACATACAGATCTGGGGGCATCCATTACAGGCCACTTCAGGATGACCTTGTGTGAACTTTAAACAACCAATGAACAGGAAACACCTCTCTTGAAATTTATGGGAACAGTTTCAAATTAGTGACTTTCATTCCAGAGTATGTTTTAAAGGTCATTTTAACAAAGATCTTGATTCCAAATCTGAAAACTAAACAAAAGAAATGTTCAAATGTCCAACAGATGAAGGTCGTATCGCAGTACTTCCAATGGGTTATGGACGTTTTCCTCCCTTTCAAATGTCTCCCAACAGATGGCAAAGATTGTATGGCAGTTCTATGGACTGTGGATGGTGTCCTCCCTTTTAAATATTTTCCCATAAAAGCAAAATGATTATTTTGACAGTATCAGTCATGCCTAATGTCTTGTGTTTTAGTAGTATACACTATGGGGCTACGGGACCAGGTCCCTCCCAGCCGAATGAAATGCAGCTCTCGGCAGTTCCCCCGAGCTGCCTTGCTACCATCTCGTTAGGACGTACTTGTAGCGATGTGTGAGCTGTCTGAAGGTGAATGAAACGCAGGTCTCAGCAGTTCTATGGGATCTCGGGGATTGCTCTGAGCGAGCGCCGTGTATGTGCGTGTGTGTCTCGGCTCGGCTATGATGATGCATGGCCGGCTGACTAGCGAGGCTACAGATGTCTGAAGGTGAATCAAACGCATCTCTCGGCTGGAGGAGCACAAACCCATCGAACTACGGTTCGCGCGGACGAAGCACGCCGTAGGTAAGTATCTGAGAGGCTGGAGGATGGACGTCGACAAATACATGGGCGTCGACGACATCAAACCCCTAGTCGCCAACAAAGACAACAAGGAACTGAACGATCTGGGAAGCCTAAAATTTCAACTCACGGTGAAAACGTCGCTGGACAAACAGCAGACTGACGGCACCACCGAGCACGTCCAGCCTTATTTCAGAGGCACGCAAGAAGTCGCGACTCAACCCGAATCCATCACCGCGTCTATCGACACCTCGTTGGAAAAAATACGAGAATCCCTGGAGCGCTACATGCACATGGGCTCGGGCTGGGTCGTGGACACGATCGACACGGTCTACCTGGACATAGCGAACTATGTGCCGTTCAAAGAAACAAGCCATAGTCAACTTCAAAAACAAAGACGACGACTGTTTACCGGTGTCGATCATAGCCAATTTGCATCCGGCTACCCATCATCCAGACAGACCTTCCAGCTATCCCTCATCGAGGAATCCGGCCTCGACTTTACGGGGATAGACAGGCCTACTCCGATCTCACAAATCGCTCGAGTGGAAAAACAAAACCCTCTGGCTATTAACGTCATCGGACACAAAGGGAACACAACTATTGTGCACAGGATAAGCCCTGTCCTAGATAAAACCGTGCTAAGGATCAATTTATTTCTGGTAAAAAAAGAGGACAAGTATCACTACATGACGATAAAAAGTCTCTGCAGACTGTTGTACGATCAATCGAAGCATAAGGAAAAAAAACACTTCTGCGAAAGGTGTCTGCACGGCTTAACGTGAGCCGACCTGCTGGAATCCCACCGGGAGGATTGCCGAGGCGTGGGAGAGACGGCCGTCCGAATCTATGCCCACTTCGAAGCCCTCATCAAAACCGTCGACAGAAAAAAGTTTCACGCATAAAGCGCAAGAACACAAAACCTGTGGTCAAACGACCGCTCTTGTGGTCTACCGAGGTCCCGACGCGGCCGAACGATTTCTCACGTGTTTGCAAAACGAAGAGAAAATCATCAGTTGTACACCATCGTCCCCTTGCGCATGACCCAATCTCTCAGGACGATTACACGCACGCCCTCAAAATGTGGGACAAACTGGGCTGCAAGAATTTGGGCAACTACCACAACCTGTACTTGAAAACGGACGGCTGCTTCTGGCCGACGTGTTCGAGATATTCAGAAAAACGTGCTCGAAACAGAACGGCCTGGACCCCGCGTGGTATTTCTCCTCCCCCGGTCTCTCTTGGGACGCCTTGTTGAAAAAGACTGGCGTCAAACAGAAACTACTGAGGGATTACGACATGCACCTGTTTATGGAGAAAGGCCTACGAGGCGGGATTTCGATGGCATCCAAGCGATACACGAAAGCAAACAACCAATACGTGAAAGGCTACGACTCGAGCAAACCGACCAAACACATCCTCTATCTCGACGCCAACAACGTGTACAGCTGGGCCATGAGTCAGTATCTCCCCACCGGGGAATTCGAATGGGTCTCCCCGACTGATATCGACGTGAATAGCATCGTGCCGGATTCGAACAAAGGCTACATGTTCAAAGTGGACTTGAAGTACCCCCAAGAATTACACGAATCGCACAACACCTATTCCCTGGCTCCTGAACGATTGACGGTGAACCCGGACTGGATGTCCGAATATCATTGAAACTTGCTGGGAGACAACAAGCCGAACTTGATGAACAAGTCAAAATACGACGTTCACTATCGCAATGTGCAGCTGCAGCGACTATACACAGCCAAGTCAACAAAAAAGTGCTCGGCAAGATGGAGGACGAATGCGCGGGCACGCCGATTGCCGAGTACGTCGGCTTGAGACCCAAGATGTATTCCATCAAGAAAGCCGCCGCCGCCGCCGCCGAAATCCAAAAGGCAAAAGGCGTGAAAAAACATGTGGTGAAAAAACACATCAAGCACGCCAGATTCAAGGAAGCCCTGTTCAAGTATAAAACGTTCAAACACCAAATGAACATGCTGAGAAGCGACAGACACAGGATATACGGACTGAGAATCAACAAGACCTCGCTGTCTTTCATGGACACGAAACGATGGATCGCCATCGACCACATATGCGTACGGACACACACACTCGCGCGCGCATATCGAATAATTGAACGCTTACTCACACATGCGTACATATATCATGGAGAAAATTTATTACAGCCCGTGCGGGTACTCAAAAGGCGCTGACGCCATCCCGAAACTCGCCAAAGCTGATCGAGTCTCGGAAGAGAAAGCCAAAGTCTGGCTAAAAAGACAAGCCATCTGGCAAGTCTACCTGCCCGCGCCTCGGTTCATCCCGAGAAGAAAATCCGACATTTCGACGCCGAATCGCATCCACCAAGCCGACCTCCTGTTTCTGCCTGCAAAACCTACAAGTACGCCCTGACGGTCGCTTGACATGACCTGCCGATTGCAACTCGTCATGATGTTTTATCGGTCTTGCATGCTTATTTTTCTGCTTAATGTAGCCAGCCAGCCAGCCACCCGTACACCAAGCCGATAGAGACACGCGCACACGCACTTTGACTCGTCCGCCCACAGCGCTCGGAGGAGCAACCACCCCTGAGGCGACCCGAGCCTTTTTCCCGACCGACCCCATGCTCACTTTAAAGTCAATATTTCAGAAACTATTTGACCGATTTTCATCAAATTTTGCATGCACCTCAGTAGTAGTATACACTATTAGGGACTTCCCAAGGGCTCAATTTAAAAATTGAGCCCTTGGGAGGGACCTGGTCCCATAGCCCCATAGTGTATACTGCTGTTTAACCTTGTCATGGTTGCATTACATTAAGAATCAGTAACGCGATGCTTTAAGCTTGGATGAAAGGTCAACCTGACATTTGACTAAAGACTGATGGTGTGTGATAGTGAGCATAAGATCTGCTTTAAAGGAGACTGCAATCTGGTAATCATATGGAACAGCAAATATAAGTATGGACATTCAAAAGCACTACCGATTCCATCCTCCTTCAGATACGTGTCTCTCGTGTACAGCACCGAGTCCAGCATAGACTCAAACAGCAAAAAGTACCCCATCCACTCCGAGATGATGATATCCACCTGACAACAAAGTATTACTCGCATCAGCATCAGGTGTCACCTTGAGCAGGGTCACGATTAACGTGAAACAGTTTAGAAATGAATTGTCATCCTTTATAGCAATATGAAGTGTAACATGTGACAGTTATTAGTTATTAGTCTTTCAGCAGCTGTATTTAAACAGAACTATGGTTCAGAGTTTCTTGTTTCCATCAAAACTCAAAACTGTTGTGTGCAGCTGTCACCCTCGCCATACCACAGTCACAATACTTCCACACCAGTCCCAATACTTCCACACCAGTCAAAATGATTTCACACCACAGTTAAAATGCCTCTACATTAGTTAAGATGTCTTCCATCATGCTAATGGTGTCCTACATACCTTATCCACTGGCAGCTTCACGTCTTCAAGTCTCCCTTTCAACAACGTCACCTTGTCACTGAGACCATTCTCCCTAAAACAGCAGAAACGTTTTTGTGTAAAAAAACATTATTGACATGTTTTGAAGACATTGTAATAAATACCTTGGTACAAATGTTTTATCAAAGCAAAATTATTCTTTGTTCTCACCCCCTTTTACTGCAGTAACCCTCCCCAATCTTTCAGGAGGAACTGCCTGAGAATCAACTGTACTTCATTCTTATTTCAAAGGACAAACTGGTCATGTTTGTGCTGGTTAACTTGAAACTGTTCTGACAAATCAGAATCCTAAACCGAAACAGGAAACCGTTAGTAATGACAATGTGGTGAGTAATGTCAATATGTATTGGGGTAAAATACTGCTATCACATCATCAACCACAACAATATGGCATCATGCTTACATTCCTGGTTGTCATTTCCTCAAGTAACTCTTGGTTCATGTAAAACAATTGACACAGTATTGCAGGGGCCATGTTTCCGGACTGACACACTGAGATCACCCATACCTAACTATGTCCATAGCTTGATAGATGATTTCTGATTGGTCGACACCGATGACAAGTCTGGCGCCAGCCTGTGCAGCAAACATGGACAAGATTCCTGTCCCACACCCCACGTCCAAGACAACTTTGTCAGCAAACAAGTCTTTGTTCTTCAGCATCAAGTCACGATAGCTCTCAGTACGTACCTTGTCCTGAAAAACAAAATCTGACACTCGTGAGTAAGTGAGTGAGTGAGTGAGGTGAAATTGGGTCTAACGTCGTGCTTGAGAATATTTCGCTCATATGACGACATGCATGCGTGTATATGTTTTGTGCAGCTGCTTGTACTAGCCCAGATTTAAGCTGGTTTTGTAGTGCTAGCCCACTGAGATACCATGCCGCAGTGAAGCATGAATACCCCACTCAGACACATTATACTGACTCCGAGCCGACCAGTCCTTGTTGTACCCATTAATGCCGAGCGCCAGGCAGAGACCAACAAGTACCATATTTTAACGTCTTTTGGTATGATGCGGTTGGGGATCGAACCTGCGACCTTCCGCTCTCCGGGCAGACGCTCTAACCACTACACCACGGAGGCAGTCGAGTGAGTGAGTGAGTGAAAGTGTGAAAGAGTGAGGCCTCCGTCAAAAGCACCAGGGGCTCCTTTCACGAAGCAACCTTAACAAAGGTTAACCTTAGTCCCATTCTTTAACATTACTTTAAGGTTACGTTAGTGACTTACGATCACCTTAGTGCCTTGTGAAAGGAGGAGCAGATCAATGTCTCAATGGTGGACAGGATGAATTGCCTCACAAATGTTATCCAACATGTCAAACATTGTCCATTTGTCTCCATGAGATTAATCAATTGCATAATAACTCAAAATCAGGAATAGTCTATTAACTGTCCATACTGTATATGCTAATGAATACCCTGTACCCGACAATATCTGCTGTTTGCTATTTTCATTTCCATCACTGGAAAAAGTTGTTTTAGAAAACTGGCCTCATAAAGAATTATACCAGTATTATAACTGTGTACAATTGATCCACACATCAAGATTAACAATGTCTCCCTGCCCTGCTCCACACAGTAGGAGTGGTGAATGGCAGGAAATATTTCATAGCAGGAAGTGAACGATTTATCACGCGAGAGGGGAGTGGGTTTTATTTTTTAGGTGTAGGAAAATTGTCAATATCTATATTTCTATAGGCCACACTGTCCCCAAAATTCACGCTGTAAAATAGAAGACACATGTGCGTAATTCCACCAAATATCTTTCCGTTCCGTCATCATACAAGCCCATGAGCCTGTAAAACATTGTCTAGCTTCGGCTACGTTTCCGTAAAGATGCATAAAATCTATCAAAGTTTAAGGTATCATTGCTGTATAAACGAAAAACAAAATACACCAACATTTAGAGTAATTATCGAACTATCTTTGTGTCAAATTTGAATGCTTAGTGTTGTGCCATTTTCGAGCTTTCATCCTGGAAAGACCAACACCATCAAACTCTTAGTGAACTACCACTCCCTGCCCTGCTCCCTGTGCCAACCTTCAACATCTCCTGATGAATCCCAAAGTGAGAGTATGAAGAGAAGTATGCCTCATCTTCATCCGCCTTCAGACTCTGTATAGACGGCGCTATGTGTGTGACCTTCACCTCTGGTTCAGTTGACATTAAAGTCTTCATAAAAGATCTGCAACAGTTTGTGATGTATTTATTAATAATCAAACCAGTGAGATTTTACACACAACCTCATATCCACCAGTTTCACCAGAACTGACCGAAATGGAAGCATGCAACTTTCACAGCCATTCTACTTTACTGATAAGGTTGGCTCTGTCATCTAAAGCTAAGCAGAGTTACATCCCTTGAGCACCAGTACTAATTGATATGAAAGACTGACTGACTGAGTTTGGTTTTATGCAACAAATTTGGCAATATTCCAGCACATATCAGGTTTGTCGCATTCCTGGGGACACCAGAAATGGGTCTTCACTTATTGTACCCATGTGGGGATTTCTAACATTCCTGGTCTTCAGCTGAGGAGCCAACGCTTTTGTCAACCACTAGACTACCCTGGTTTGCACATGTTGAGGTATGAAAGAAGCCAAAGTGACAGCATGTAACTTTCACAACCACCCTACTTTATTGATAAGGTTGTTCCAGTCATCTAAAGTTAAGCAGAGTTGCATCCCTTAGGCACTCCAGGAACCAATAACCAATTAGCATCATTCCTGGTTTGCACATGTTCTAGGTTTGTCAGTATGATACCAATGTTCATGCATTTCACCAAATTGGTAAACATCTCAGACACAGTGATATAACTAGAATGCAGCGTTACATCCAAAACACTCACTCACTGATAACATATATAGTTTCTATTTTGACATCAGGTCCAAAACATTTACATTAGATACTCCTCGTCTCTTAATTAAAAATATCTACCTTCATCCTTCACGTCCTTTCTTGATACACAATAAATGTATCAAAATTTGTCCACTTAAGTAGAAACAATAAATTTTCTGAAGTGAGTGTGAGATTGTTTGTATATCTAAATGTTATACAAAACAGGATTCTCGTTAAACTGTCTGCAAATACTTGAGTTAGACAATCCAGAGATGGCTACTGTGAGCAACACACCACAATGTCAGGTATGGAGACACATAACACTTCCTGAAGTGGGAGTAAGATCGGACATGTTTCTTCAGTCCGCTAATGAGAAAACAGCAACTTGTCTTTCAAAAACTCACCTATCAAAGTACATTCCGGTTCCCATGGATGCAAATATTCTCCATGAACCTAACAATCTGCTATATTTCACTTACTGTCTTATAATCTTATAATCAATTAATCTTTCCTATGTGACAGACCTAACTCTCTCCAAATCTGCAACAGCTCTTCTCAGTTCCTCCTCAGCCTGTGTGGCCCGAACCTCAGCTGTCACAGCTCTCTGTTCCAGCTCTGCAGTGCCGCTTGTGGCTGAGGTTGTCTCCCTTTGTTCTGCAGCCGACTGTGTATCACTGGTGTCCAGGGACTCTATGTCTATAAACAACAGGGTCACTCTTCCTCAACGTATTCATGTGTCACAGTACAATTTTGCCAAATATGTTTCATCAATGTAACCATATCAAAAGTAAATCATGGTATGAGACTGAGATTTCTTTCAAAAGTCTGTAATGGAGTCAAACACATTAACGGACCAGTCTTTTATTACAGGATGCATATTGGAGGACAAGTATTTATCCAGAAGTCATCAACATGAGCCTTCTTTCTAACCAAATCAAAGATTTGGATCTTTGGATCTGGGACACCACGGCAAAACCGTGACTTAGGATAGGGCTTGTTTCTACAGCAGTGGTAGCAACGGGCTGGTCGTCGCCCCATTTTTAATCTTCGAAGGAAAGAACTCTATATTATGTCATTTTACTCAAGGACATAACAGTTTATTAATGATAGATAAATTTCTTTCAATGAACATCCCTGAGACAAATACCAATACATCTGAAAATCAGCTGTTTTTTACTGACATTGTAGAACTTGGATAAGATTCAAAGGAATTGTATGGATGACAACTTCATTACGTATAGCTTACTTTAATCATGCTTCTGTATGTACTGCATGGTTTCTGCACCTTCTTTAACACCTTTACCTCACATGTAACGTGTAACATAAATTCAAATACTTGTTTGTTTTCTTGAGCACGTACATGTATTCTACTTGCTGTTCACACTTCATAAATCTTGAAACATCACAAAAGTGTAATTATTGAAGTTGTCATTTACAAAATATATATTTTGGCAAATAGGAAAACAACTATCTCTCTTATCTAAAACCTTTTATTTAACTTGGAAGTTGGCTGTAGGAAAAATACAGACTAACAATAATTTATATTTGACATGGTGTAGACTTGATCTGATCGTGCTGATGGTCAGTAATCATGCAATCAGACTTTGCAACAAGGACAAAAGTCAGTAAACATTACTGTTTGTGAACAAAATAAAAATATGAGTGAGTGAGTATGGTTTTACACCACTTTTAGCAATATTCCAGCAATATCATGTGGGGAATCGAACCCAGGTCTTCAGCATGAAGAGCCAAAGCTTTAACCACTAGTTTACCCCATTGCCCCAGATCAAACTATGTATCTATACATGTCTGTCTAACTGCTGTGTAAATTTGCAATGCAAAAATTGATCCCTGAATCATGTTATCACTAGTAGATGACTTTGTTGGCCGCTCATCTTGACATGAGTGAGTAACTTTTCCCTGACCACTCTCATCAGTGGACAAGACCACCTACCATACTGTAACAGCAGATCGCCAGGATCGGACGGCTGCATGAAGTCATCACTGGCCCACGGGACTGGGACTGTCAAACTGCTCAGAGAAGACAGACTTGGCTTCTGAAAACACAAAATTATTGACATCAACAGGTCATTTAAATATGATTATCTTATTCTAACACTGTCAGTTGAAACAATGAGCACAAAAGTGCTACATTGCATAGAGTTTTAAAAGGTCTTAAGTGCAGAAGCAGTGACATTAAACAAACACTTTCACCAAGTCATCATAGACTCCAGAAACAAGAGGCTCACCTAGTGGTATCCCATCAAAGTGCAAATGTACACCACAAGGCAATCAAAGTGCTAGGACCGCTTGACAAAACATTCTACACTGATGACTAGGATCCTGCACCTTAGCTATGACATCACATTCAGTCTTAGGACCAGTATTAAGGAATGCTTGAAATGTCAAATTAACTTATGAATGCAATACTTGTTATCTGATTTGCAAAACACATATGCAATCATCTCACTCTCTCTCTCTTTTATTAAACTAATCTTGACTGTATACAATAAAGTCCTTGCACATTTACCTGTTTTCTGATGTAGTTGATCATTTTGATGTAACCAATACAGTCCAGGCTGAAGCGTCTAGCTATCTGCAGTATATCAAACTGGTGCATGTCTCGGCAGTGACAGAAAGCCTCGTCCACACTCTGAAGGATACCATCACAGAACAAGCACCTGACTGGCCCCTTCAGCATCTCCATTCCTTCTTCCTCTCCATCATCATCCCACATACCATCATCCTCTTCCTCATCTGACTCTGGACACCTCGTCCCTATTGTGTTTTCATCATCTGTAAATATGTTCAAGTGTATCATGTTTTTCTGTATATATGTAGATATTTAGTCAAACATGGGGCATTTTTAAAGTCAATTATTACATATTTTCGGTGAGGTAACTACTTTTCAGGCCCTTGAACAATCAACCTATTTAAGATGATAACAAATCATCAAGGTCATTAATGATTAAGTCACACTTCTAAAGAATCCAATGTGTATTATATATAAACACATTCATACAGTCAAATAATTGCCTGCTGTATGATAAAGAGATCGGGCGACTACTGAATGCAATTGATTGGATTCAATAAGTTATAACTTCTCAACAATTAATTTACAAACCTTTGAACAATCTACACAAAAACCCAAAGGTTAAGATCAGTGTTGTACTCAAGACATAATTATAGTTCTTACATGTTCAGGGATAGCAACAGGAAAACCTATTTTCAGCTGAAAACTTAATATTGTGTCATCGAGTTGAGGGTTTCTCAATGGATTTAGACGATTCACAATTGAACAATTTGAAATAAAATCAGTGGAAATCCGCTGATCAGCGGAAAATTGCCATCCCTGCATGTTTGTCATCAACATTTTTGGTCTGAGTCCAAACACACATGAAGAAAATGAGTGAGTGAGTGAGTTTAGCAATATTCCAACAATATCAGTGTTAGGGACAACAGAAATGGGCATCAAGAAAATGAGGAAATGCCAGGTACTTCACTGTACTTGTATGATCAATGCCGGGATAAATAGAGGAACTTTCTTGGAAAATGATATGGCATTTCGAAAATGTCACCCATATACTAAAGTGAGGGAATGAATATGGTTGAACGCCTATGTCCTATACTATGATATAGGTCTCTTCCATAACTGTTTTAAGCTTGATCGGGTTCTTAGACAGTTCTCTGGTGTACATAATGAGGGATTTCTTCATCATAATGATCTCAATCATAACAATATTGTCTTTGTGTATACTGCATTTTGACGCACCGCCGTGCTGTCACCAAAAACCATATGATAGATCTATTATATATGGTCTCTGCTGTCACAAATAAACAATTTCTAATTGAACTAACTGGCGTGGGGAAGTATGGCATAAGGCATATGGCGATCTACAAAAGAGCGAATTGTATGTTACATGCTGAAACACAGAGGTATAATACACCCATAAATGTAACTTGTCTAAAATATATTTGTAAAAATCATAAAACACTACTGAAGGTAAATGTTTGACACTGATTTGGACACACGTGTTCCCTTACCACCGGAAGCCATGGTTGTTGACAAGGTGAAGGTCGTCAATGTTTTTAAGGTGAAGGTTGACGGAACAGATGCAGAAGTTCGAGACGAGAAAGTCTTCTATCGGAAATAATGTCAGCCGAAGGAGACAATGCTCATTTCATGTTTATGGGGACAAAGCCAGAATGTGTTCAGGGCGTTTCATTAATATTCACGTCTATTGTGAGGAGAGAAAGTTTGTGTTGAGGGAATTTGAGGCCAAAAACAATTGTGAATCTGAAATAATTTCACGGAAACATTTGGTTGATAAACATTGTCATTACTTCTCACTGCCTGGTGAATTTGAGATTGGGCGAATGCTGGGTCAGATGACTTGCATAGGATGTGTTGGCGATATATGTATTGCTCAATACGTCACCAGCGACAAGCAAGCACGTTATGTAAAATTTGTTTTGATTGACCGAGGTTCCGAGCAGGTGACCTCTTTCGAAGATACTCAGCACTTTTTCCTCCGGGACTCCGCAGCAGTGTCGCCTCTAGAATGTCTCCTCAGCCCAGACAAAATGGTGTGTCTACTCAGGCTCCCTCAGACAATACTCAGCCCAAAGAAATGGTCCAAACTTCTCATTTGTAAGAAAGCACAGGAACACGTCCCTATAGGAGACCTGAATCCTATCATAGGAACATCACCGAGCAGTTTCAGAGATCGGAAATTCCAGCTTATGGCTTTCGATCCACAGCACCCTTGCAAATTACTGACAGCATTGCTCGATAGCTACTGCTCCAAATGTAAGTTTAGTATGTACGATTTTCAAGTTAAGAAGGAAGTGCTGCAGTGTTCCAGAAAACTTGATCTGACAGTACAGGAGAAAGGGACAGATTCAGATTCAGATAGTGAGGATGAGGAGTTGAGATATCTGTTCCTTCAAGACTGCTCTATGACATACTGCCAAAGTGGAGACACCATGCTCATTTCTTGCAGAGTAATTGACAATTCCTCAAATGTTTTCTTCAACGTGTATTTTTTCAGTTCAACAACTTTGAAGCTTGTAGGCTGTAAAGAATTCAGCTGTGGCTTGCTGCAATTGAAAAAACATGAACTAATTGTGCCAATCTTCACAGTCTGCGACTCCAAAGTGACATTCTGGTTGATGGAACGAGATCAAGATGAATTCACTCAATTATTTACGTGTAATGTACCAAAACCAATCAATCTCAAGTCCATTTGTCGATCAGTTATTAAACACGCTTTAGCAAGGAGTAAGTTCAGCGAGTCTAATTTGCCCTTGCCACCTTCATTAATCAAATATTTATGTTTTTCTCAGATTGACTGATAATTCAGGTTAGTTTGTGAAGGCTTGCATCATTTAATGTTCAGTATGTGAGGTAAGACATTCCTCTACAGGTGGGAAACTAGATACAATGATGGCTTAAAATATAACTTTCCTAATACTAACCTTTAAATAGCTGACCTGGCCTGTCAAGCGTGATGCAAAGTTTGTGTTATATTGTGATATTATTATTATTACTTTGTCAGACAAGCATTTGAGTGCTGCAATTCAGAACCAGTTGTCAATGCTTCAGTTTTGTTGCCAATTATAACTGAAACAAGGTAAATATTTTGCTGATCAAGCAGGACTTGCAATAAACTGGAAGAACTAATTCTGATTCTCTATATGTACATTATTCACCACTTGTTTTCATATTCCAACTGAATCAGCTTTCTGAACAACCAATGAAGATCCGGGTTAGAATAGGTCTTCAGTAACCCATGTTTGTTGTAAGAGGCGACTAACGGGATCGGGTTAGAATTGGTCTTCAGTAACCCACGTTTGTTGTAAGAGGCAACTCCTGTGAAGATCCGGGGTAGAATAGGTCTTCATCAACCCATGCTTGCCACAAAAGGTGAGTATGCTTGTCGTAAGAGGCGACTGATGGGATCGGGTGATCGAGCTCGCCGACTTGGTTGACACATGTCATCGGTTCCCAATTGCGCAGATCGATGCTCATGCTGTTGATCACTGGATTGTCTGGTCCAGACTGGATTATTTACAGACCTCCGCCATATAGCTGGAATATTGCTGAGTGCGGCGTAAAACTAAACTCACTCACACACTGCAAGAGGCGACTAACTTTGTAAACATACTTGAATCCTTGTGAGAACCTCAAAAGTGGATTCAAGAGGTTGAGAGTGTTGTGCCATTGTTTCAGATCTACTTCCATCGACATTTGAGGTTAGGTGATAAGAAGGCATGTTACTTGATGGTTGACCACATCAGGAGACTGAAATTATGGCTGAAATTACGTCATTTCACCACTTTGAGGATTGTTGTGGTGTAAACTGTACCACTCAAAGCAAGTCTGAGAATACAACAATTGGAAGGCTAGGTGTCACAATACCCACTAGAAAACATCAGGTGTCTATTGAAATATACAATGTATAAAGGTCATTCATTTGTTGCCTGCTCTACAAGATATAGGCAACTTTGAGATTAGTGTGTATACAAGTGGTCTGAATAGTAAAATACTCACTCACCCCATGTTAAAATGTGCTAGGCATTTCAAATTAAAGTGAGACTGGTCCTCTTAGTGTGTATACAAGTGTTTTACACTGCATATTCTAAGTAAAAGGATATGTTTTAAAAAATACTTTGATTTTGCATGGGGGTGGGGGTGGGTTGTGTTACATCTCAAGGAGATATTCACTTGACTGATTTGGTTGTTCAGCAAGGTAACAGTTTCAAGAAAGCAAGAGTGAGATCAGGGTAATTTGAGACCGTCCAAGACCTCTACTTGCCCCGAGTTGAAGGGATTATGTGCATCGAGACATTAGTAATACCAAGAGGACTGGTTATATTTTGCTGTTGCCACATATCTGACCCATTTCCTCATGTGTTGCAATATGATTTGTAGATTAATCATTGATCATGTGTGGTTCTTTACTTATTTGACATGGGAATCCACACGTAACACAGGCTTCTCTTGTATATAATACCAATGTTGTGCTGGCAGCTTCACATCTATTTAACTGCCACTAACATTTATACGTACTGACCAGATCTACTGAACCTAACTTCTCATGATGGTCACAATAACAGATGCATGTAATTTTTAATTTTCTTGTCCAATAATGGGTTACGAGTATGTGTGCATTGCTTTACATATGTGGGATATCATATGCAATCCATCCATGAAATTAACCACAAACACCTGTTTGGTTGATTTATTTTATTTCTCAGGCAAGCCTGGCAGATGATCTTGTTGCATTTAGTTGCAATACAAGAAAACGTAACAAGTATCGCAGTCTTTCCATCAAGGACCTAAGTAGTCCTGCGCAGAATGGCTCAGTGCTGTTGCCTCAATATGCAACATAATCTCAGCCATTGAGCAGACAGTTTCATGGTTATTACATATAAATTAGTATCTAAAGGTTTCAGATTGCCAAAATCAAAGAATAATAACAGAAAGGGAGTAGTTTCAATAAATAGTTTCTTTTAAGGCTAAAAAAACCCCAGTCTTGGTTCTCAGGCACTACTATACATTTCATTTTTGCTTCTAATTTGAAAAAACCCAACTTGTAAATATTCTGTGTCGAACAGATGGCCTCAGCAGTGACATGCTGCAGTATTAAAATAACACAATATAATACACAGTTACCCCTTTATTTTTACATTGCTACAATGCATACTTAGTGTTACATTCATGGTGGTAGGGAGAGTTTGTGTGCTTGTTTTGCCATTTGCAAACTTGGTCAATGTGAATGAAATTGCTGACAAAGCACAGCTTAACATGATGGGGTATCATGATTTATAGTTGCCTTTATTTTCTGTATTTATTTGCATTGTTTATGTGGAGAAATGACATTTACTGTGTAATTATCTTGTTATAAATGCCTGAATTCTTTCTAATGCAATGATAGGAGCACATTCACAGAATATATGGCTCCTGCTTGAAGAATTACTAAGGAGGCCTCAAACTGCTCAAATTTGACAAAAGACAACTGATTTGTCAGTATTTTCCCATCAACAACTGAAATAATGTACGGAGATACCTTCCCGGGTTGGTTGGTTTGATATCCGTTTAATTAGTAACATACTAGTTTGGACATAGCACCACCACCTCACCCCCCACCCCACCCCAAAAACCCAACAAATTAGCCTGCCTGGACCATCTTTTCCAAAAGTCATTGCCTGAGAACCAATCTTTTTTTTTCTCCTTTTTTTTTTTGGTGAGCCATAACATTGTTGCTTCCTCCAAGACCAGTATTAGGCAGGCTTATTTGGACGTTATGGAGGGTTCATGAGCATAGTGAACTTGTTTCTTGGATATTAAATCATAAGCAGGCACAATGTAACAACAGCATCACAAAGCCAGCACTTTGTCTACAGGAACACAGTCCGTCGGTAGTCAAGTGAGCATGTGATTAGCAATCTATCAATGCTGATATGTGATCCTCTACATGATGATAAATAGCTGCAATCAGTGTTACAAATCTTTCATTGTTCCATCATAAATTGCTTAACAATATGCTGTTTACACAGATGATACTCATGATTGTAATGTGTTATTACAGGTATGGCATACATTAGTTAATGTCACATTATACATTATGCACAGTTGTCTCAGCATTGCAGCGAACTATGGTTAATCTGTACACAACAATGATGGTAAAAGTCTGGCCCAAACTTATGCATGAAACCAAACATGAAATTAGTGCTTCCTTCGTCAGCTCACCAACTCCACAAATTCAAAAAACTTCATGATAAAAACGCCACCTGAAAATTGCCCATTTTAGCCTTATAAGGCAGGGTAAATGATAAAAAAATTGGAGAAGAAAAAACAAAACACAAGGAAAAGTATCTAAAGCCTTTCACAGGCAAGAAAACATCTTTTACACATTTAACAACTGGGAAGTTTTTTAAATATTTTTTTGGTTTTGTTGAACCTTTTTTTCATAAAATTGTGTCACATTCAAAAGCAACAGCCAAACAAGGATTTCATTTCTGTCTACTACATCAGGATTTGGGTCTCTCACTTGGACAGCTGACACACACATACATTCAAACATACATACATACATGCACACATACAATAAGGGGAGCCATTGGCCTCCGTAGAGGAATCAAAGACATAGGATAGGCATTTTTGAGGCACAAAAATGTAGAAATGAAAGACACTTTGACAGTTAGTGACTATTTTTTATAACTTATATTTTTTTTTGTTCATCTGCATAAGACAGCAAAACTGACATCGACTTTAGCTTCAAACTCAAACAGTTGGTGTCCATGGCTGTCTTGGCTGAGAAAAGCCTTTTGTGTTATCTGGGCCTTTGGGTGCTCTGATGATCATCATGCGTTGCCCAACCTCATCTGACATACTTTTCAGCCGACTGATAAGGCGTTCTGGGCGCTGATGGTCTCTGGGGAAAAGAACAGACATTCATGATGGAATGACTAGTGGACCTAGTAGAACCATTTCAATCAGGCACTTCGTCTTCATACACCGTTTGAGTAACTAATTCTGTCAATAAACATCAACTTTTCAACCCTTCTTTGCTTGATATAAATCAGAATCCCCTGCAAAGAACCCATACTAAACTTGGATGATCATAGCATCAGTGATAAAGGTCACATGACACTTTTAGCATTATTCCATGGATACTGCAGAAAGGAATAATGCCCCCAAACTAGCTTCACACATTCCCCCAACCCACTCCCCCCCCAACAGGTATCAAACCCAGGTCTGGAGTGACAAACAATAGCTTTACCCAATACCCTACCAATCTGAATGACTTCTTTAAATGGCAACATTATATGTCAGCATGGTCTATAATGGTAAAGGAAAACAGTTCTCTTGTATGTTATATCCCTGTAAAAGATTCTGACTTTGTTACCCATAAAAGGTGGTAATCATGTGTACTTTTCATATAATTAGCAAATGTTTAAATAAGCTTACGTGATTTTCCTGAGACTGCAGGCTGAGTATTTTCCGTTTCTTTGGTTTTGAACGACGACAAACTCCACTTCATTCCCTGGTTGAATTTCAGCTCCATCATGGACTTCTGTCATATGGAAGAACAGCTTCTTGCCTTCTTCTACCTCATACTGGATAAACCCGAACTGTAAACAGACGCTATAATTAATAACCTTTTCGACATTGTCAAAGGACATTGATCTTGGTAAGTACATGTAAACAAAAGCAACCCGCTAAACTGACATTTAAAGGCTCCAGAAATCATTACATACCTGAAGGTCATTAAAAGTACCAATATTCGATGACATTCAGTTTTACCAAGCTAGCAACTAACCCAGCTCTTGATCAGACTTTGACCTTGATAGATGCACAAAAAGAAGGCAAGAAAAAGAGTCCTTAAGAGATTAACTTCCAAGCTCTGTCCAAACCCTTCAATTACAGAAACCACAGATTGATGCAGTCACATTCTGACAAACTCTCAAAGCATGAGGCTGCTAGAAGAAATACATTTGACTGACAAATCTCTCCATTCTATATGAAAACACATGAAAATTGCAGGTTCATGATCTGCAATTCTGTATGAATTCAACTGTCCTAACAACCAAGATGTAATTTTCTGACTAAAATTGATATTTTATACTTATCCTGACTCATGCTAATTATGCTTGTCTCCTTCCTCTTGCGAATGATAGTGGAACACTTGAAATCCCTTGAAGTTCCCTTTAAGAAAGCGGACGTAAAATCACTCACCCAGGAGTAGCGTCCCTTTCCTCCCTTTGGCGCCCAAATGGTCACATGATAGGCCATATTTGTCACTCTCTCCGTATGTAAGCCCGACACCCGGATTTACAGGGAAATCTCGAGTGCCATAAGAGGGGAGGTTGGGAGGGGCTAACCTCATGAGCTAACCTCATGAGTCAGGATAAGTATAAAATATCAATTTTAGTCAGAAAACTTACATATTTTCGTTTCCTTATCCTGACTCATGCTAATTATGCTTGCAGAATCCGCTTCCAGCCGGAAACGGTGGTGGGTCAAGTGGCCCAAACAATGCGTTCTGGATTCCCTGGTTGCAGATTTCCTAACCAAACGATTCGACGAAAAAACTGTAAAATACCCTTGATTCAAATCGTTAACGGCGGCGACAGGACTGGGACACCGGATCTCGACAAACCGCTCAATTGATATGGGCCAGGCGTGTTCGCGAGTCTAGAGCATGTATTTCTGACATCCTTGCAGCTGTTGCTAGAAAGATATCAATTTGCGATCAGGAACAGGGCTCTGACTTCATGTGGATTGGAGGCTTTCTGAGTTAGTAGTTCAAAGGATGTCCGCTCTAGAGGCCCAGTGGCCAGGCATCACTGGTGAGATGTTGATAAAACTATATTGAGATCCCAGGCAGGAGCCTTAAATTTCTTTTGTTGGTCTTCCAACTTAAATTTCTTTTGTTGGTCTTCCAACTTGAGCAGGTAGTAGTGCCAGAATCTCTGGTACTTTGGTCAGCTTGATACCCATTTTCATGGTGATAACTGTACTGAGGAAAGCTAAGTACGTTGAGAGTGTTGAACCTTTTAAGAGTCTCGTCTGTCGTAGATGACATAAGTATTCCGCCACTTGAGGATGTGTTACTTTCACCGCTGTAAAGACTTTCCTCTTTGCATATTGTTCAAATCTCTGCCACTTGTCGTCGTACAAGTTGCGAGTTGTTCTGCGTAGAGCTAGTGTTACTGCTTTCGCTGCTCTTGCGGAGTACCCTCTAGTCTTCAGGCAAGCTTTAATACGCTCCATGCGTGTAGCTGGAACAGTGTCGGGTTCTTTGTGTGTGGATGGATGAGTAGGTTCAACCACTCTGGTAGTTTCAGGGTTGGACTTCCGAGTTCTTGTATGAGGACGGGAAACCATACCCTCGCTGGCCAGTAGGGCGCGACCAAAATCAGTTGCAACATAGTCATCTGCTTGATTTTCTGTAGTACTTGTGGTAGTAGTGCAGGAGGCGGAAACACGTAAGCGTAGTCCTTCCCATGATATGCTTAGAACATCTGTTGCCCATGCCTGAGGATCTGGAATCGGTGAGACGAATGTTGGTAGCTGTTTGTTGAACTTTGTTGCAAACAGGTCTATTAGTGGGGATCCTAAAGTCTGTCTGATGAACTGGAATGCTTCTGGATGCAACATCCATTCCGTCGAGGATGGTTGTAGTGGACGAGATAGGGCGTCTGATATGACATTCTTTGCTCCTGGAATGTGGCATGCCTTCATGTAGATGTTCAGGTCGTCGACTATGCTGAACAGGAGAAAGCTGAGTTGTAGCAGACTTGTTGATCTTGTTGACCCTTGTTTGTTGATGTAAAACGCCACTGTGGAGTTGTCCGTGTGTACCAGAGTGTGTGCAGCTGGACAGTTGTAAAGCGATTAATAATAATAAGTGTTCTTTTTAGAATGATCGCTGGACCAATGTTGTAAAAGATTCCACGCGTTGATTACTGCTTTCATCTTCAACAGATTGATGTGTGATTTCTGATCTCCAACTGACTCATTTCTCGACCACTTCCCTGCTGCCACTTCGTTGTTGAAGTGCGCACCCCATCCTTGTAGGGAGGCATCCACGTAGATATGAGTGTTGCAAACCGGCTCTGACAAAAAGGTCCCTCCGCAAACGAGTCCACCATAGGAGATATGGTTTCAAACTGTCGGTAGTATTAACGGATCTAGGCTGTCTAGGTGGGCGTTCACTAATAAGAGACGTCATCTAAGGCTTGCTGCACTCGTGAAGAGTTGATGCTGCTGCTATCTCTGGTACCCGATGTCTGCATTGATAGTAGGTCTTCTGTCAATGTCTGCGCTGATACCAGTGTCGATGTCGATGTAGCTGTAGACTGTAGGCTTCGTCTTCTTACTGACGATGGTGACTTCAGGTATGAGGATGGGTGGATCATCATAAACATCTGCTTCTTCCAGAGGAACAATCTCGGCTGAGAAAGACCTCGTCTTCTGAGTAGAGCTGATCTTTGATTTCGCTGAAGTCTTCATGGTAGTAGCCTTCTTCATCTGCGATGAGGTCAGCTCAGTAGACGATGATCTCTTATGGCCTCCGGCGTTCACCCCTGGTACATCGACCTGCTCCTGAGAACAATCAGCAATTCACTAGAATTATGAATATCTGCAGCAATGGTTAACACACGGTTATCAGTGCAATCACTTGATTAAGACATTACTTGTGAATACCTACGTACCCAGTCCTTAGCATGTCTATGGATGGAAAAAAGGTAATTATTAAATTCAACCGAATTTAATTTTACACAATACTTACAGCGAGAGCTGAAAGAACATGAAACAGTGCAATTAGGACATAATAAAAGAGGGTCAGCCGCAGACACTCGGTACCTACAACAAATACAAGTTTTCATCAATTGTAAACATGAAGAAAACACATGTCAAACAACGAAAAATTTAGAACAAATTTCAAACCGTAATGTAGAATATAATCTTAAAAACCGTATACAGCAATAATTTTTATGTAAGGTCCGAAAATAAAAAAGGATATGTGCCGTATAGGGACCCAGGTGCTCTCACAACCGTCCTCAAGGGCAAAGAAGGAGAGAGTGACAAATATGGCTGATCATGTGACCATTTGAGGAAAGGGACGCTACTCCTGGGTGAGTGATTTTATGTCCGGTTTTTTAAAGGGAACTTCAAGGGATTTTAAGTGTTCCACTATCATTCGCAAGAGGAAGGAGACAAGCATAATTAGCATGAGTCAGGATAAGGAAAAATTGAAAGTATCTGGGGCCCATGGCCAATATTATTAGGTGTTCCAAACTGAGCGGTTTGCCTACATGGCCAATTCATGAAACATTCATTTACATGAACCTGATTTTCTAACAGGCAATTCTATTAAAAATACCACTGAAACAGGTTTTACTGTACCTGTCCCTTGACTGAATCCACCCTGGCTCGAACATACTTCCGCAGTGCTGCTATGTTGACAGCTCTGTGAGATCCAGAGGACTTCACCACAGCAACATTGAACTTAACAATGTCCCCTTTCTGCAGGAAATCTCGCTTGTCTGCAAGACTTGTGATTCCGTATGGATAGGTGACCATACTGGGGTCGTCCTCTTCCCTCACCTGCACCAGACCACAGTACTCATCCTGTTCAGGGTTGACGATCCTCATTGGACGGATAATCTTTCCCTGCAGGATACCCTGATCTCGCAGCATTTCCTGTAAACAGCAGTGAGGGACTGACTGAGTACTGGTATGTATTATCGCTTATAGAAATACTCCAGCAATATCATGGTTGGGACAAAATATTGTACCCATCCGGTGAATTGAACCCAGATCTTCAGTGTGAAGACTGAATGCTTTAAACACTAGGCTACCCCACTACCCCTCTGTCAACATAAACCATGAAGTGATCAGTTCACCTTTGATCAGTTGGTGAATTGCGCATTATAACCGCTGAACAAGATTCTTACTTTATAGTGGTATGCTGAGGTTGAACATGGATATAACATCAAACATAATTAATTGCAACAACTGTTACTCTGATATACCTCTGGTGCAACAGTTCCTTTTGGCAACTTGCGGATATTTTCGGCACTTAATTTGCTGCTTTTTCGGGCAAGGATATACTCCACTTCATCTCCTAGCTCCAGGTCACTGGCATCCTTGTCGAACGAACTGCAAGGTAACAATGTGTGAATCTCCAGTAACACTGACATTTCAAATACAACAAGTGTTTGCCACTGATGTGGCAATGTCCCCCGCCGCTAAAGAATGGAATATCTATATTTACTACTTTTTATTTTTGGGTCACATACAAGATGCCTGATATGACTGGTGTCTGCATAATCACCCAATGTAGGCTGTCAACATACTTGAAAACATTGGGTGCAATGTTTTAAGAGATATCGCCTTAAAAAAGCGGTCAAAGTATCGTGGTGACCTTGAAGATAAGGTCAAGGTCACCCAAATAAACTGGTGTCTGTGTAATACCCCAATGTAAACTGTCACCAAATTTGATGACATTGGGTACAACAGTCGATGAGATGCTGTGTTAAGAAGAGTTTATAAAGTGTTCAAAGTGTCGTGGTGACCTTGAAAATAAGGTCAAGGTCACCTAAATACAGTGGTGTCTGCGTAATCCCCCAATGTAGGCTGTCACCAAATTTGAAGACACTGGGTACAACAGTTCATGAGATATCGCGTTAACAAGAGTTTGAAAAGTGGTCAAAGTGTCGTGGTGACCTTGAAAATAAGGTCAAGGTCACCCAATTCGACTGGTGTCTGCATAATCCCCCAATGTAGGCTGTCACCAAATTTGAAGACATTGGGTGAAAAAGTTCATGAGATATCGCGTTAACAAGAGTTTGAAAAGTGGTCAAAGTGTCGTGGTGACCTTGAAAATAAGGTCAAGGTCACCCAATTCGACTGGTGTCTGCATAATCCCCCAATGTAGGCTGTCACCAAATTTGAAGACATTGGGTGCAAACAGTTCATGAGATATCGCGTTAACAAGAATCGGGAGGTACGGACGGACGCCGCTGAATACATAGTCCCCCGTTCCGGCAGGGGACAACAAAAACTGATACGTACAGCTTATCAGTTTACAGTAAAGTGCACTCAAGCTATATATGCCTTTACAAATTTATCAACATGGTAACTTTCCATTTGATTCACAATTCACAAGACACTCATGTTTCATGCTTGAATGTTACTAAATTCAAATTGAACCGAATGATGTCAGTCTGTATCACTCAAGGTTGAACCGGACAATCATGTGATCAGCATAAGCATTGATCAATAGAAATGTGATATGATAACATGCATCAATCGAGTCGGAGAGCTTGTAAACCCCAATCACATAAGGTCCGTCTTATCACAAGCATGGGTTTTTGAGGTGAGGTGAAATTGGGTTTAACGCCGTGCTTGAGAATATTTCGCTCATGATGACGTGCATGCGTGTGTATGTGTATGTGCGGCTGCTTTACTAGCCCAGACTTAAGCTGGTTTTATAGTGCTAGCTCACTGAGATACCATGCCGCAGTGAAGCATGAATACCCCACTCTGACACATTATACTGACTCCGAGCTGACCAGTCCTTATTGTACCCATTAATGCCGAGCACCAGGCAGGGACCAACAAGTACCATATTTTAACGTCTTTTGGTATGATGCGGTTGAGGATCAAACCCGCGACCTTCCATTCTCCGGACGAACTCTCTAACCACTACACCACGGAGGCGGTCCATGGGGTTTTGAAGAGTAGGACAAAAAAGAATTACCTATAGTGGAAGAAGACTTCCTTGTCATGTTCTGCATTCTCTATGAAGCCATAATTATCTTTCAGTGTTGCAATAAAGCCCTGACAGCGACCAGTGATGTTCCTCAAAACCACTCGAACATTCACAGCTTGGCGCTTGTTATTGGACTTTTGTTCCCCTATCGAAATTCAACCTGAAAAATAAAATACACAAGAAACTTAGACACACATTTCAACAACTTATATACAGATACTAAAATCATCCCGTCAAATATATTGAACATTATAATCTGAACATGCATCTACAAACTGCAAATGTTAAATGCTGTGGGGTTATTATCCACATGGAATAGTGTTGAAAATTGTCAGAAGGGCAAATGGCTTCCAATACTATGCCAAACATTTGGAAACACCAACCATGTTATAAACGAGTATCCTTGCAACTGAGTAAATACTATGATGATTAAATTCACAAATGGTTCAGACGCCATTAATCCAAATATTCAATCTTCAGTATCCATAAGCCATGCTTTCACAAGTGATTTTCATGCCTCAATATATATAATGGTTACAGTTAAGTACAAATGTGCAACAGTCACATATCATAACATTTGTACCTAGCTGGAACCATTATACATAGCAAGTACAACAGTGACAAATCGTAATTGGTTCGTCAAAGCTGTATGTTACCCTTAACACTGATTATGTTTAAGGGATTGAATTGATGATATTCTTGCAGTTCTTGTCCAGGAAATTAAATAGAACAACAGTTTAATCACAACACTTTGACCTGTCTATCCAAACTTGATATTTTTTTCCAGAATACTGACACATTTCAATCACATTAATCATTACATGCAGTTAATCAATATTGACCTACCTTGTCACCATAGCGGGGAGCCTGTTTCATCTCCACAAGGTCTTTGGTAAAATACGTAATAGATTGGATGGTGCCTTCATAGTCAAAGACAACGTTACCACCCTCTTGTTCTTTATTCTTGGCTGGAACAGAAATACAAATATTACAGTTGCTATTGTGTCTTGTACTAGACACACTTATTACAGTCCTTAAATATAGCTGTCATTTTCAAAATGGGATAAAAGTTCTGGATGGACATACAACACACTGTAACTGTGATTATGAAAGTAAATTTTAAGCATCCAGGGCCTACTGTTTTTTAAGAAGAGCTGAATAACAAAATAAGGGTAAGTTAACATACAGACAGAAGTGAAGACAATGAATACCTTGTGTTTTGTGAGTTGCAGGCTCTCTGTCTACTGTTCCAATATATTTTTCATTATGAATGGTCAGGAAAGACACAGAACCTTTAGGAAGATGCTTGATACGAATGGCAATCTGACGATTGGAGGCAGAGGGATCCTGAAATTCAAAACATTAATATGCTATTAACTCATGACGTGACTTCAAATTCAGGAATACATATTCCCAAGGCTGTACCGACTTTAAAACAGATATTGTGCCTCTGGCTACTTTGATAACAAGACTCATCAAAGACGACAGATCCCCCCTGACACCACATATTTGAAAAGAAAAATTATCTGTCCAACTTGATTTTTTAAAGACTAAGTCCACATCGTTTCCATGGACACCATGAATAATATAAACGCCAAAAATCTGTAAATAGCAAAAGGCACCACTTCAAGATCTCTTTGATATATCTGCCAAGTCTTGTAGAAAGATATAGAACGGTTTTCGAGATGTGCTCCAGAAACGAAGTCCACCCCTCGCTTCTGAGAAGTCCAAAAAGTTTCCATGGAAACCAAGAAAAATAAAAATGACAAAAACCTGTAAATAGCAAAAGGCACCACTTTAGGTTCTGTACCTACCAATTTTAAAAAAAAATATTGAACGGTTTTCGAGTTATGCTCCGGAAACAAAATGATTACGGACGGATGGACGGACAGATGGATGGATGAGGCATAAACTATATCCCCCAGCATCACATGCCGGGGGGATAAAAATCAATGCCAGATACCACTATTTTTTAACTCATTTCAGATCATGACCTGTTACATAAGCATATAAAATTTGAGTCAACAAATGTCAGGGATAAAAATACATAGTAAATTCATGTTTCTGCAGATCATTATGGAAATAACTAAGAAAATAAAGAGTTGTACTTGTTAAATATGAAAAAAATGCAACACACTGCTGTGAGTATTCAGTATGGAGTTACCTGAGCTACAGTAAACTCAAGATCATCCTGTACATTGACTGCAGACGTTGGATCAAGAAGTTCACTGAAGTGGAAGAACATTCTTGCATCGCGGTCAGCACACTGGATAAATCCATAGCCTTCTTTCAAGCTCACAACTAAACCCTGAAGATAGAAAAAGGGAACAATAGTACATTTCTCTTGGACCATGGAGCAGAAATATGATAACACTGGAGAGAACAAAATGAAAGATTATTGATCTTACTCAAAGGTAGAGATGAGTACAGGTTTGATTGGAATACAGTTAACACCAAGATAGCAGAATGGATGAGAATGGATAATATTTTCTAGGAATTGTTCAATTTAATTTGTACCACCTCAATTGATTAAATTCAATTGATGCTTCAGAAAGCAGTCAGTAACTACTTTTGTACTGCCAAAGCTGTTGTCATCCAGATACAGGCTGAACAAGACCACTGACTTTTGGTACAATTTGAAACTATCATCGGTGGTCTCCCTTGGCGACTATCCCATTCAATTCTGACATGTTTATGAGTATTTTGATGGGTATAATGTACTGGGTTCCTCCGCCGCCACCGATTTATGTGTTTTGTTTAATTGACAATGTGTGTTTAAATGACAAATTAATGGGTAAACTTCAATAAAAAGTTGTCTTCCACCCACCGTTTCTCGGACTTCCCCAACTTTATCAAATGTTTCTTCTACAAGCTGTATGTTGGTTGCCCTCTGGAGTTTATCTCGACGATCAGTTGCAATATTGAACTCCACAATGTCACCTTGATGAAGAGTATAATCACCTTTCTGGTCTTTATCACCAAATGGAATATCCATTGTACTGAAAGAAAATAGGAAAGTTGAATCAAAATCGATTATAACACCAATCTAACCTGACACTGTTGCTGATCCAAGTCAGTATGTTTTGTGACAGTCAACATACTGAGACATTTTACAGTCATATCCAAGAAATTTAGATAAACCTGTAGAGGTTTCCAATTCTTTGAAGAGAATCGTCCTTGGGGTACATACATGCATTTTCTGCGGCTGAAAATGTCATGTGACAGTTGTATCAATGTTCTAATAAAATATTGTACAATAAATAAAAAGCCTTTTTTATCTATTATACGGCCCCCCACCTCCCTTCCACGCATGCGTGGTCAACCAGGTAAGTACCCAGGCCCGTAACCCAAAGACCGGAGGCTTGGGAGGAGGAAATTCTGTCACAATACAAATAAATAACGATCACGTAAACGAAAAGTTACTTACGCCATAACACTCACCTGTCACTTGTCCCGAAGCTTCTGCGAGAGGCATTATGGGAGGTGACCCAACAGGGAGGAAACGTACTGAGGACTGACCTCAACATGTTAAGCAATAAAACACATCACATAGTGTGTAATTAAAACCCCGCCCACTTAGTGATATCTCTAGAGAGCACTGTAAGGGGGAAACCACAACTCACAACCGAATAACTCATCAGAGAAATTGAAAGTTGTCGTAGAATTCAACAGCAGTTATTTCAATTAACACAACAATTGATCTCAGCGTCAGAAACCAAATAACCAAGACTCACTCGGTCAGGGTGGCAGGACACTGTCCACTGGAGAGAACAGATCGGCCAAAGCGCGCTCGATCACGGGAATGTGTATCAAGCTGATAGTGCCATATTAAAGTGCTAGGCCGGCTCCAAATACAAGTCACACAAGCGACACAAGCCAGCGAGAAAGTGTCTGGCAGGAATTGACTATGCTGGCAGGAGTTCCAGCCTTCCCACCACCATAACAGCAGAACAGCTGGGTACCTGTCGGATCCCTTGTGTTCGTTTGATATAGACCTTGAGGGTCTTACGGACATCCAACGGGTGAGTGCTCGTTGCAAAGGTCCCCGATGTAGAAGGCTGGATAAGAGTGGGAAGTTCGATAGGAGCTGTCACATGGAAAGCGTGATCGATCTTCGGATGGTAACTATCTGGGAGGTGAGTACTGATGTGATCTGGATGGAACACAGTCAGTGAAGTGGGTTTGTACACCTGAGAGCAGGTTGAAGCCGATCCACGCCAGCTAAGAAGCGCTGCATAAGAGGGTGCTGCCCCAGAAGAGCACCATCGACAGGGATGTGAAAGTTGGAAATAGCGGTGGAGTAGCCATGAATGGTCGAAGCCGCCAAACCTTCTTCCAAACGAGACTGCAGAAACTCCAAAACTCGGACTAAATCCGCAGAAAAGGGATCTGCAATGCCCCTATCTGAACACCAGCGCGCATAGTAAAACCACCTATCCTCGTAGTCACTGAACGTTTGTTGAATCCAGCCTCGAAGCCTGAATTGTGTCTGCAACTGCTGCAGGAATTCCCCGTGCCTCGAGGCTCGACCTGACAGAGGCCAAGCCACCCACTGAATCCGTGAATTGGGGTGTGGCGCGCCGTTCTGAGTGAGAATGTCCGGTTGAAAGGGTAATAGAACAGGAGGCTGAGCCAGAAACCTGAGAATTACCGGAAACCAGCCCTGTGACGGCCAAAGTGGTGCCAGAAGACCAAGTAGCCGAGCTGGCTGGGTGGACAGCTGGGAGAGGACCCGGGGAATGAGAGGTAGTGGCGGAAACGCCCACAGTACCTTGCCCGTCCAATCCAGCAGGAAGGTGTCCTCTGGTCCGGTATTCGAGAGCAAAACATGGGTATCTGATTCATCCCACCGGACACAAACAGATCCACCTGGAATGATCCGTACAACTGGGAGATAACTCCGATTTATCTGCCGATTGAGCATCCACTTGTGCGGGGCCAGGATCTGGTGAGAGAGCACATCTGCTCGCACGTTCTCTAGCCCTGGGAGATAGACAGGAATCACCTGACAGTCGCACTGTACGGAATGGCCGTGCTGTTGTCTAACTGAAGACGAACAACCTGGCCCTGAACATGCTCCCGGAAGCGCTCGAAAACCAACCGCACACCTCTCAGTTCCGACACATTGATGTGAAGACGGACTTCTGCTGCATCCAGACACCGACAGGCTGCCCAGAATCTCTTAAAGGATGGAACCTCTATCATTCAACCCCTTGCGGTTGAGAATGGGACGGAATCCGTCGTCTTTCTTCGTTACGAGGAAGTACGTGGAATAGAACCCCCGCCTGTTCCTCTCCCGGTGGTATGCGCTCTATTGCGGACTTGTCCAGCAAAGCCTGAACTTCGTCTCGCAGTATACCTGCCTTGATCGGACATGACAGCACCGGAGTGCGCCTTATGCCGGTGAACTCTGGCGGGCCTCTTCCACAGCGGTAAATGGCCGACACGTACGGTGTGAGTAGCCTTCTCCCACACCGGAAGGAATAGAGGGAGCAGCCTCCCACTGGGATATGTGGTAAGGGAGCGTGAGTAGTCCCCTGCAGATGGACTGGCTGGGACGTATCCGGTGGAGCAGCCAGCAAGTCTAACGGGGGGTCGGGGCAGACCCCCACAACTGCAAAAAGGCTCCTGGGAGCTAGACGAAGAGGTCTGCTCCTTACTCTTACCTTTGGCGGGGGGCGGCTCCTCCTCCTTCCCCTGCCAAGTGGCCGAAGCCATCCTGCAGACTCGGGCGTAGGCTGCGCCTTGGAGGAAGTGCCCGCACGGGGGCAAGAAACCCGCGGTTATTCTAGCAAGGCCTTCGAGTCCTTGAAAGAAGTATTGGCAGCAGCAGCAGCCTCCCGTATAACCGTGCGCCCCCGAAAACAGTGTCACACCCAGCCATAATGAAAGGGCCAGCAAGGTTTGCTGGGTTGTCGCCGAGTAACATGAGGTCGACAACCACAGCTTGCGCATCCCAATAACTGCTCACATCACCGTCCACGCAGCAGACCGTAATGAGTCCCTGGTCAGGTGGGCCTGCACGTCGGTGAGCTGACAAAGTAAGACAACATGAGGTGATACGTAACTCGTGCCTCCCTCCGCCTCCAACGCCGACCTCTGAATTGAGGAGAGATACGCCCCATGGACCACCACCCTGATCTGCTGCACAGCATTTCGATAACCCTCCTTGTAGGTTCGGTAAGCTTGCCAAACTGAGCAAAAGGTGGAACTAAACGCCCTTGTTTGGCAGCTGGAGCTGAACTTGAGGAAGCCGAGCCTCCCCCGAGGGCGACCGAAGTGAAAACACATGCATCCACCTGGAACCTGGAAGAGGGACTCATCACCCAGCTGGTAACGCTTCACGAGTTCGGGTAAGTCAATCGGAGCCGAGAACCAGCGAGCAACGGATCCACTACATCCTGGATCAGTGACGGAAGAACGCGGAGAGCTGCGTCTGTGAAGGCTGCCGAGTAGCAAACGCCTCACCTGGCAGGCCGAACTCAGATGAATCCTGACGGCATGTCGGCACCACAGATTGGGGCAACATCTGCGCTATGCACTGATGTACCTCACGCAAAGTTGACAAGAAGCGGAAAGCGCCCTCGTGCTCCTCAACCTCTCCCACATCCATCGACTCGGCTCCCGAACCCGAGCCAGAATCCGGATCCTCCCGAAGAGAGGAACCCCGACCCGGCAGAAAGCTGAGTTGCAGACTACAAGAGAACGGAAGACCCTGAGACACCATCTGCCCCGGACACAGACAGCATGCCAGGACCCCGGTCCCGAGACGTAGGAGATAGCAGAGGCAGAACTGGCTCCTCCACTCTCATGGGGAACCAGAACACTGGGAATCCTCAACGGTCCCTGCACAAGCACCGAGAGAGACTGGGTGCGAGCCCTCCCTCTCCGGGGTGGCCGAAGCTCCCGGACCCGAAGCCAGCGGCAAAGGATCAACAGGTACCTCAAGGCCGACGGATCTAGCCGAGCTCGGCGCTTCGACCCCCGAACTCTCCGTCACCCGACTAGAGCGAGCGAGAAACTCCTGCCGGAGTCCTCCAACTGACTCATTGGCGAGAGACTTCACTGAGTCCATATGTTGCTGAAACATCTGTTTATTAATGACATATCAAAAGGTTGAGATTCTTTAGAACCTGAAGATTTGGGTTTGCTGGGCTTCCTAGCCTTTTTAGACTTAGACGGGGGACTTTCGTCAGCCGGGTCCCCTTCCCACCTCCCTCAATTCCTTAAAGAAAAGGAAATCGGCAGGTCGCCTCTTTTGCGTTCTGGGGGAAAAGCCAAGGCAGAGCTCGCACACGTTTGGGTTGTGCCCAGTTTTATCTAGGCAGCATAAACACTTGTCGTGTTTGTCCTGTGGTGGCAATTTTTGCTTACAGGTAATGCACGCCGTAAACGCCTGAAAGCAAACACGCAACGCATGTAGCTAATGGCCAAATACAACAGAAACAGGAATAACATGTATAAAACATTGAAAATATGTGAATACGACAACGCGAGATGAGATAATAGTATATAAAGCAATATTTCAACCACGTGGCACGCTAAACATCCCGCCATGGAATAGTAACATGTCCGTAAACGACGGGAAAGCGAGCGTAAAAGTTGATTACAAAGTCATATAAATGAGAAATAACTAACTGCAAAGTCAAAAGAGTGTTCTAAAGAACGAATAAAGACCATACATACAGTAGTTGAAGACTCAGACATCATAGAATTGTCAGCACAGTCAAGGCACGTGTGAACACGATGCGTGACAGCAGAAGGAATGATGATGCGGGCCTGGGTACTTAACTGGTTGGCCATGCATGCGTGGCAGGGAGGTAACCCTACGTAATATTTTATTAAAACATTGATACAACTGTCACATGACATTTTCAGCCGCAGAAAATGCATATTTGGACCCCAAGGACGATTTCTATGAAAAAGAATAATTTCCAACTAATGTATGTGTGAGGAAGTGTTTGTAGCTTAACGCTGCAGTAGGCAATACTCCAGCTATATGACGGTGATCTTCAAGAAATTTTAGTCTCTGCCAGACAATCCAGTGACTGATACTGTGTGCAGTGATTGATGTCGTCAGAGTAAGATGACATGCATTCAAACAGATCACTCCAATCCAATCCATAAAGTCTGACCATCCAATCCATTGCAACCTCTGGTAAGTGTTTGCGTTATCTCAGATTCATATCTAACGTCTAAAGTATCTCAAGTAGATTACGTACTTCACGCAACCAAAATCACAACATATACAACAACAAGTGTTTGCCACTGATATGGCAATGTCCCCCGCCGCTAAAGAATGGAATATCTTTATTTACTACTTTTTATTTTTTGGGTCACATACAAGATGCCTGAAATGACTGGTGTCTGCATAATCACCCAATGTAGGCTGTCAACATAATTGAAAACATTGGGTGCAATGTTTTATGAGATATCGCCTTAAAAAAGCCGTCAAAGTATCGTGGTAACCTTGAAGATAAGGTCAAGGTCACCCAAATAAACTGGTGTCTGTGTAATACCCAAATGTAAACTGTCACCAAATTTGAAGACATTGGTACAACAGTACATGAGATATCGCATTAACAAGAGTTAAAAGTGTTCAAAGTGTCGTGGTGACCTTGAAAATAAGGTCAAGGTCACCTAAATAAACTGGTGTCTGTGAAATCCCCCAATGTATGCTGTCACCAAATTTGAAGACATTGGGTACAACAGTCCATGAAACACCGCGTTAACAAGAGTTAAAGCATGCAAAGTGTCATTGTGACCTTGAAGGTCAAGGTCACCAAAATAAACTGGTGTCTGCGTAATCCCCCAATGTAGGCTGTCACCAAATTTGACGACACTGGGTACAACAGTGCATGAGATATCACGTTAACAGTTTAAAAAGTGGTCAGTGTCGTGGTGACCTTGAAAATAAGGTCAAGGTCACCCAAATCGACTGGTGTCTGCGTAATCCCCCAATGTAGGCTGTCACCAAATTTGACCACATTGGGTACAACATTTCATGAGATATCGCGTTAACAAGAGTTTGAAAGGTGAGGTGAAATTGGGTTTTACGTCATGCTTGAGAATATTTCGCTCATATGACGACGTGCATGCATGTGTGTATGTGTGGCTGCTTGTACTAGCCCAGACTTAAGCTGGTTTTATAGTGCTAGCCCACTGAGATACCATGCCGCATTGAAGCATGAATACCCCACTCAGACACATTATACTGACTCCGAGCCGACCAGTCCTTGCTGTACCCATTAATGCCGAGCACCAGGCAGGGACCAACAAGTACCATATTTGAACGTCTTTTTGGTATGACGCGGTCGGGGATCGAACCCGCGACCTTCCGCTCTCCCAAGAGTTTGAAAAGTGGTCAAAGTATCGTGGTGACCTTAAAAGGTCAAGGTCACCCAAATTGACTGGTGTCTGCATAATCTCACAATGTAGGCTGTCACCAAATTTGAAGACATTGGGTACAACAGTTAACAAGAATCGGGACGTACGGAAGGACGCCGCTGAATACATAGTCCCCCGTTCTGCGTTGCGGCGGGGGACAAAAACTCAAGGGCCACCACTACAGAGCAGAGAGTTTTCTCCAATATACAGACCCCATGCTAAATTTCCAAAACAAAGACAATTACAACAGATCAACAAGTACATTGAAAACATACCCTTTAGGTGTTTCATATATAATTCTCCCACCAAGAGGGTCACTCTGTCGACGATTGTTGCCATTCTTTAAGGTTTTTAGCACTTTTCCTTTTATCATATCCAGACCAATATCCTCAAATATCACAGTTCCTTCTGGTAAGCGAGATATATCTACAGCAACTTCTTTGCCCTGCAAGGAAATGTCACATTCATCATAAACACAATCTGGATTAACACAACATAAATGGTTTCAGTGCTTATGCACATATGAAAAGTAACAACATACAACATCACAAACACTTGAATAGAATGACACCAAACTTTCAGCAATATTCCAGCAATATCACAGTGGGGAACACCAGAAATGGGCTTCACACATTGTACCCATGTGGGGAATCGAACCTGGGTCTTCGGCATGACGAGCAAATGCTTTAACCATTAGGCTACCATACCGCACCCACTAAACATGAGTGAGTGAGTTTAGTTTTACGCCAGACTTTGCAATATTCCAGCTATATGGCGGCGGTCTGTAATAATCGAGTCTGGACCAGACAATCCAGTGATCAACGGCATGAGCAATTGGGAACCGATGGCATGTGTCAACCAAGTCAGCGAGCCTGACCACCCGATCCTGTTAGCCGCCTCTTACGACAAGCATAGTCGCCTTTTGTGGCAAGCATGGGTTACTGAAGACCTATTCTACCCTGGATCTTCACGGGTCACTAAACATGAACAATACCATAAACAGATGATGCTTTTGAACTGAATATGTCAAAAACTGAGCAAGTGGTATTTGAAATAACAGACAGCAATATTCCAGGTATATCACATCAGTATGTGCACAATCAGGTCTTAACAAGACAAAAGAAAGGTTGATATCATGAGCAAATAACCAATGCTTTTGAGGGACCATGAGAGGCAATCAACCAGGACGCCCAGTCTGATCCCTGGATTGTCCTCAATGACCTCATGTGACAAGCAATAGTGTGCAAAAATGTGTCTAGCCAGGACAATATGAGGGTCCAATAAACACTTGAAAGTTGAATTTTTATGTTATGGTTGGGAGTCAAGATCAAAGGAGCCACCCATCATCTAACACACAACAGATGGTGACAAGACATATTTAGTATTTCACATGCATGGAGGACATAGACCTAGTTCTTATGATCTTTGCTTATCACTTACATTTCTATTCTGAACACTAAATTCCACGTCATCCCCGAGTATTAGCTCATTGATGTTGTCCTTGAATTCACTGTAGTGAAAGAATATCTCCCTCACTACATCGGCTCTCTCAATAAAGCCAAACGTCTCTTTCATGGAACACACCACTCCCTGGAACCTCTGCTGGCTCGGTGGCTGCAGCATCTCAATCTGCCTTGCACGTATGTTACCATTCCTGCAGCACGGAATAAAGAAAGCACATTTTGTAACACGGAATAGTCTGAGTGAGTGAGAGAGTTTAGTTTTACGCCGCCTTTAGCAATATTCTAGCAATATCATGGCGGGGGACACCAGAAATGGGCTTCACACATTGTGCCCATGTGGGGAATCGAACCCGGATGTTTAGCGTGACGAGCGAACGCTTTCACCACTAGGCTACCCCACTGCCCCCGGAATAGTCTGTGGGTTCTATAAACATAAGTGTGGTTTTAATATGTTCAGCTGTGTAAGATTGTTCAGCAAATAATACAGCAGCATCATGTCAAGGAACACCAGTAAAAGCTTCAAACCACGTTTCTATGTAGGGAATCAAACTAATTTCATCTCCATGACAAATTTATGCTTTAACCACTGGGCTACACCACCTTATAATATCAAGAAGAGAAAGGCTTTTTAACTTTACTACCTAATACGTTTTTTCTGCACCAGAAAGAATAATTCGAAAGTTATAGGTATATTTGAGGGTGTTACCTTTTATCTGTGGCTATGTGAAACATGACCTGGTCACCCGGTTTGAGTTTCACACTACTGTCAGACAAATCCTCCAGACCATAGGGAAGGAAGAAGCATTCCCCATTATGTTCATAAGTGACTCGACCAAGTCCATCCTGACTGTTAACAACTGTTCCCTGTACAAGGATATACCACATATATAGCATGTGTCTAAGATTGTCTTTGTTCAAGTACACTTCACAAATCATCCATTGTATCTGTAGCATGTTCTTTGAAAAGCTCTTAACTTCAAATTCTGCTTGTCATTAAACATTGTTATCATTGTTACTGATACATATGACCTTACCTAATTTGACATTTTTGAAGGGCAGTCATTTTCTATAACTGCAACACAGTGGCAAGTTTTGTAACCAAAGTGCTGGGATAACTGACCAATCCAAATTTTGCAAGACCAGCATCTGGTTCCGAAATAGTAACTGCCATGTATACATTTGCCAAAATGCAAAAAGTGACATCTTTAGACATAATTTATCTTACATTTTTTGCATGCGATGGTTTAGCCACCTGAACTATGCTGCCAACAAAGCGCTCATCACTGAGAATCTCTGTGGTAACCATGCTGTTGTCAACCTTGACCACAGTCACAGCGATAGGTTTCCCTGTCCTCCTGTCATAAGACATTTGGAATTCCACTGCATCTGCAACACAACAGAAAACAAATATTGAAGTTATCTTGTCAGATGGTCAGGTTTCCAGAACAGCTGAATCAGCACTATCATAATCTCACTGATAAATTACAATTAATTAGGTTCTCAAGTTTTACATAGAAAATGTAGGTACCTCCTATTTTCATGGTGTCTATATCACCACTATATTCACTGAAGTGGAAAAAGAGCCTGGCTTCTCTATCACAGCACTGAATAAATCCATAGGAATGCTGGAACAAACAATGCATATGTTCAGGTATTATTACACACACTTCACAGGTTACATCTCTCCCACATTAATGCTAAAATCATCACTTAATTACTAACAAGTTTGGATGTTTTAGTGCAACATTGCTTGTTACTTTATATTTCTAAACATTAGAATCTGCATAATCAACAACTGACAATGTTGCATAATATTTACTCTAGTATGTACAAAACAGAGACTTCCTGTACAATCACTATCAAAGTCAAACACTCAACTTCCAAGCAACATATAGCAATATACTACAGTGCTGTCTTTTTGTCAATACACAGAAATGTACACATATCATATGCCATCAGTTTATGTATCATTGTATATGCATGATAAGTCTATTAATAACAATATTTTTTATTGTGTTTCAATTCGTTACTAAATTTGTAATTGTGTTAGCAGGATATATTCTAACCTGTCTACAGCTGGTTTCTCACCTGAAGTTTGTCAATTATCCCTGTTTCCCTAAGACCATTGTTGCCTGATGTTGGAATATTATTGTACGATGAAACTATGTTGGGACCCTGATGGAAAGACATGATGGCGGGATCTTGGGCTGGCGGCTGGAATTTCTAATAGTCATGAGAAACAGAAAACAGTGGTAGCAAACTGACATGCAAAACAAAAGAAGAAACATCAGCACAAATAAGAACCATAATGACAGCTTACTCCTGGAGAGTGAGTTGGGTCAACGCCACTTTGAACAGTATTCCAGTTATATCAAGGCGTGTCAGCTCAATGTGAGAGTCCTCCTTGGCAATGGTGAAGGTTTACACATTTGACAATATTCAAGCAATATTATAGCAGGAGACCTGAAAAGGGCTTAATACATTTATACCCAAGGCAGGAATCAAAGCCAGGCCATCAGTATAAACACATTCACCACTTGACTAATGCAACTGCCAAACTGCTGTAGAAGAATAAATATAACGATCTTCTGAACATGCTTATATGAGACCTATACATGATCTTGATATTAAAATGGATTTGAATCATGCAATCAATCACCTTGAACAGTACCACCCATGATTAGCATCAAGTCAAAGATGAAGTACATTCCCCGTGGTGAAACCCACACATACGGGTATGGCACTGACAAACCAAGGTATAATCAGGGCAAAGATTCAAGACAACTAACATAGCATTGCCACAGCTGTATCATCTTTTACACTTGTCAGAGTTGATGTCATTTACATTTTAGATATGGGTATGTTGAACTATGTGTACCTTCCACTGAGGACTATTCATCTTTCTGACAGACATTGGACGAAGAAGTTTGTTCGAAGATTCTTGTGTTAATGCTCTGTATCACTTGTTGTCCTGCTGTTGTCCCTCTATAGTACCTCAGATGTGCAGTGTGTGCTAGTTTTTGACGGATTGGGCACCTGGTTCGTTAGCTTAGGTATCAAAAGGTTTTCCGTAGTTTTCGTTATCTTGGTTAAACTCAACGTTTTATCTTCCCCTTTTTCCAAAAGGAGTGCTGGAAAAACAATATAAGAAGTATTTATTTTACAAATGCATATTTACAAAGGTCGAGTATGTACATCAACATGAAAATGTATGTCTTGGGCCATGAAAGTTGAACCTAATCCACATCATCATGGTACAAACACACAAAACCATCAACAACATTTTTATTTTTGTTATCACCTGTTCTCTGCAAAATCAGCACTTACAACTACATGGGTCAATGGCCATATCCTCTTCCCATAAATCACCATGTGAACATGTATGAAATATATTATTTTAATATTTTGGCTCAGTGAAGTTAAAATAATACCAACACTACAGCTCATTTGAGTGAGTCTGGTTGGCAAATTCTAATAAAACAGCGATTAATACTGCGGGGTTTTATCTAGCAAATTACAGGAGACAAAAATGCCTCTGACAACAAAAATCTCAAGCATACTGATTACTGGCCCATTTCCCAGTAAATCTAACCCAGGTCCATGTCATCATTGAAATTAAAGGGACCATGACCACACAACAAGGGTAAAACTCAAGGAACCTAATTCAGCAACATTTAACTGGGTATGAACATGATCAAGTGTGTGCAAACAAAGTGTTCTCCTAGCTGCTTCAGATCTACAAAGGTTAGGAGGTCATTACACTATCTACTAATGATTTTGACATGAGCTGGAGAATGGGTTGTTGCACAGATGTTCCAGCTTCCTCCTGATGTTTTGTACACGAGTAGTATGGAAATTAACATTGTGAAAAAAGCAAAATAGCGACTATTGTTTCAACGGAATTAATTACGCTCACCCACATTGTACGCCACCATTTTAAACCAAGCAAAGTGGCGAAAGAAAATTTGCTGAGTTTGGCATTTGTCCAAATATCTTGCGCAAAAGAATGGCCTTCAACACAGCTGGTATTTGAACGACACAGTTCGATAAATAAAAGTAAGAAAAGACATTCCACGAGCATATCAGTTACAAAAGATACTCTTTAGTCTATTTTCACCAACTAAAAGCTCTCAAAACAATCATATATAAGACATTCTGGAATTTTTTGCGCACCCCAATTCAGCACATCACTGCATCATTGCCGCCATCTTAGGATACCAGTACCCTCTGACCTTACAAAGGATATAGATGGAACAAATGACAAAGAAAGTAAGATATTGATTATATTACGTTAGTACTCGTTAATAGCCATTGCAAATTCGGGAATTTTAGCATATCTAAGATATCCACGATATATACGCGTAAGTGCTAGAGATTGGAGAGTACATCACGATATTTGTGACGTCATCATCAACAACATTGGAAAGACGGAAGAGGTCTTTCACAAGAAGTGATTGTGTACTTTGTGAACATACTTTTAAGTCTCGTGAGTCATAAGAATCGAACACGACTTATTATAAGGACATCGTCTTAGTTATTCATTCTCTGTGTCGTGATTATAGATGTCACATTTGTTGACCTAACGCAGTGTAAATTCCGACAAGCAAACATATCTTTAGTCTGTAGTCACAGTCATGGGATTTCTAACGCACTTCTTCATCTGACGATTACTCATAGACTGATTGAAAAATTATCCGTCCTTAGTGTCAGTTCAGGTGGAGCAGTGCGAGGTAGGTGTTATAGGTGGAAGTATATTCTTGAAAATTACTGAAAATGTAAAAGGTTCATAGCTGTAAACCAACAATAAAAGACTACCAACAACAATATTTTGTTAGTTAACCGTGTCCACTTACTAATGTGGTTGAACATTATAAGAATATATGAATTATAGACAAATGAAAAACTTGATTAACCCTGAAAGTGAAAACTATTAGAAACGGGATGGAATACTTAAATCAATAGTATCAATATTTGACTCAATTGGGGAATGTTGTTTAAAGAGAGAGTACATTGACAGTTCTGTGTGTTTTTATATCATTCATGCAATAATTTCTGAGTGAGATGCCACACATTTAGCTTTTCATTCAATTCTCAAATCAGAACAGTGCCCCTTACTGCAAAGGCGACAACTGAATGGCTGCTCAGAGTGAAATGGCGTTGTACATGTTTTTTGTTAGAGGCACATGCGAAAGAAAGTTCATGAGTTCATCATATGAATGAATTTCAAAATACTAATTGCTTGAATGATTATAAGGCAACCCATTTTTTACCAAAGCTGAGATTAGGATATAAATATGAAGCCAATCACTCTACTACCCAGAGTTTCTTTCGACCAGCCAAGTACCTCTGTCTCATCATTAGATCTTACACATTCGGCTCATGTATATGTTATCAGTTTCATTTTGGATGAATATACACATTTAGATATACATATATCATGAAATGTTTTACTTTCATTGAGTAAAGATAGTAAAAAGGAAAAATATTTCCGTTGACATATTCATCATCCAAGTGTTATTGTTGAAGCCCTACAGAAAACTAACAATATAGTCACATTGATATCTGAAGCTACTTTTTCATACATTTCACTGTTACAGTTGTAAGATGATTATCCAAAGCAATATGTAAAGTGAACCAAAAGGCTTGCATCAAGCCTGTCCATTCTTGTTTCAGAAAAGTGGATTAATTTACAAACAGGAGAACATGTCACATGATTTGACAAGTTTAAAGTTGTCAGGCATAAGTCTACACCATGGTGTGGCCACTGGAGCAGAAAGTTTTCCTGTGGAATAAGCTTGAGAGTTACTGGGTATCGTTGACAAATAATAGCTCAGAATGGTTGACAATAAGTTGACCGTCCTGAAGTGTTGTTCGTAAACAACGGTCAGTAACCACTTACCTTACTAATCTCTGCTTGCTTTATTCCTTGGGAGAAGTTAATTAGTGCTATATAATCTTCTTCACCCAACCACTGGATTTTATAATAATGTTATGTTGTAGATTGTGGAAAGCTTACACATGTGTAAATGTTATTACTAAGTAATCTAATGTATAATGATGAATTAGAGCAGTGTATCGTGGCCTAAGTGGCGAGACAATATGTGTCCCGATACCAGTTTAATGAGGCGAGACGATATATCATGAATGTATTGGCAAGAGACCTGCGAGACGATCGTCATCACGATACAATAGTGGCGATATGATACGTATCCCGATACTTTACAATTTCTAAAAACAGAACAGATATGATATGTCGCGGGTTCAGGCCTGAGTCTTGCCAAGCAGACAAAATAACGAACAGAGACCCTCGTTCGTGTAAAACATCTCGTTTATTGCCTGTGAATTAAATACAACATTAGGAAGATGTTGTGTCAGCCATACATGTGGGATGGCTGACGGATGACAACTGAATGTGAATTCAAATTGTCAAATTAATTATTCAATTGATAATCAAATAGCACAGTGGCATATGTTATAGTTATATAACAATTGAATAATGGTGATTGTTTACATGATGACGTCACATAAAGCTGATGCATCATATTATTGCTAAAAATATATACAGTTGGTGTTGATAATAAAAGGTTTATAAAATATAATATAATTATACTTTCACACACTGTCTTACGTGCTTGTGCTTAAGTTAGTATGTGATACGCGATAGATATGTTTACTTTATGCGCGATCGGTAACAATATGTTTACTAACTTAAAATACTTAACTGATAATAATTAGATATTTAGCACTATGAAATAGAGAAAGGATATAGAGAGGGTGCTTACCTGTGAATTAAATACAACATTAGGAAGATGTTGTGTCAGCCATACATGTGTGATGGCTGACGGATGACAATTGAATGTGAATTCAAATTGTCATACGTCACAGGTGTAGAAGCCCGTGCTTTTGGTGGTGAGCCAAATACGGGTAGCACGTACAACTCCCTATATCAGACAGTGGAGAAGCAGCCTTCTGATGGAAAGATAGAGAAATAAAAGGCTGTCGGCGACAGATAGATAAAATGACTGAAACTCTATTTTTCATGCAGCAGAACTTGTGTTACATTCACACACACTTAAAGAGCTGTTAATCTAATAAAATTTCAGCATTTAATGCTTAAGAAAGTACAGTCAAACACATTCAGTATACCTTGATCTAATATAAATATATTTGAAACTGAAGTTTCCCTGAGGAAGTTGTGTTTCTACACCAAGTCTTTCACAAACAATTCAACGTAATTTAACAGAATTCAGAATCACTGAAAAAAACTCTTTAAGTCTGCTTTCTAAATTTGATCTTATCTTTGTTTTCATAGTTGTTAATAAATGGTGTTATTTGTCAAATAACTAAAACATAGTTAAATTACTTGAAGACAAGTATTCTACAGTTCACAGAGTTTGAAAAATGTTCACACTCTTTCACTTATACCCCAACTCCTTTGTTCATGTAACAAAAATAACAGATACAAACAAATTCCTATAAGTTCAATTTGTTTTTAAAATTCAGAAGAATTTCAAAGAGACTCTGTTCCTATTCCTAATGCAATACTCCTTTAAGTAGTACTTAAGTAGTATCGGGATATATCATATTGTGGTGATACATTGATGTATCATGGACCCTCGCGATATAAATGTCCTGATATATTGCCTAAATGTGTTTTGTATCGATGCACTTGTATCTCGTAGTTGATGATGCAAACATCGATACTATCGATGAACCGCTACACCACTATGATGAATGTGATATTTAGAACTATTGTGTCATATTTGACAAGTTTAATTTACTGATGTATTGTCATGTTAGCTTACATCTATGTAAACTACTAGCAGTGACATAGTTTTTGGTGCCAAATGACATTGAGCTATTACTGTGGCCTAAACATGGTTTCTTTTTCTTTTAGATGAACTGGTACATTTCACCTTTTTGTTTTAATATTTACGGTAGGATTGGCTTCTCGTTAGGACAGCAAGCTACATTTACACAATATTTCATCCATTGTCTTCAGGTTATTCTATAAACTATTCATCATGCCTCTCGAATGGTTATTTGGGCGTAAAAAGACGCCAGAGGAGATGTTGCGTCAGAATCAGAGAGCTCTCAACAAAGCCATGAGAGATCTGGATAGGGAGAGATCAAAGATGGAGCAACAGGAGAAGAAGGTCATTGCAGACATTAAAAAGATGGCTAAACAGGGTCAAATGGTAAGTTGTTGCATTTGTCCTTACGCAGACATAACAACATGGCATTACTTGAGCACAGATTAAATTTATGTACAACCTCCAGTTGGTTGAAATTGGTTGAAATGATTATTTTCTCCTAAAGACATATTTTGAGCATTGGTTGATGGTATTTGATATTGGTTGCAGGAGTCATCAATTTGTTGTCCATTATATGTGTTATTCTTTCATGAAACAATTAGCCATCATCACAGGTATGTTAGTACAAAATTTAGAATTTCAAATGACATGTTGCAAAGTATAGTTGAATATTAAGAAGACAGAAATGTTAATGGCCAGTTTTAACCTAATAATGTATGTCACAGGATGCGGTTAAAGTGATGGCCAAAGACCTTGTCCGTACCCGGCGCTACGTGAAGAAGTTCATCACAATGCGGGCAAACATCCAGGCAGTGTCACTAAAAATCCAAACACTCAAGTCTAACAATGCAATGGCACAAGCAATGAAGGGTGTGACGAAAGCCATGGCAACCATGAACAAACAGGTACTTGTCTGTTATCTTGGCATTAGTATGTTATTGTTATTGTCATGATCAGCCTGGTGCAACAACAAGGACAACACAGTTACAATGAATGTGTAGAGACTGACATTTTACTTCCAACTATGTCTACATCTCTGTCACACCTCAGTTGTATTTCCCTTGAAAAAATGATATTTGAAGTGCTCCCTGGATCTCAGCTGCAGAGATGTGTAGCTTTGTTACTAGTAGTAGGTGTGGTTGTAAGTGAAATTAGCAGTCAGCTCAAAGCAAAATGGATATCAGGAATGTATAACTGTTTATGTCATGGTATGGCTGAAATACTGCCGATGTGACTATAAATTTGAATTTACTAGCCCAAAGCGAAATTGTATAGATCATATTAATTTGACTCAGGGTCATGTGGAGTCAACATGTATGTTCATTAACATGTGGTTTCCTTGGCTAAATGTTTTAGATCTGAAGAAGTTAGCTTTGAAATAACTGAGACAGGCACTTGTAATATGAATGTGTGAGTAAATAAATGTGTTGGGTAAATGTTGTGAACCAGTTTTTACTCTAACAGGGCAATGACATCATGTTTGGATCTATCATATGTTGAAGTATCCTAGACTGAGACAAGGTCGGTCATGTGAATATTGATGATGTGGTTGTAGCTGAAGCTGCCCCAGATTCAGAAGATTATGATGGAGTTTGAGAAGCAGTCTGAGATCATGGACATGAAGGAGGAGATGATGAGTGATGCCATTGACGATGCCCTTGGAGATGAGGAGGATGAAGAAGAGAGGTAAGTAGTGCTAAATAAAAATGCAACAATCAAATTTCACCAGAAACATATTGGTTACAAGCTTTTTGGTAATGGATTTTCATGACTAACATGAAAATTATGACTTTCTGTTTGATAGAACAGAATCTAATGTGATTGTGCCAAGTTTTATGCTGTCAGGCATACTAAGTGTCATGCTGTGTTAGCAATATTGATACATTCTGTAGGATGTGAATTCTGAGAGGATTGTTCAGTGTTTATGGTACCATTGCTGTGTTGTGTTTAGTAAGGTGATCACTGTTTTGGATAAAAACATCAGACAAGCTGTCTTTGAAACTTTAAATTTTTAAGAGTAGCACAACAGATTGCGTTCACATTTCATAAATTGTAAATGATTTCTTTCTGAAGAGAAATAATAACTAGCTTTTTTATCTTGACAAGTTGTTGGATTTCATTGTTTGTGGAACATTGTGGCTGACTGGGATGGCTGAACTGACTTTCTGTGCTGATGACTTACTCTGACTCTGAGTGTGGGTTTGAATCCTGGATTGGACCCTAATCTAGGTTGTTATGGAAACTAATGATGTGACATTGTTTTATTGTAGTGATGCTATTGTGTCTCAAGTTTTGGATGAACTCGGCTTACAGATGGCAGATGAATTGTCAGGTAAGATAAACACCAAATATCCTGAAAGTTGTGAAGGGTTAATGCACAAATATGACATATTTCATGTTGTCTGATACCCAAGAGATGTTTCCCATGGAGATATTAGGAGAACTGGTTTCCAGGAACCTCTGCTTTTGGTATCTATGCAACCATGACTGAGCTTGAACATAACATACTGCAGCAGATAACAACACTTACTCTCACCGTGAGAAATTATGAGGGCAACTACACTTGAAATTATGAGGGCAAGTCTCCATAGTTGCTGTTGCCCGTGAATCATACTGCAGGAACCGCCTTAGGTTACATGTGAGGTGAGGTGAGGTGAGGTGAGGTGAAATTGGGTTTAACGTTGTGCTTGAGAATATTTCGCTCATATGACGACGTGCATGCGTGTGTATGTGTATGTGCGGCTGCTTGTACTAGCCCAGACTTAAGCTGGTTTTATAGTGGTAGCCCACTGAGATACCATGCCGTAGTGAAGCATGAATACTCCACTCTGACGCATTATACTGACTCCCAGCTGACCAGTCCTTGTTGTATCCATTAATGCTGAGCACCAGGCAGGGACCAACAAGTACCATATTTTAACATCTTTTGGTATGACACGGTCAGGGGTCGAACCCGCGACCTTGCACTCTCCGGGCTGACTCTCTAACCACTACACCACGGAGGTGGTCCTAGGTTACATGTACCATAACACTTTGGATTGATGTTTGTACAATAAGTGTCAGCCTATGGATTGCCATACAATATCACATTGTAGCCCAGTGAATATCTGGTTGAAATTTATAGCTTGTTACTTGAAGTAATAGGATCAGCAGGTCAGACTTGATGTTGTTGATACGTCCTCATAATCCAATTGCGCAGGTCAATGTTCATGATGTCAGTCACTAGATTGTGTTGTACACACTCAAACTAGCTAGAATATATCTGAATGTGGTGTTACACAACAAACAGACATGTCGTATTGCAGGTTGTTGTGATGAGCTGGGATCTTGAGGACTGCCATCCTTCACGAAATTTTCATATTTGTTACAAGTGTGCAACTAAATATGAAAATAGTATTTCTTCCTTAACTCATGCAATATGTCAATCAGCAAGAAGTCTAATTTTCATAAGAATTAAATTTTCAAAGACACAGAGGGTATTTAGCAACGGTCATGTCTTGTTTATTGACCAGTACGAAGTCTATTTATGTTTGAAGTGTGGCAGTTGTCCTTACAAGACTGTTCACTAATATTATCCGAAGCTGAGTTGCTGTAGTAGAAATGAAACTAAGTAATACAAGCGAATCACATGGTGGTATTGTGGTGTAGACGATTAGAATCATTACGCTTTGATGTCCCTACAGGAGATTTTAACAAAGTACAGTCACAAACACTGTTGTGTCGAACTCATGGTTGTCTTGAAGTAAGGCTGGGTCCCTGTGTATTTCTTGTTTTGTCATCAGTTTACATTTGTGTTGAACTGCTGCTGATATCTTGAGGTGTTTAGGGAGGTCCCTTCAACTTCAAGACAACAGGGGTGGTGGGGTGGCCTCGTGGTTAAAGTGTTTGCTCGTCACCCCGAAGATTGGATTCGATTCCCCACATGGGTACATGTGTGTTTCCAGTTTCTGGTGTCCCCCCCTTGATATTGCTGAAATATTGCTAAAAGCAGCGTAAAACTAAACTCACTCAAGACAATAGTCTTTCACTGTACTAATTGTAATTTTGGACAGCTGACAGCTTAATATATTTTTGAGGATCATCAATGTGTCTTGTTCTGTAGGTCTGCCAACTGCTAACCAGACTCTTTCCGCTGGAGCCTCCAAACAACCACAAGCTGCTGCTGCCGCCGATGTCAGTGCTGCAGATGCTGATCTTGAAGCAAGGTTAAATAATCTGAAGAGACAGTGAGACTGACAGACTCTATGGAATGATACAAGAGAGCTATTGCTTGAGGCAAGCTCCCTCTATAGCCAAACCCTTGGTGATGACAGCTGTTATGTGATCAAGGACAAACTTGAATGTAGCTTGTCATGGAAACACGAACATACAAGATAAAAGTGTTGTTGGCACAGTGGTGGCTTATTGTAACATGCCCTTATTGTAATGTTTGATTCCAAACTACATTTTTAATTCACTTTGGAAAGTTTCATAAACTACCGTCTCAACTTCTGGGTAGGAAGGATCCTGAAAGTGTCAGGTTACAGAAGTAAAGACTACAAAACTGTTCCCAGTGTATAAAACTGTCAGTTAACTAAATAGGTCGTTCACAATGTCATTATTCAAAACTGCTTTTCCACATTACGATCATGTTTTGTTCCTTTTTTACATTTCTGAGACATCTTTCATGTAATCCATTTTATGTTATCTAATTGGTTCTTTTAAGTTATGCTCTGCACATTTGAGTCTATTTTTAGGTCTTATTTTGTCCAGTTTAGGGTATTACACTGATTTATGTCAATGCTTATTAATATTCTAGTTTATATTCCATGGAACACATGTTCATACTGTTCTGTGTACAATCTAACTGTGCCCAATGAATACTGAAGGAAGCTTTGTGTTGAGTCTGTATGTGCTTACATGAAATGATCAGTCATAAGAGTTTAGTCTCATCAGTTGGTTGTAATGCTTACTACAGCAATGTTCATGTACAGAGGTTGATATTAGATGTTTGTCAATACTGCCATGCCTTCTTGTTGAAGAGACATTGGTTTTGTGTGTGATCTGATATTATTTATTGATCAGTCATGCTTGGTCAGTAGCATAGCTTTAGAACACCAGGGAATTGTTTCTTAAATAAACACCAGTCCTACTGAAAAAATATTCAAAAGTTTACAGAATTAAAATAGCACTGTACTGTACTTCCCCTCCAATGACAATATTGGATTTCATGGTCATCAAGAAATGTGATCAAATATCTTAATATATGAGCAAGCAGTTTTGTTCTGCCACCATTGTGCATACAGGCACAAATAATCTATTGATCAATGTTAGCCTTTATTTATCAAAGTAATGACTGCTTGTCAGTGATTCCAACCAGATATCACTATTCTTCTCTCACACCTGTGAAGAATTTTTAGTGTAAAAATGTATTTTTACTTGTGTATATATTAATATGTATGCGTTTTGAAGTAAACACTTTCAAACTGATATGTTAGGATTTATTTGTATTTCTTCAAGACTGAGCTCATAACAGATCCCAGAGTTCAATGGACTGCATATTAATGAAGCCACATCACCATTCTACATGTCTGCACACTGCTTTGCTTGCTTGTGATTGGCTGACATTTTAAGTCAAGGTCGCACAGTAAAATTGTTTCAATAGTTAAGATGACAATATTTGTCCCAATCTCAAAATTGAGACCGTATAAATATCAATAGTAAACAGTAACAAATACAAAGATCTTCACAGTACATGCAAAAAATGGGGATTGTAAACCAAAAGTCACTGTGTTCTTCAATCTGATTGGTTGAAAAACGTGATCAAATGGTATTTGATTCTCGGAAATTCTCTGCGTATTAATACATACAAACATCGCTCACACCATTGTATTGTTACGTCGTCAGCTGTGATGACGTCATTAAAATCATATTGTGACGTAAAGTCCGAATGACGTCACAAATGAGCAGTTCCAGATGCTACCATGGGAGACAGCCGAAACGGACGGCTGATGACATTTCATTGCTGTACCCGCGTACTTTCGATGTCAATGAGTGCAGAAACAAAAACGTGTGTGGACCTTTCGGTTTACTTTTAGTTTATACAATGTCGATAAACATCATGTGTTTAGCGAATTTCCGGGTGTTATTGAGTATTTGAAGCACGGAATATTTCATTTGAAACCTCCGGCTGATGCCGTCGGTTCCAAATGAATTCCCGTGCTTCATATACTCAATAACACCCGGAAATTCGCAAACACATGATGTTTATCTCCTAATTAATTCACTTCCCTTCCCTTCCCTGAATTCCCCAAGCTATTACCACAAACAAACAATTTGACTATCAGGTCTCAGTTGACTGAACCATTATCTATGCTCATCTTTTACATGTAATGCTCTGAATACCAGTATATCTTTAATGCCCAGTGCAAGACAACTCACTCGCAACTCACACAAAACAAATTCATTAAGCACCTCTGTGGGAAGAGAATGAGGTATTATGTGTCCACGCATTCCAATCATAGTTGCCAGCTACTAGTATCTTGAAAGGAAACTTGCAGGTGCTGCTGGTAGAAAGACCTTGAGTCTCAATTTCAACCAATCACATGATTTATGATTAAAATCATCAGGATAAGCCATAACTGTGAAGCAAACAGAGGCTTACCTAGTACAAAAAGATGGTGAAAAGACTAACCGGTCCTGAGACTTGACCTCCATGAATGTTGAAACCTTTCCTTCAATAAGGCTTACATCAACTACATTTCATTCTACTACAGAGTCAGCCCCTTTACTCCTATCTGGTGGGAAAGGTGATCATCAGTTCCTGGACAACTTCAGCGGCAGCAATTTGCAGATTAAGTCACAGGAAACATCTTGTACATGTATATTTGAAGTCACATCAAAATAGCTTCATATAAAGCACAGTAACAAAATATCACATCCCAAGGTAGTATATGGCATGTGCTACTCACTGAGAGTAGGTCACCAAATCAGAATCAGTTGTTTTACAAGTAGTTTTCAATGGGAGCTGTTAGTGTAGATTGAATCATCTGGCAATTGTAACTGGGTGACTATGAGTACAGCTTGTGTTTTAAATGTACATACATTCCTGCATTTAGTAAAGGAGCTAAAACTTGTCATACAATTTTATTGTTGCTTAAAGCAAGACTGCGCACATGAACATGTAACAGCACGTCCATTTCTATAGAACTTCATATTTTTTTTTATAATCTGTATATGACTGACAGCATGTCGCAGCCTAAATTTAAATGTCCTTTTTATAATTTTGGGAAAAGACTGAAAACATTGTTCATAGCTGTTTCCCATGGTAAACTCATTATCCGATCATCTCCCGACTCGTCCTAAGCCAGGCCTATAGATTCCTAGACCTGTGCATCTTGATAGCACAGACAGTCTGTGGCCAGTGACTTTTGACCATGGCCAGGATCTTATTGTTGACCAGCATTTCATACCAGAGTCATCAGAAGATGACATATCCCCCCAGCCCCACATCTTTGAAAGAACAAATCATCTGACAGTTACTTAAAGTCCAGCTTGACTTTTTTTATTAACTAAGTCCAAATCGTTTCCATGGAAATCATGAGAAATATAAATGCCAAAAATCTGTAAATAGCAAAAGCACCATTTCAAAATTTGCCTAATATATCTGCCAAGACCTGTTGAAAGATACTGAACGCTTTTCGAGTTGTGCTCCGGAAATGAAGCCCACCCCTCCCTTTTGGGACTAAGTCCTAATCGTTTCCATGGAAAACGGGAAAAATAAATATGCCAAACATTTGCTAAATAGCAAAAGGCACCACTTTGGCATCTGCCTCACATATCTGCCAAGTTTTGCTGAAAGATATTAAGAAGTTTTCCAGTTGTGCTCCGTAAACGAAACCCACTCCTCCCTTTTGGGACTAAGTCCGAATCGTTTCCATGGAAACAGGGAAAAATAAAAATGCCAAAAATCTGCAAATAGCAAAAGGCACCACTTAAGGATCTGTTTGATATATCTACCAAGTTTTGTTGAAAAATATTTGACGTTCTTTTTCAAATAGATAGTCCTTGGGGTACATAATTGCATTTTCTGCGGCTGAAAATGTCCTGTGACAGTTGTATCAATGTTTTAATAAAAATATTGTACAATAAATAAAATCTTTATCTATTATACGGCCCCCACCACGTGGAGTTACCTCCCTGCTACGCATGCACAGCCAACCAGGTAAGCACCTAGGCCCGTATCATCATTCCTTCTGCTGTCACTCAACCGTTCAGACGTGTTTCGAGTTGCCTTGCTGAATACCTCTTGTATAAAGAATAATGTCTGAGACTTCAACTGTATGTATGGTCTTTATTTGTTCTTGACAGAACAGTATTATAAGACTTTTGCAGTCTGTTATTTCTCATTAATGTGACTTTGTATTAAACTTTACGCTAGCTTTCCCGTGGTTTACGCACGTGTTGCTTTTCCATGGCGGGAAGTTTAGCGTAGCTGCCAGTGGTATTGTGCGTTATTAGCCAAGTATTTCTTCCCGCGGTCACATTCACGTAATTTTCAATGTTTTGTACGTGTTTATTTATGCTGCTGGCTCCGCTGTTAGCTACATGCTTGCGTGTTTGCTTTCAGGCATTTACTGGGTGTTCTGTCTGCAGGCAGAACATCCCCAGAGCCGATAAGCACGACAAGTGCTTGTGCTGTCTCGAGAAAGTCGGCCACAACCCTGATATTTGTGAACTTTGCATGGCCTTCTCCCCCCGGGCCCAGAAACGGAGGGCCGCGGATTTTCTCTTCTACAAAGAGTTGCGAGAGGCGGGAGGGGACCTGACCCAAGAGGTCCCCCCGTCTAAAGCTAAAAAATCTAAGCTGGCTAAGAAACCTCAGTCACACAGTGGTTTTGATATGTCTTTAATTACACAACTTTTCCAGCAGCATATGGACTCAGTGAAGTCCCTTGTTCACGAGTCTGTTGGAGGTCTCCGTCAGGAGTTCCTCGCCCACTCTGAGCAGGGGACAGAGACTCCGGGGGTGGGATCGCCGAGCACGGCTCAATCCCTTAGCCTGGAGGCGTCTGTCGATCCGTTGCCTCTGGCTTCGGGTCCGGACGCCTCGGCTATCCCGGAGGGGAGGGTTTGCTCCCAGTCCCCCTCGCGGTGTTGGCGCAGGGTCTGTTGAGGATTCCTGGGGTTCTGCTCCCTGCGCCCCTCCGCCCTGCCCCATGAGAGCGGATGAGCCGGTTCTGCCCGGTCTTCCTCCCGTGTCTCAGGACCGGGGTTTCGAGTATTTTGTCGGTTGCCGGAGCGGGTAGTTCCTTGGGCTCTTCCCTTCCCTCGGTGTCTGGGGCTCGGCCTCCCACCGGGTCAGGGTTCGGATCCTCTTCGCGAGGAGACCTGGATTCTGACTCGGGCTCGGGTGCCGAGTCTATGGACGTTGGGGAGGTCGAGGAGCCGGAGGGCACTTTCCATTTCTTGACGGCTCTCCGGGAGGTTCGGCAGCATATTGCCGAGTTCATTCCCAAAGCCGCTGTACCCACCAGTCACTGGACTCATCTGACTTCCGCTTCGCCGGGCGGGCTGGACTCATCTTGCCTTCCCTGGTGCAGGACGGATGGATCCCTCCTGGTGGGGACACGCCCGGGTCTCGATTTGCCTGAACTCGTGAAGAGCAGGGATGTGAAATTTCCGGGAAAATTCGCGTTTTCCAAATTAATTTTCGCTTAAAAATATCACTTCTGTGATTTTTTCTCAAATAGCAAACAAATATTTTCACATCGCGATCTCGCGAATTGTCCGGATTTGATCTTGCCTCGAAGTGATCCTGATTTTCCCCAGAGCCCATACAGGCCCTATAGGCGTATCTCATAGCACTGTTGGTAGTACGCGAGGTTGGGAGCTCAGCGTAAACAAAGGACAAACATGGCGACAGTTGAATGGAAGTCCGATGTCACGAAAATCGATAAGGGAGTTAAAAGTCCCTAACAGGGGTTGGCTGGAAAAATGTAGATAAAAACACAACTTAGTGTTGTGATTGACAAGATTGATAAACCTGGCTTTGCATATTGTAAGATTTGTAGAAAGGAAATAAATTATGGGAAGCGTGGGTGTGTCGCACTCGAAGATCAATATGCTGGATCGAAACACAAGGAGCTGGTTCTCATTCAGAAGACAAATTATGCATTACCAGGTACATACATAATTTGATTAGTTAAACTGTATTTTATAATTGATAATAATTCGCGTAATCTCTGTATCATGTTAATTTAGCATAAAATAATTAAGATGCAGACGAGAAACATGGGAAGCAAATTGAGATAATTAAATATTTGTCTTGTGCCTAAACTTCTGTTTAATATTATGTATGTAGCATGTTCAATAAAGTAATATTTTATATATGAAAATGAGAACCGTAACTATCCCTGGCAAGTGTTGGATTGTAGTATTTAGGTATATATAATGCATGTTTTGTTTTATTTTCATCCACTTTGCAGTGATAAACTGATGCATGTCTTAGTAAGTATTTTATATACCTTAGCTCATGTAATCATGTAAGCTTTTTATATACATTGATATATAGCTTAGCCTCTTATGTAATCATATTTATACATATATTTATATATAGGTGATGGTAATATATATGTTTATTTGTTGATGGTTGTGGCTTTTTCTCAAATTATTATTCATTATTAATCATCTTTTAGACTTTAACATTGCCTTTCTACTCATCCTTGACACGCTCAAGAACACTTCATATTATGATTATATCCACACTATTTTTGTATTGTCTTGATTATCATGATTATTGCTTTACTGTTTATAATGTCTATGGACAATTGTTAGTATAGTTAGGTAAATCACCTAAAACAACAATTTAAAGTTCTGTACCTACACTAACCACTGTGCTTGTGTAACTTATAAGTTTGTAGCTACATACATGCATGAATTAAATGTCTGATTTTTTTTTGTAAGCATGTTTTAATTTTGATGGCAGTAAATAGACATAATCTTCAACTGGAATTTCTTTGTCAAATTATAAGAATTATTAGACACAATATATAGTTAATTATGGTACATGTATTTATCCTACTATTCCCATATATTTACTACTGCAAAAGTTAACTTATAGCTCAAATAATTCAACCCTTCATTTTCATTAATTTTTTTTTCTTATTTTCTGTTACAGGTCAGCAGAAGGTGTTTAGTATCTTCAAACAGCCTATTCCTTCAGGACAAGACAACAGTAGTACAGAAACCTCAAGTTCATTACCACCTATAGCAGCAAAGACTCCAGTTAAAGATCGCGTTCACAATGCTGAAGCAATGTCGTTGTCCTTTGCAGCTGATAATTCACTTTCATTTTCACAAGTTCCAAAGTTGATCTCACTCGCAAAGGCTTTGTCTTCTGACAAGTCTGCGCTTGACCAGCTGTCTATGGATAGAACATCAGCCTCATATAAGATGACCCATGGCCTTGCATATACTTACTGGGAAATTCTTGTTAATGACATGAGAACACACAAGTGTTCCTTGAACATTGATGAAGCTACAAGTTCCGATAACCATCATGTTTTGGCAGTTATTGTCAGCTATTTCTCAACTGAGCAACAGAAAGTTGTTGTTCACCATTTGGACTCTCTTTCTGTTCTCGAAGTTGACAGTCAAACACTATTTGAAGCTCTTGATAAATTGTTTGTATCAAACAATATCCCGTGGACAAATTTGATGTCTATATTGATGGACTCTTGTGCTGTTATGAGAGGTTCAAAGAAGGGATTAGAAAAGATGATCAGGACGAAAAGAGCTCCACATCTTTTGGACATAGATGGCGATACCTGTCACCATGCCCACAATGCAGCAAAACGTTTCTGCCAGCCTTTCGAATATCACGTTGAAGGACTGATGTGTGACCTCCATTCTGACTTTAAGTGGTCTGTTGACCACAGGGAAGCTTTACAGATGATATGTGCCATTCTTGGCAATGTTAAATACACAGTGCCCGAGAGATATATCGCTCACAGGTGGTTATCTGTATATAATGTTTGTGTAGACACACTTCGATTATTTGATGCCTACACTCTCTTCTTCTTCCCTTTCCTGTTCAAAACTGAGACCTGCAACTACAGGGATATTGTCAATTATATCTATGCAAAGTACAATGTGAGCCATGAAAATGATCAAAATGCAGTTGAAAAACTGCTCCAGCCTATCCTCAAAAAGAACATGACCACTGAAGGAAAAGAGAGGAAACAGAGAATCCTGGAAAATCTATTCCATCTGAGCACCAAGACATTTTTGATCATGCAGGTATGATTGATAATTTGTGTATAGTTGTGCTGCCTAGTAAACACATTATATACATGTAATATCACTTTGTATTTACCAGTTTGCATCTTAATATTTCCGGCAGTAATGAGTCATTTATGTTTTAAACTTTTAGATTATATTTAAGTTTTCTTTATTTGCTTTTCAGTTCTACACAGCAGTGCTGGGACAACTGAAGAAGTATGTTGTCATGTTCCGGTCAAAGGACACCACAGTAGACAAGCTGCATGACGAGCAGAAACAGTTGGTAACAAGGTTCCTCTCAAATTTCATCAAATCAGAGGTTCTGAAGGGAATCACACCAAAGAAGCTGGTCAACTTTGCAGTGTCAGACCCTGCCAAACCACTTGCCACGGAAAGATATTTTTGTTGGATGGAAAACAAGAGGAGTTTTGTCAAAGTATGGCAGTGACAAGACTGTTTCACAGTTCCTGGAAAAAGCCAAAGAAGCATTCATCAGCTGCAGCATTGCCATCCTGTCCAAGTAGCCCATCAACAACCCTGTGCTGAAGGCAATGTCAGCACTGGATCCTGTAGTGAGGCAACATTGCACGACACAACATTATCGGAATCAACTGCCATCCTTAGCCACAAACATCACCACTGAAGAAACCAGGGATGAACTTGACATGGAAGTGAGAGGGTATACTGTTGATGAGAACTTGCCTGGACCACTGGCTTGTGATGAGGAGAAGCTTGACTTGTGGTGGGCCAGGGTTCATAAAACTGGTCGGTACCCACTTCTGACATCTGTGGTGAAGGGTGTCATATCCTGTTTTCATGGCCCTATGGTTGAAAGTAGTTTCAACATCATGGGTGATATCCTTGATGATTCGTCAGCCAACATGAAGATTAAAACTTACAGTGCCATTCAGACTGTGAAGTATGAACTGATGGCTAGAGGCCAAACATCTGTGGACAAGGACCCCAAATTTTCTAAAGTGAACCCACTCTTATGTAAGAATCTGCAGACAGCATATAGGCGGAACCAAGAGTCTAAAGAAACAAGACAGAGAGAGGTCAGAGAAAACCAGAAGACTTTTGGAATTGTTGCACCTCCAGCCAATCCTGTATCTAAAAGAAAATACAAGGAGACAGTTTCACAAGAAGTGGAAGCATCATGGAAGAAACAGTTTAGTGAAAAAAGAAAGAAATTGGATTAGTCTATTCTGATGATTTGCCGAAGTGGAAAAATCTTAATCTCTGAACTGTGAACATAGAGACACAGAAGGCTGATTAGTTTAGTGACACTTTCAGGACAATGTACAGGATGTTGTGAATTGATTACATTATTAAATTGATAATGCTTTTAAATGATAATGCAAGGAAATGATCTGCACTACTTTTGTCTCATTAAATTTCTTTAAGATTGCAAATGCTTGGATTGATGTTTGTTGACAGTTATTATCAAATTTGTTATCAACCAAAGAAAGACATCCAAAAGAGGTAGATATTTTGAGGGTAAAGATAAGGTAAAATAAGGTAAAATATAATGAGGAAATGCACCAAATTGCAGGAAATGTAGTTTTGATTTTAACATTTTCTGGGGGCTTACCACCCTAGCAAATGCAAACCCTAAGGGGTTGGCATGGCCACACTTTCTGCTGCAGATTATTTTCCTCTCTTTTTTTTAATCAGTGCTCACATCCCCGATTAAGCCCTGGGGAGGCTCAGCTTCCTCTGTTGCAGCCCGTCTGCCAAGCAAGGCGTTTGTACCACCGTTTGGCCTTGTGAAGCCCCTGCAGCAGGCTTACCTGACTTATGAGGAAGTCTATCGGAATGCCATGAGGCCTACCTTTCCTCTATCCAAAGGTCAGCTCTGGAGGCTGAAGGGAACACTGGGGACGTGTCCCTGTATGTTGTTCTGCTTCGACTGTGGTCCGAAGTGCAGGCCACACCGAAGGACTCGCTGCCTTGCGGGTCAGCGTCTGACGGTGATGCGGCTATTATAGGGATGTGCAAGCTGTGGCTGTCGACTGGATTGCTCAGCAGCAACACAGCAGACCTTGCTAGCCCTTCCGTTCCGTCTGGGAGCGACGTTGTTTCCTGGGGCTCAGCAGGTCATTTGGGAGGCTGCTGCTGCAGCTATCTCCTTCAAGGACTCTAAGGCCTTGTTGGAGCATCCGCAGGCTTCTAGCCCCCGCGTTCCCGTCACGGTTTCCTCCAAAGGTAAGGGTAAGGAGCAGTCCTCTTCGTCTGGCTCCCAGCCTTTTTGCGGGCTCGGGTGGTCTGCCCCGACCTGGGGTTGTTTATTTTCGCACTGTGTGCCAACTTGCTATGCTTAACCTACGAGGTCGGTTCTAAGTACTTATCCTCCCTGTCGGTTACCCTCCCATAATGCCTCTCGCGGAAGCTCCGGGACACGTGACAGGTGAGTGTTGTGGCCTCTGTTACATTATTCCTAACGATCGCTATTCATGTGTACTTTAACAGAATTCCCTCCTTCCTGGCCTCCGGTCTTTGGGAGTCTGAGTTTATGCATATATGTACCCCAAGGACGATCTCTCTGATAAAGAATTAACTAAACCAATTCTTTGAAGAGAGTCCTCTTTGGAGGTCGCGCCCACCTCCCCGCAATTCTGTTCACTGATTTATTCAGCAGAAGGAATGATGATATGGGCCTAGGTGCTTACCTGGTTGGCTGCGCATGCGTAGCAGGGAGGTAACTCCATGTGGTGGGGGCCGTATAATAGATAAAAAAGATTTTATTTATTGCACAATATTGTTATTAAAACATTGATACAACTGTTACAGGCCATTTTCAGCCGCAGAAAATGCATATATGTACCCCAAGGACGACTCTCTTCAAAAGAATTGGAAACCTCTGCAGGTTTAGTTAAGTTTTTGAGTTATGCTCTGGAAACAAAATGATTACGGACGGACGGACAGACGGACGAGGCGTTGACTATATCCCCTGCATTACAGTCCGGGGAGATAAAAATCATGTTCACCACACTACAAAGCAGCAATAAATCAGTTAGATGATGCATATCACACTTCTGTAGCCAATTTTCCCTGGGTCACACAAGAAAACAAGGCAATGTAAGTAATCCAGCCAAGATGTCCAAATCTGCCAGTCCTTGTCATCTAAGTTCAAAGAGGAAAACTGAACAAACCAACAAAAGAAAAGAAGCCATTCGGCAGCAGATTCAGGAGGGTGGTTATATAAATCTTGCTCTCCTGGTAAATGACCCCCACCAAGACAACAATGACTTTCACACAGTATCAGATGTGGATGGAAACAAAATATGTATCAAAGGCCCACACTCAGCCAAGTTACTGAGATCACTGACAGTAAACAAATTCCATGTGGCATTTGGAAGATACATGTCGGCCCTTTGTGAGACAGACCCTGACAGATGGGCAGAGTTACCGACTTATCAAGCCAGCAATGTGAACATGGCGTACACCTATGGTGACAGTGTTCTATGACTACCACCAGGCTACCCTGTGGCGGGTGTATCGCACCAAAGTGGACTGGTCCCTCATTGATATACCCCTGTACGTTTCCATCACTGCGGACAGGCGAATGTCGGTATGTACCATTTGTTCCAGTGACTGACTGACTGAGTTTGGTTTAAGCTGCTTTTAGCAATATTCCAGCAACATCACGGCGGGGGACACCAGAAATGGGCTTCACACATTGTGCCCATGTGGGGATTCGAACCCGGGTCTTCGGCGTGACGAGCCAACGCTTTAACCATTAGGCTACCCCACCGCCCCTTTGTACATAATCAGAAACATGATACTCAGAAACATGAACTCGTCCCATAGTTTAAATAGAAGCACTTGTATAGTTGATATCAAGCTCAAATGATAGATGAGCAGTACATGTAATGCAAGAATATACTTTATATTCAATTAGCATCACTAAGCCTTATGTGTGATTTGTTTCAACTTCAGTTATAACTCATGTCTGACAGAGGTTTTCTTCAACGTATATAATGGTTTCATACACTTAAATTATATTTTGTTTTCTATTCAGAATGGAAAACTATCAGAAGTCTCACCAGTGTGACATATGTTGCACATTGTTTACACAGTCCAGCAGCCTCTATCGTGACAAGAGAACTGTACATGGCGTGCAAAAATATAATTGCGTTCAGTGAGGTCATTCTTTCTCTAGACTGGATTTTTTAATGCCCACAATTGCCAGTCCAGACTGAAACGGACGGCTAGTTCCAGTGAGAATACAGATCAGCCTATGAGTAAGCAACCTTGTCGACGACCAGGGAACCCCCAACACCAACACCAACACCCAACTGAACCGTTATCCAATGCCCGTTTTGATACCTGCAAGTGGTGCGGTCACTTTAAACAGAGACCATATAATATTATATGGTCTCTGCTTTAAAGGTTTACTGCCAGGTAAATAACAAAATATGTATGAGTGAACACTTTCGTGTATCTATGTACACATTTTGTTAATATTTTTTATTACATTTTAGAAATATCTGGACCTCGGAGTCAAAGCCACAGGCATGGCAGAGACAGTAGCAAAAGCTGCGAGCCATGCCATCATGTCGTTTAAGATATGCTGTTTGTGCTAAAGAAGGGCATCCACTGACAAGGTGTTGGACAGTCTCTGTAAATTCATTGCAAAGTCAACATTTCATATTGATATTTTCTTTTAAAATCACATTTGGGCAATTGCGAGTGGGAAGTGACTAGTCCTGAGCAGCAAAAAGGAAGCCCTCAGTTTCAATTTATATTATTATTATTATTGCCATAAGTGTTTATTACCAGGTAAACAGTTCTGCGAGCAATGCTCAACTAAAGGGAGAGAATGTCGACAATGCCATCGCCCTCTCCCCGAGAGATTCTACAGTCAGGGTGTCGAGGTGTACAAGCTGTGTGAGACGAAGACAGAGGTGGCAACAGAGGAGAGAACAGTATGGAGGAGGTCAAACGAGGACAGATTTGGAGGGTTCAGCCTCTACGACAACTCTTATTGTCCCTCTCCATGTCAGTTCTTCTGAATCTCTGAATACAATTGACCTCTTGTTGATCAGTAAAGGAGAAAAGTGACACTTCTGTCTGATCAGAAATTTTTTCAGACTTATGGGAGATAGAACCAATTATCATGGAAAATATTTGTACTGTAGGAGATGTCTCCATGGGTTTGTGAGACAAGATCTGTTGGATGGTCACCCTCCCTATTGTCGCCAGTATGACCTTCAAAAACCAAAAATTACCACAGACTGATCAGGAAAGATGGGTCAGATTTAAATCCATTCAAAAACAGCTAAGGGTTCCATTTGTCATCTATGCTGATTTTGAATGTTTGACCAATAAAGTGAGTGGTTGCACTCCAAACCCAGCGTCCTCTTACACTGATGTGTATCAAGAACATGAACCGTCTGGTTTTTGTTATAAAGTGGTATCAGTCAATCATGATTATACCGAACCTGCTGTTGTTAATAGAGGACCCAATGTTACACATTTTATTGTGCGTCTTCTCAAGGAAGAAAAGGACATTTTACAGGTTCTAGATTATGTCATGCCTATGTCCCTCACTGACATGACGAGCAGGAACATGATTTCCAAAGAGCCACTCAATGTCACATTTGCTCTCAGCAGTTTACTTCCACATGCATCAAAGTCTGAGAGCACTGCCACGTCTAAGGGGCTTACCATGGAGAGCACTGCCACGTCTAAGGGGCTTACCATGGAGAGCACTGCCACGTCTAAGGGGCTTACCATGGAGAGCCTTCCACACTGTATCAAAGTCCGAGAGCACTGCCATGTCTAAGGCGATTACCATGGAGAGCACTGCTGCTCATCAAGGCTGTAATCTCAATTATAAGTTTAGAAAAGCTCTAAAACAGATGAGAAAAAAGCAGGAACGAATATTTTCTTCCAATCATTTTCCATGGACTTCGCAATTATGACTCGCATATACTTATAGCAGAGTTAAATAAAATATTCAGAGTCAAACACTCCTGTCTAGCTAACAATTTGGAGAAATACATTTCATTCAGTCTGGGTAATTTGAAATTTATTGATTCGTTTCAATTTTTAAACGATTCCTTGGAGAAACTAACTCATAATTTGAAGAAGGCTGATTCAACCAAATACAAATGTTTATCACATGAGTTTTCAAGCGAGGATCAGCTGAATCTCTTGCTTAGAAAGGGAGTGTATCCCTATGATTTCATGGATGATGAAAGCAAGTTTCATCTGACCAAGCTTCCAATTTCATCTGAATTTTATAATATTCTGACAGATAGCCCTGTTTCGGATGAAGATTATGAATATGCACACCTGGTGTGGTCTACTTTTGGATTGAAAACAAGCATTGTCACTAAGGTGACACAATCCCCCGCTGCAAATTATCAAATCAAACTTAAAAAGTAATGAAAGTTTAAGATGAAGTTAAATGTCAACAAAAACATGACCATGAAATATATAACCATTACATACATCTATTGTTTGTCATTATTTTCTTTCTAATATTGAAAAAAAATATCTATTAAAACAGGACTAGTATGCATAAAATATACATTGTATAGATGTATAACCTTTTACTATAATAATTTTGAAAAAGATGTTATTATTATTATTTTATTTATATAGGGCCCTTTTGACTAGGGGTCTGAGGCCCTTTTGACTTTTTTATGCGGCCCTTTTGACTAGGGTGTTTTTGACCCTTTTGACTTTAGTGCCCCTTTGACTTTTCGCCCTTTTGACTAGAACCTGGACAGAGAATGTCATGAATGTTATGCAAAATAATTCTCTTATTTTGAGCTTGTCCACGGTTTTAATCAGACAGCCATTACAGAAGTAAACATTGACAAAATCAGAGCAGGTTGCTTGTACCATTGTATTTCCATGACAAAGGGTTTAACTTGAGCCCCATGAGACTTCTGGAAAGAATTCTGGCAAAGACAATTTCCAAGTTGTATAAGACAATATTCCCATTTTAGCCAAAGACTGAAGAAACTATAGAATGGCTCAGCATAGTAAAGAACAGCTCCAAGTAAAATCAGAAAGTAAAACCTGAAAAAGGCCAACTCTTCAAAGAGAAACCATGTTATCTTGGACATACTGTGTCCGAGGATGGGTGGCTCCAGATCCAACTAGATCACTGATGTCAGTGGTTGGGCAGTTCCAAAAACAGAAACACAGCCTTCTTTGGTTGGCTGGTTGCTATTAAAAGTTTGCACGAGACTTCACCAGCGTTGTAGCTACTCTTCCCACTTTTTTGCCAGGCAAAAGGCTGGATTAGAAAGAAGAAGGAAAGTCCAAGCAGGGATTGGCATGAAGTCATGATACAACTCTTGGGACAAGGCTTTTATAGAGCTGAAGCTGCATCTTGCCATGGTGACAGTCCTGGAACATCCTGTTCTTTTTCAGAAGAAGTCTTCTTTGGGGTACATATGTGCATTGTCTGCTGCTGAAAATGTTGAGGAATGCTTGCCAACAGATCAGGGTGTTGGTCCATGGTGCGTACTTCTCCTCACTTCAGAGGTAGACCTGGAGTCAAGAAGGGGCCCTGGTGATGTTTCATCAAGTATGATCCTCCTCCATGAGTTGACCGAGGTGCAGGCCCATCTGATGTGGGATTTTGAAGTTTCATCATACCATGGTGCTAGTCCTGGAACACCCTGATGTTAGCAGACCCCATATCCTGGACATTGTGCAGTAAAGGGAAATAATGGCACAGGAAGAAGAATCCAGCAAAGTTGTGCTGAGCTTTGCTAGCAGATCCTAATGACCATCCATTCATGCATTCAAACTGTAAAAACGTGTCAGCTTTGCCTTTTAATTGCTCATAGCAAAATTCAGTGCTAAGGAAAAAGCAAAATGGTTCAGAACTGGAGTTGGACAATAAGAAAGATAAGTATATGAAACAAATTAGCATTATGGAAATACTGACAGGGCCTCATCGTAATGGTAATTTGGGTGCATATCTAAAGTACAGGTTTCATATATCTGAGATTTGTGGGTTTTTTCATATCCTTGAGTGAAGTGCATTTTCCCCAGTATGTTTGTTGCATTATGGGGCCTATACCACACACTATGGTCGAATGGTTCACAATGTCAGTGAAGAAAGGCTGCATCCATACACAGTTACTGTGTTTGTAAGAATAGGTTTTGAGGAGAGAAGAAAGAACTCATAATTTCTTTGTATGATTATGTCAACAACTTACAACTTCCAATGTCTGGAGTAATAGAGACTTAATTATTCATAATCTGATACAGGTATTCATTCATATTAAGTTGTTGTCATGTCAACCATCGATTGTCTATTCACCTGTGTTGGGATAACTCTTTACCAAATACCCCTCTGGATACAGAAGCATTCATAAATTTAACTGTGAACAAACAAAATCTGCAGGAGTATCAAACACAACATGACAGTTACTACAGTAATAACAGCACAGGGGCTTGTAAAGCAAGCTATATACTGTCACTGACGGGGTCTTAACACAGTACAAAAGTCCTTATATCTAGTGTTAAGACTCCATCAGTGACAATATATACCTTGACGCCAGTTTTTTTCGTTACAAGCCCCTGTGAATAACAGCATTTAGACCATGAATCACATGTCATGTTTAACCTGAGTTTCTATATTTGAATAAAAAGGAATACTAAAAACGTCTTTCTATAGTAAAAGACTGCAATAAGGTACCTGTATCTGCTTCAAACACATGACAAAAGACATCTTAAACATATTTTGGATCTCTTCTGGAAAGAAATATCTAAGGCAACATTGAGGGAGAATCCAAACCACAAGAACGTCATGTAGGGTGCACATTTTTCTTGCCCTAGTGTTTTTGAAGCTGCAACTGTCACTGTTACACCCATAGGTTTCTGGAATTGCACATCAATGGGGAGGTAACTCATTGCTCACAAAGGCACCCCAACAACATTCCCTGAGTGTTGATATCAAGTTGAGTATTTTGAGCAGATTTCCTGTGTATGAAGGTAGAGTGCCCCTCTTACTGTTTTTACTCAGTCAGTCAAACCAGGAAGATTTTCACATATCATCTCACAAAAGACGTTTCTTTTTTGCATATGCATCGAAATCCTCCTTATTGAGTTTATACCCCCAGTGCTGTAGAGTCTGTCGGACTACCGGGGAGATGCTGTGGTTGTCATAGCCACACCCACTCTTCACACACTTGGAGATGAGATTGTTCCGCCATCGTCCCGTTGTGCCTGCACACCTCAACCACCTCCCAATCTGACGCTTGTCATCTTCTGTCCGGCCTCCTTGATAAAACCTGAAACATAACGGATCCCTATATTCATAAAGAACCTCCCTTAAATGACATTTGACATCAAATATATCAACTCAAGTCATAACTTTAGTAAATATGTTGTGTTTCTTCACTCACCTAAAGTACCATTGACACACATCAGGTTTGATCCCACAGTATCATTTACACAAGGTTTGATCATACAATACCATCTACACAAGGCAGGTTTCATCATACAGTACTACTAACACAAGACAGGTTTGATAATACAATACCATCTACACAAGGCAGGTTTGATCATACAGTACTACTAACACAAGTCAGGTTTGATAGTACAGTACTACTAACACAAGGCAGGTTTGATCGTACAGTACTACTAACACAAGGCAGGTTTGATCATACAGTACTACTAACACAAGGCAGGTTTGATCATACAGTACTACTAACACAAGACAGGTTTGATCATACAGTACTACTAACACAAGGCAGGTTTGATCATACAGTACTACTAACACAAGTCAGGTTTGATCGTACAGTACTACTAACACAGGGCAGGTTTGATCGCACAGTACTACTAACACAGGGCATGTTTGATCATACAGTACTACTAACACAAGGCAAGGTTCATCATACAGTACCCACAGTACTAACACAAGACAGGTTTGATCATACAATACCTACAGTACAACTACACAAGGCAGGTTTGATCATACAGTACTACTAACACAAGTCAGGTTTGATCCTACAGTACTACTAACACAAGGCAGGTTTGATCATACAGTACTACTAACACAAGACAGGTTTGATCATACAGTACTACTAACACAAGGCAGGTTTGATCATACAGTACTACTAACACAAGGCAGGTTTGATCATACAGTACTACTAACACAAGACAGGTTTGATCATACAGTACTACTAACACAAGGCAGGTTTGATCATACAGTACTACTAACACAAGACAGGTTTGATCATACAGTACTACTAACACAAGGCAGGTTTGATCATACAGTACTACTAACACAAGGCAGGTTTGATCATACAGTACCACTAACACAAGGCAGGTTTGATCATACAGTACCACTAACACAAGACAGGTTTGATCATACAGTACCACTAACACAAGACAGGTTTGATCCCATACAGCACTACTAACACAAGACAGGTTTGATCATACAGCACTACTAACACAAGGTTTTGATCATACAGTACTACTAACACAAGACAGGTTTGATCATACAGTACTACTAACACAAGACAGGTTTGATCATACAGTACTACTAACACAAGACAGGTTTGATCATACAGTACTACTAACACAAGACAGGTTTGATCATACAGTACTACTAACACAAGGCAGGTTTGACCAAACACTCACCTACAGTACCACTGGAACCAGCCATAAGGGTCTTGTTTATGAATCCAGCCACTTGACTCCCACATGTCCAGACTGCCACCACACTTTACCTTGTATGTGTTGACTTTCTCATCATATGTTGATGACGACAGCTGTGATGAAGACAAGATGCCTACATTAGAACAGGAGAGTATTACCCTGCTTTTATCAAAGCAACTGGGGACAACAATAACGTACTCCATTTTGTTCCGAAGTGAAGAAGGAAACTTCGAAATTTGTTAAGATGAGTGAACACATTAAGCACAAGGCATCTCCTCTGTCTTGTATTCAGCTTCAAACATCACATACATCAAACAGACAGCTTGGTAAAAAAACATTGACAGCTCTATGACACTTTCATGAGTTCACCACCATAGAGGCGTTATGTTTGTATTCTTGTGATGTGGCGCCCACAACACTGTAATACAAAGTGTACATCTCCTTGTTCAGGCATACTTGACAGTGGTGCTTTCAGCATAGAAACAGCACTTGTATATATAAATCAAAAAGAGTCCTAACACTATTGCAGTGACCAGTATGACTGACTGCCTGAGTTTGGTTTTACGCCGCTTTTAGCAATATTCCAGCAACATCACGCCAGGGGACACCAGAAATGGGCTTCACACATTGTACCCATGTGGGGATTCGAACCCGGGTCTTCGACGTGACGAGCCAACACTTTTAACCACTAGGCTACCCCACGGCCCCGACCAGTATGAAGCAAACTCTTGGGGAAAAGATCTCAAGGACTGTTTCATACTCAGATCAAAAGTCTAATAAGAAACAAACAGGCAGATTTCCCACACCTGTTGTCCTATGTTGAGTCCTTGCAACCAGTCCTTGGGAAGCTCCTTCCACACACCTGAATAGCTCTTTTCTGCAACAAAACAAGAAGTGATGCAAGACCTGACTTGTGCAGGTGGAAGTATACTGGTCAAATAAGTTAGGGATATTGGTATTTTTATGATTGATATTTTATCAGTGTGTCAATGAATAAATAGATTATTATTCATAATTTCAAAATTTACATATATCCCTAACTATTTTTGTCCAGTATTAAAAATCAGTGTAGTAGATTAATGTAAAGTGGGCATGCTGAATGTTATGTGAACACCTGTATAAACACAACATAATATTGAATATTCTTATCAATAGATAATAACTTCTCAGGCTGTTTCTTTAATCATTAACATTAAACAAAGGAATCAAATTTGCAAAAAATATCACTTGCTCAGCAAATCAAATGCCATGGAATCACTTCAAGTATATTTATCTACATATGAAGTGTGTATCTTCAAACAAAGATCTTCATGATTTTTATATGGCACATGGTGACAAAGTATAGCCCAGTGTTCTAAAACAACACAATTTACTATGCAGAGTTGCAGCCTTTTGGTGTGCCGGAAACCTTTGATCATGGACTCACACAAAGATCTGCCCTGACTATGAGTGAGTGAGTGAGTTTGGTTTGACTCAGCTTTTAGCAATATCCCAGCATTATCATGGCAGGAGACACCAGACATGAGCTTCACACATTGTACCCAGGTGGGGAATTGAACCTGGACCTTTAACACTTTAACCACTAGGCCACCCGACCACCCAGTCCTGATAAAGAGTCTACTGCTTGTATTAGATGAGCCTGCGCAGTACAAGCATTTGTGACAAGTAGGCGGGGCAGGGAATCTAGACGAATACACTTGGTTGCTACAGGTAGATTGGCGATTAAGCATGTGCAATACATGCTGACTGTGGTGTGAAGTCAATACCGCAGCTGTTTAACATGTGTCTCGTAGAGCGATTATACATCCGCTTGTAAACATAACAAATGTTCTTTTCTCTAACACGGTGTGGGGTGTTTTGTAAACAAAGTTATATTTGTCTTGGTTCAGTTTCTAAGGATCTTAGCTGTAGACATACCTAGTATGATATAACAATAAAAACATGATTCGCACGAGGAAATTGAACTTTTCAAGTTTTAGACGACAACCCGTTTCCCTCATTTTTGGAATTTTAATGAATGTTCTGGAGGAGCGTCCCATATCTGCAAATTGGGGTCATTTGTCAGGTCGAGGCTCATCTAATAGTAGTACATCAGTACTGTAGGTTTGCCATGCCCCCTTCTCCCACAAGCTCTGATATTCTCGGGACACAGCTTAGAAAACCATAACACTATACTCACTCACTCAACTCATTATCTCAGACAAATAACTTTCCATGTTCAAAACATACTTGTAGCACCAGATTTGATTGGTCGAAAATAGGTTCCTCCAAAACTGCCAGCGTGCATAACTTCTTTAGGAGTCATATTAGGTCGGAACTCTGGAACTCCAGCAAATACCAGCTGCCCTTTGCTGTTACGCGTTGGAAGACTAGCTGTGAACTCAATCTTTTCATCACTCTGTAAAAAAACAATTAACACAAACTATTGCAATATCTCCATAGAATATAGAAATTGTTCAGGATAAGCTGAGGATCGAACCCGCCTGACCTTCTGCTCTCTGGGGGAACACACTAACCACTGCACCAAAGAGGCAAGGGTGGAAATAACTTTAAAATTGCTTGTGTACTCCAGTACAGTGGCACATGTAAAATCACTTGCCCTGATAATTTTTCCACTATACCGTCCGTTTTCTTGTTGATTTTTTATATAAACAACATGATAAACATTGGAAAGTCAACTGGACACCGTACAGTGTGATATACAAATTTGCTTGCCCTCGACAGAAAAAACACTGGACTCGGACGTCACAAGCATGGTCAGCCTTTTGTGGCAGCATGGGTTGCTAAAGACCTATTCTACCCGAATCTTCACGGGCCATATGTATTGTGGTATGCATGGCTGGGTAACTAAACCCCTGCCCTTCCCCTCTGTAGACAAATGCTCTTCCACTACTAGTATGTTGAGGGCAGTTGCTCTAATGTGGTATTTGTATCTTCTAGGTACAGTGCCTCATTTTAATCTAAATCATCTAATGTCCACCAGAGGTATTACAACATATACCTGCATGTCAGTGCCCTTTCACTGTCCAATTCATTTCTCACTACCACACTATAAAGTGTAAGCATGACCACATCATATCTCCTGAAAGTAATTACTGTGTGAAGCCTGTAAGCATGGAAAAATTAAAATGATAAATAAAACTTGCTAGTATCATTTCCTCAAAGTCTGCATATTGTACTTTCAGCCATGTTAAGAAATAAGGACATTAAGGTTGGAACAAAGGTCCCCAGAAACAGAAAACTTTTATATTTGTGTATCAGACACTGCACTATAAAATAAGCACAAAATATATGAATAAATTACATAACAGCACATAATGAAATCACCCGTGAAGATCCAGGTTAGAACTGATCTTCAGTAAGCCATGCTTGTTGTAAGAGGCAACTAACAGGATCGGGTGGTCAGGCACATGGTTGACACATGTCATCGGTTCCCATCTGCGTAGATCGATGCTCATGCTGTTGATCACTGGACTGTCTGGTCCAGACTCGACTATTTACTGACCGCCGCCATACAGCTGGAATATTGCTGAGTGCGGCGTAAAACTAAACTCACTCGCTCACATAATGAAATCTCAAAACCAGTTGAAGATATCTGACACATTAAGTATCAAACACAAAAAAATCTCCTTCAACCACATGTAGGTTTGCACGTTTGACTTGGTCTAAGCTCTATTGTTAACAAAAATGTCACCTTTTCATATGTTAAATAGTGGTGGTCCACTTAATTGAAATAATCGAAGATTGGTCGCAGTGACTAAATGACCAAGCAATCGATCATGTTTTCTCATAATTGAACACAAACAATTTTGGAACACTTGTTTGCATTAACAATGTTTTTCACAAGGTTGGTTTTGTCTGTGTCATTAAATCTGCATTTCATAAGCACTGGAAACTCGTTCAAAGTCATGACTGAACTTATCTTGAAGACTCCAGGAAATTTATGTTCCTGACATACTAGTCCTCCTCTAAAGATGTAGAATTTGCAAATGCTTTTTGTGCACTTTGCCAAAACCCCAAAAGTACTACATGGTTTTTTTTCTATATTTTTGTGTGCATTAACAAAGATAACATGAACATTTGATAAGTGATGCTAACCAATAATTTTCGATGATTGATCGGTTGTAATGGACCAATCATCAGTTATGAGATTTTAACCAATTCCCAACACTAATGTCAAAGACTCTGCAAAGAAAACTGTATGAAGCACTGGTCTATCTGTTCCAGATCTGCTTATTTGTTGGCAACCATTACAAAGGTGAAATATTGCTGAGCAGAACATTAAACAACAAACTATCAGTTAACAATGGACTAGCCAGAGAGAAAATAAACTGATGTAATTTCTTGCAACATACAAGAAGGAAATTTGATTCATACATACACGGAATGTACTGACGAATTACATTCCACACATAACTGATCAAATTTCTTTTCATATGTATTTTCTACTTTGTAGAATATTGAGGAAGGCAGTTACACATAAGTAGTAATATGTCTTCAGGCTATCATTATCTTAGATAAGATGTGTTGTTGATTCACACCTTGCCCCAGGCAACTGCTACTGCCTATTCTTCCCTTTGCCCCTCCCCCCTCTCCAAACATAACTACTTCCCCATCAAATGAAGGTTACACGTGGAGTGAGTACAGCATAAGACAGGATTGACACCATGAAATGTGCACAATCCTTGGGGCACCCATAAACATGAGTAAGGTGTGCCCTTTGTAATTAAAATTGTGACAACTAGGAGGATTTTAGCTTTTGTTGAAACAGAATGTTATTTGCACCAACACTAGATAATAAAATGAAATCAACGGCTATTTGGGCTTTGATCACCTATGGGGTAACTGAGACAGAGGACAAATTGCAAAATTGTACAGTTTGTCCCTGCTGGAACCTATCTTCCCTTTTCTTCCTACATCAATGCAAAGGTTGAGCACTCAAGTCCATGCAGTTTCAGAGGAGACATTGAAAATGCAGTAACACTAGCAAACGAGTGGTATGTTCAAGGTCACAGCTGGATCAAAAATCAAAACATCCCTTAAACGAAACTACATGCTATTCTGAGAACCACAAACTTTTTACATAAAATCTATAATTTGCCTGAATACTTACTACTACCGAGGTTTTCCAAAAGCAAGCCCTCTCGTTTAGAAGCCCATGGGCTACTATTCGGAATTATTTTCCAAATAGTGAGCTTCTATTTAATTCCAAAGTGTGCTAAATGAAAGTAGCCTCCCCTTTCTACAATACAAATACTAGTAGTCCATGTTATTTCTTGCTATATTTGACATGACGAACATATCTGTTTACGCTGTTGAAAGTGTTATTCGTGGTTTTCACGTTTATAGAACATTTTGGACACCTGATGAGGATGAAATTTTGAATACTGAACGTGATGATCTAAATTATGCAGATCGTTATGCTGTAGCCGTAAAACGTGGTCATCTCATAGTTGGACATGTACCTAAAGCACAGAGCCAAGTGTGTAACTACTTTCTAAAGAGAGATGGTGATCTGACTATACAGGTGATAAATAAGGACTTTAAACGTTTGGATTTATCCCAAGGTGGTCTTGAAATACAAGAGTTATACATATTCACTGGCGTTATTAGTGACGTTGAAAAACTTGTCTCGTATTTTGCCCATTGTCTCATCTCTTTAGTGACAAGCATCGGTTTACAATCGTACTTTGTATAACTGCCAGTGGCAATTTTCTCAAATCAATGGTGATTCTGAAAGGACTTAAGAAGTTGCCAAATTGTGATGTACCTTTAAACATTCATCTGACCGTTTCTTTTGGTGGCAGCATGAATGAAGCCCTGATGCTTCAATGGATTGACAAAGTTTTGAGATGTCGTGGATCTTTCATCAGGTTTGAACCATCAGTTCTATTCATCAGAGCCATAGAAGCCATAGTATGCCGAAAGTGAAACACCATCTGAAGCAGTTGAACATACTGACAAAGATCATTCCTCCGAAGATGACACATTTTCTACAACCCCTGGACATGAGTGGTGGAGTAAATGGCATCTTTAAGTCCAAAATGCGTGAACAATGGAACGATTGGTCCGAGAATGGAGAAACAATGTTCACACCTAAGGGATATAGAAGACGGCCATCTTATGGCCATTATAATTGAAATGGTGTCCAAGGCGGTTACCTCATGCGAAAGGTCAACTGTGGCAAGATCATTCCAACTTTCTGGTATTGTTCCGAATGGAGAAAAGGTGGCTATAATGAATCTGAACAGTCGACTGCGAGGGAGCCTCGGATACAATGTAGGTTTGAAGGTAGTGAGGTGAGGTGAAATTGGGTTTAACGTCGTACTTGAGAATATTTCGCTCATATATGACGACGTGCATGCGTGTGTATGTGCGGCTGCTTGTACTAACCCCGATTGAAGCTGGTTTTATATTGCTAGCCCACTGAGATACCATGCCGCAGTGAAGCATGAATACCCCATTCAGACACATTATACTGACTCCGAGCCGACCAGTTCTTGTTGTACCCATTAATGCCGAGCGCCAGGCAGGAACCAACAAGTACCATATTTTTTGGTATGACGCAGTCGGGGAACAAACCTGCCACCTATGTAGGTTTGGAGGAGGGTGACATGGATGTACATGATGATGACGCAAGCGACGTTGATGACGAAGATCCTTTAGGTGAAATTGAGCTGTTTGATTGACTTGTTAGAAACCCCACAGATCATGGCGCAAGCGGTGTTGACTGCGATGATCCTTTGTGCGATGGATTGACTCGTTTGAACCCCCTAGTTCTCATGACTAATTTTTAAACATTTCAAAGTTTTATTGGAGTTTGTATGTGTTCCGTTTCAGTGCATAGTCATTGCAATATTCGTGAAAGTAATAATAAAAAGATTTCCTTCAATTATTGCCTTATGATTATTTATTCTGGATATGATTGTCACTTTAAAAACATTTCCGAATAAAAGCCCATGTTTCCGAATATAAGCCCAGGCTTCTATCTGGTGTCAAAGTTCACTTGTCAAAAACCCTATTTTATGTATAGAAGCCCTGGGCTTGCTTTTGGAAAACCCCAGTATGACGAATTAATTACCTCCACATTTGTGTCCTCATCTATCAGCTTGGGGTATGGAGATGTCTTCCCTCCTTCCTCCATTGTGTCTGCATCTGTCTTAACATTTTTCTTCACCTTTTGTTTCTTTTGTACATTTTTCTTAGAAGACTCTGTTTTAAGGGCAGGTGATTGTTTCTTTTTCTTTGCAGTTTTGGATTCAGCTGTTTCCACTTTCCGTTTCAACATCTGAAAAAATGAATGAATGAGTTTGGTTTTACCCTACATTGAGCATGATTTAACTTATATTACCCCAGTATACATCAGGAAGGTACTTCACTCTTTGTTCTCATGTCTGGAATCAAACCAAGGCCTTTGGCAAGCAAATGCTTTCACAACTGGGCCACCCCAACACACCCTCAAGAAATGGACTTGCCAACTATGATAGACTTGCACTGGCTGTATTGAATACATTAGTTGCAGTCTTTCTGTGAACGATTAGGCCACAATATCGAAATAATCAATGAAATACAGTTCGATTTATTGTGTTATCTATTCCCTCCGATTTTGGCTAGGGTGCATTTCTGTATACATAAACGTTTTGGGGTGCACATCTGATGGGACAGCGACCCATTCAGCTTTTGGTCTGTTTGCTCAATCTTGTATGAAGAATGATTGAACCATTCTAAATGGTGCATAAGGCAATAAATGTTTTACAAACCCTTTTCATTCTAAGCATATATATATGCATATAATATACCTTTACGCTCAATGCTCCACCACCACAAAAGACTTGTTTTTAAAAGACACGCGTTCACAAGCGCCCTCTTTAACCAAGAACCTGAATACATGCAGAAACAGGTGCGCTTTTGATCGTTGATCAAAGGGATGTAACTGCTGTCGTGATTAACAGATGGAGCGGTCCGACTGGTGACGAGTCATTTACGCAGGTTATATAAAGGGACACAACCGACTTCCTTTATCAAGACGGAAGCGACGTAAACAGAGCCAAGATGCCTGGCATGCAGTTTGAGTATGATGAGGAGGGGGGAACTTTCTACTATTTCCTTCTTTCCTTTTGGGGCCTGGTCCTCATACCGGCTACATATTATCTATGGCCACGGACTAAACCTAAAGGTAGGATTTTGACATCCATTTTGAATTTCTCATTTTGACGGGATACATAAATCTGCTAGACCCCAAAGTCCAAAGAAATAAAAACATGTAAATCCCAATATCGTTTCAATAATAATATACAAGTATTAAGACTATATTTTGTCCTTTCAAACTCACACGTACACGAAGACGTGCGTTTGAGGCATTCAAAAAATACTTTCACTTAATTTTTTACTTCATCCGTATGCCTTTCACCCATCATGTTTGGGAAAACACGGATTGCCATACAATAAACATCAGCTCTAGTAGCAGTACAAGAAGCAATTTGCAGTATTTTAAACAGAACAACTGGCACATGACACCTTAAAATTACAATAGTATAAAAATCAGGGATATGAAAATAGTTATTATGTCAATTTGGTAGCTTGTACAGAAGGTGGTTAGCATATGTTTTTAAAACATAGATAGATTCTGGAAATTTCTGTTTGCTTAAACTTTGGTCCAGTAAAGGGTAAGCCTTGTGGTTAGGTTATTTGTTTATCATGCTGAAGGTCTAAGTTGTATTTTCGTGTGTGAAGGCTATTTCTTGTGTGCCACATTATCACATGATTATATCGACAGTGGAATGTTGAGTAAATATCATTACGCCAAAATCTCTCATGCTGGTTTGTAATCTAGAGACAAGGTAAAAAGATTAAGACCATAACCCAATCCAACCCCAACTCTGGTAGATGAACCACAGAAATGTTTGATGTATGCACTCTAATAAAGTAATATGGCGTAAAACATTTCGTCATATACAACAATCAGAAAGATCATGCTTACACAGAATTTGATTATGGCTATGTTTATACATATAAACATGTATAATAGTCAGAAGGAAGCAGTGCATGTAACCCTTTTCATAATACAACATGATACAGTAATACATTACAAACCTCAGGTCAGTATGACCTACTTGGTACCCATGTCCTTAGCAGGGCCCATCCTGACCTGAGTTATCTGTCCCAACCTTATACCTAACTTAAGTCGCTTTCCTCGTAATATTGTGTCTCTGTTGTAATAAAAATGAGCAGAAGTACAAGAGGTCATGATTAGGTGAAGTTGTAACAAGATGATATCAATGACTGGTATGTTCGCCAGGATGCATACAAAAATGTCTGTACATGCTATTCAGGAAATTATCTGGAATGCCATAAAGAAGTACCGTCATGTTTTGTTTCAACTAATAACTGTTATTAGTGGATCTGTCACAGTTCACTCACATATCCAGTACATCACAGTGTATCCCTTCATTAATCCAGTTTGTTATTCGTGGTCACTTGAATTGAATATTCCTGAATTTTTTTAAAGATAGTGTTTTTACTTGAATTTTGATGTTATTTATCAAAATGATGTGCAAAATGGATATCCAATCAAGATAGTATTGTAACCAATGCTCCTATTTGACATATTCAATTTGATGGTAATGTAGTCACTGGTAATTGTTGTGAGAAATTAACACTATCATCATAGTCAAAATATGTAAAAAAAATTATTGTTTATTGTTTTTATAATTATTTCTTATTGTTTAACCGAATATATATTGAATAATCAATCAACTGTTGACCTGTTACAATATGCATTAGTTGATCATGTTGATATATGTATTCATTAACCAATATTTGTAATCCATACAATATTAGTGGATTCACAGAAGCCCTAGTTTTTAGCAATTTGTATCATCATATTATAGTCATCACACTCTTTAGTGAAATCACAAGCATAAAAAATACTTTTGGTTTGAAAATGAAATGTGTAATAAAGGTGGTTTTAATCAAGCAGAAAATTCCAGAAAATGCCTTCCATCTATCTGATGCAATTCACACCAGCTGTTGTTAACTGTAATCTGCATTTTACAGTGTTGTGATGAATTGGAATTTTACAGTTTAATGTTATGATGAATACTCATGATTAATGGGATTTTGTCATTAAAGGAGAGGGAGGGTCATTTAATGATGATTCACAGTGTGTGAAGCAATCTCTGGTCTGTTAACATTCACACAATTCATGTCCTTATATATTTGTTGCATAGCCACGTTACTGTAGTGATGCATTGTCTATATCCTACATACAAGGTGGAAATATGTCGTGATCACAATAAACATCAGCATCATTTGAGCCACAATGCTATGATGGGCAGATTGATCCAAGATTTATGGGACAAAACAATCAAAATGACTCAGCTTGTTGACATTTAATGATTTATTGATCAGCATTAAGACATCTGTCTTTTGTTGTTGCAGTGTCATGTTTTTTTGCCCTTCTAAATTCTAATGTTAACCATTTAGCTGTGTGAATTATCTACGCAATGCTGTAACTGCTTCTTTGGGGACATCATGCTTATGATATGATATGATATTTGATTTCATTTTTTAATCTTGTGTCATTTCACATATGGAACATTTACAACAGCATTGAAATGGCATTGTTATCCAGGGTTTTACCTTGAGTCCTGTATTTGAGGGTCCCTGGGACTCATGCTTATAATTTTCAGGGTTCCTGGACAACAAAATGGGGGTCCCAGACACTTATATATTATTATTGATACTGCTATTGTATTGTGTATCATGATCAATACATTAATTGTTGCAGTAATTAAATGCAAATGATACCATAATCCAGCTAGTAGCAAACTCAGTGATAACTTAATTTTACAAAAGTATTTGGCCTTTTCTGCATCCCTGTAGATGCGCTAATAAATTTTGTTGTGTCCATTGTCAATTTTTATGTGTATAGGACGTAGGAATTCATGTCCTGTAAATCCCTGGTTATCCAACAAACAATATATTTTTGATTTTGAAATTTTATTAATTTTTAAGTGGTATTGAAAATATTGAATTTCAGTTTCATCTGGCATTCACTGAAATTATTCATTGAAAGAAGACATTCTTTTAGATATCAGACAAGATATCGAGGAAGTTTCAGGGCCTTTAATCATGTTTGTTCCTTTTAATAAGGGTTATGTCCTATGAAATTTGAGAATTCATGGAAAAGTGTCATGAATTAAGTATTCAGACTAGTGTCGTATCATGAACAAAGAATCATGGTTCATAGAATATCAGGGGATAGTTGTATCATGATGTCCTTTGTAAGAAGCCACTGCCTGTGTCAGATCACTGTGACATTATCAACAGCAACCATTGCAGAGAACTATGCATATGTTCCCAAAAATCAATGAACGTAGTGCTAACCGGATGAAACATATATGATCTAGACATATGGGATTTGAAAAAATAGAAATTGTAGTGAGCATATGTTGCATCAACCACTGCACACATAAATAGTACATTTGTATACATTTTGTCTTCAGTTCATGTAACTGTAAATCACTTATTACTTCTGAATAACCAGGACAGTATTAAGATGTTTCAATGAATTAATTTACAATGTGTTTAGTAGTAATTACAGGAGTTCAATGTACTTGAAGAATGAGGACAATTTTTATGGATATACAACTTCTTTATTCTGTATAGGTGACATTTCGACATAGATTCTAATGTCGTTGTCAAGCAAGTGACCATCTCCTCAACTTCTAGAATGCCAATCAAAGAAGTTCTATGTACTTATGCTATAACAGTTAAACTGATGCAACTGTTTTTATCATATGGGGCATCTGATCTGAAAGTCTTCAGTAGACATCTTTAAGAAGTTCATAGTGTGAACTATAAATTCTGCTAATGTTCTGGCCTTGTTATGTTGTAATGGTTCCCATGGTGTAGTTGTCCGCTTCCTGCGGAGCCAGACCAGGCTCGACTAGCGTTGGGTCTCTGGTGTGCGCTCTCCGCCTGAGTACTTGCCACAGATGCTCTTTTGGGAACATGTCAAGGGACTTAGCAGGCTAGTCAATAGGACTCCATGTCAGAGATCACTGGTGACACCTTTGGCAGGCATTGACCTCTTGATAAAAATTCTGTCGATTGAAACAATGTCTAAATTTCTACTGCCCCACACCATGGCACTATTTCCATACTATGGTCAAAAGTTGTTTTGGTGGTAAACATGGTGTAATGCCATTGGTACACAGCCGTATCCCGGTGTTGTCGAATCTGCTCAATCTTTGTCACTAGTAGTAAACTGTTAGGATCACATCCTTTACGGGACACTAGGGCTTCCACGGGTACTCGAGTACTCGAGGACGAGTCGGGTGTAGCTGGACTCGAGTCCATTTTCAAGGACTCGAGGACTCGAAAAGGGGAGATAACTCGAATTATTGACGTTGACGGACTGTCTGCCATGTGCTAAGCATGAGCAGCCGTTAACGTCTAATATTAAGAAAAAGATATAACTTTATTATCCCGGAGGAAATTCTCATACATCCAAACTGTCTCAAAATAAATATATACACAGTTCACAAAAATAAACACAATAATTACATGCTCAAAACGAATGCTATTTACAAATAAAACTGACATGATATAATTCAATTAACCACATAGGTAAAGAGGCTGAATAATTCTAGTTCTAAACACATCATGGTGATTCAAAATATTTGCTGCATTCAATTAATACTTGATGGTATGAAAGACTGTCGCTTCTGTTTTGAGGGAAGGTAATCTACAGCAGCCGCCCAGAAGGAAGTAGTTCAAAATGGTGAGATCAAATATGTCAACTATCAAATCTAATTTTAGCTGTCTTTGACTATACTCAAATACACTCCAGAAATTTTGCAAGCAGTATTAACAATTTTGAAAAGTCTGTTTTGTTAAGATGAGACAGATCCCCATACCAACATAGAAAATTGTAGGTCAACACACTTTGAATAAAGGTTTGATAAAAAACTGTCATTACGGTTTTGTCAATACCTTGACGATAATAATGTTCAGAATCAGAAATTAGGCCATTAACAGTGGCGTCATCTGCAAATTTCACAGTAAACAAGTCATATATTGACAAGTAACAGTCATTGGTATACAAAACGAAGAGTACGGATGAAGGAACACAGCCATGTGGATCTCCAGTAGAGGTTGAGGGAAAAGAAGATTGATAGCCATTGACACTGACATACTGAGTTCTATGTACCCTGAATTCTTTAAGCCATCTGATAATGTTTTTATTAACACCTAGATTAAATAGTGTACTCCTCACACAGTGTGGCTGTGTGGTATTAGTTGTTACAAGTCTGCAGATGAGAGTAAATATTATACATCGACTGAGATTTCACTTCTTAAAATGATTAGGTAACTATCTTGACAATTGATCGTTTGCTTGAAAGGTATGAATTTCGAGTACTCGGGTCCGAGTCGAGTCTCACCCCTCGAGTACTCGAGTCCCAAAAAATGGACTCGTTGAAGCCCTACGGGACACCTTGCCTTCAGACAGGCTGCAAAGAGCCATTTTCTAACATTTTCTAATCTTGAAATTTGCCTGTTATTGTATAGAATTCTTTGTAGGTTGGGCCACAGGGATAGCTTAGTGGTTAAAGCGTTTGATCGTCACGCCACGGGAGGGAGGGATGCTGCTGTGTGTTATGTTTTGTTTTCTTGGTTGTCAACGGACCTTTCTAATGAGATACTCTTACTTCCAGATGAGTCACAACAATCGCGGGTCCAGTGTAGCTGTGAGCCGTGTCAGCTGAAGAAAACTCTGCTCAAGTCCAAGGACTCCTGGTTCCATGCTAAGGACAAATCACTGTGAGTAGAATCAATGTATGCAACAGTGTTCACGGTAGGAAAAAAAGATTTGCGTTCCTAAAATGCGTTGCCCTTTGAATCTTGCGTGTATTTTATACACACGAAGTGGCAAAGTCTTGAGGGGAGTCTAGGGGCATAGCCCCGTGATATTTGAAATTTCCTTGCATTTCAGAGCATTTTATCATCATTCATAAGTCATTATTCATAGTGGTCAAAGTCAAGTTAGTTGTTTCCCCCGCCATGATGTTGGGAATATTGCTATCAGTTTTTTCCTCGGTTACTTGTTGTGTTTCACGAACCATCGGTTCACATGTCCACAAGTCATCGGCATTAAAGTCAACTTAACGTTTTACAGTTTCATAAAGAATTTGGGGAAGTGTGGTACACAACATGTGACTCAAAATCTCGAACCGATGATACATTTCAGTATCATGAGATTTAAGGAAGTAATTTAGTAATGTAACTACCCAGATGTCAAAATGCCTTGTGTGCAGAAAATGCAGGTAGAAAATATTGTGCATGAAATGTAGATTTATTTGCATGAAACACCCAGGTTTTTGAGTTAACTCGAACACTGATGCAACCTTCCAATCAACATTGTAATGTCTTGTACATAGATGTGAGCATGTTAGTAATCTTAACCATGAAGACCCAGGTTAGAATTGGTCTTCAGCAGCCCACAGTTGTTGTAAAAGACGACTAACAGGATTGAGTGGTCAGACTCGCTGACTTGGTTGACACATTTCATCACATCCCAATTGTGTTGATTGATGCTCATGCTGTTGATCACTGGATTGTCTGGTCCAGACTTCATTATTTACAGACCACCACCATACAGCTGGAATATTGTTGAGTGCAGCGTTAAACAACCAACCAACCAACCGATAATCTTCCATAGCAAACATTTGTGAATATATGAAATATACCAGTATATGGTTCATAATCTTAACAGTGCTTTAGTTTTTATATAAACTTCAGCTTATAAGCTTGCATGTTTGATATTGGTTGCTTTCATAAGTCATGTGAATTGATGTGAATAGTTTTTAACAAGTACGTTTGAAATTATGTTTCCATGTTGCCTTTGTTTTTCAGGAAAATTGGCTTGATAATTGGCTGGTTGATCTTTTTCCTGTTGGCCTACAAGGTGTCCAAAATACAGATGGACTATGTTGAATATGACCCTTTCCAGGAACTTGAAGTTGATAGAGTGAGTGCTCGTATGATAGTATCACAAAGTGCATTTCAACAAAATGAAAGCAATTCATCTTAACTGTTTTGCGTAACATGCTGGAACAGAAATTATTCGGGAATTTCGAGTCTTTTATTCTGTCCAATAGCGTGTTATATGAATGTGATCAAGATTCATTTCATTCCTGCTAATTCTAATGTAGGAGGAAAATATTGGTTTCTGAACATGGATGACAAATTCAACTTTTAGTTGGAATTTTAAGAAATAATCAGAAAGTACTATTATATATGACTATCATCAATACAAGTTCCAGCGAGAGGGATAGCAGTGAGTGTTCTCACCAATGAGCGGGGATGGTGGGTTAGTCTAGTGGTTAAAGCGTTCGCTCATCACACAGAAGATCCAGGTTTGATTCCTCACATGGGGCATTATGTGTGAAGCCTATTTCTGGTGTCCCCTGCTGTGATATTGCTGGAATATTGCTAAAAGCGGCATAAAACCATTCTCACTCATTCACTCATCAGTGAGCACCGATTAAATTGGCAATAGTTTCTGTGATAGTCTTGTGTAACCAGGGGCGATAAAGGGACGTGTTATGATTAACCATTACCAACTGTGACTGTAGGGTGCCAGCCCTGGAGAGATCAAGAAGGCCTACAGGAAGCTCAGTTTGATCTACCATCCTGACAAGCAGACTGGAGACCCCAAGAAGTTTATGAGAATAGCCAAAGCTTTTGCTGCGTGAGTCAATTTAGTTTTGTCTTCAGCATTAAATAAAGTGTACATGTATCAAGTCTTATGTTGACACCAGAACCAATGAACAGAAAATACCTCTGCTATATCCTAAATGCAGTATTGATAATTAAACGAGTAGTATTGTTTATCTGGGAATTAAACTTTTGATGTAATTTTATTATACTCTTTTGTTAAACAGACTGACAGATGAAGAATCTCGCAAGAACTGGGAGGAGTATGGGAACCCTGATGGTCCTGGAGGTAAGACCTGTGAACATGGTGAAGTTATCTGAATTGTGCCCTACAGGATAGAGTGAACGAGTTTTGTTAAGTACCACTTTGAACAGTATTTCCTTATATTTTGTCACTGACTATCAGCTTGATGTCAGAGGAAGGCCTACATGGTGTATCTCTTAGATGTATACGCAGGTCTGATGTTGACAACCTGGAAGTATTATCAGGCCGAATTGGGATTTGAACCTATGAACATAGGCAGCTGTCACTCCCAAGGGACAGAACTCTGTTCAGTGCAGTACAGGGTAGACACTTGAATTAGTCATGTCCCAATGACGATGTTTGCTTTTGTTCCCCTCGGTATCCAGTGTTCATTAAGTTATCAGTTCTAGACCCTACTAGTGTAAATGTGTTTGCCCTACCAAGGTTTGTACTAATATTTGAGATATGTTTCAGCTACCAGATTCGGTATAGCTCTGCCCAAGTGGATTGTTGAGAGGGAAAACTCCATGTGGGTATGTACAACGCAGGTTCACACAGTGAACTCATGTATTTTTCGCATGTTTGCATCTGTTTGTAATAAAGGGACATAACTCCAGTAAATGTTTAGCTCAGTTAAACAGCTGCTTTTGTTTCATTAAGGGTTTTACATGCTTAATACGAGTCTTAGATATGAGTCATGATTGACACAGTATTTTACTGACTGCAGTTTTGATTACATCCTGTGAACCTCCGGGTGGATAACAGCTTTTTAGGATGTTTATGTATTCAAGTCATTTCTAAAATGTCACTTACTGCATAGTTAAGTTTAAACAATTGTGTATTAGTGAAAGAAACTCATGATTCCCAATTTAGAAAATGACACGTAAATGTATATGGTTTGTCGTTATGTCTCCAATGTTTACAAGTCGAATGAAACCTTGTTATATCATGTATGTGTGGTAAGCATGTGATGTGTGTTGCAGGTGCTTGCTGCCTATCTCCTGGTCTTCATGATTCTCATGCCGATCATTGTGGTATGTGAAACTACCAGACTTGCTGGATGTGTTGTTCCTCTCACACTTAACTGAACGGCCCTTCATTTGATTTACCACACAAAATACAACAACAATATTGTAGTCATTGACAATTACTTTGTTTTGGTTGCTTATGTTCGCAGTATTTGGACTTCAAGAGTTGAGATATGACCATGATACCTATGAAGGTCCGGGTTAAAAATGATCTTCAGCAGTGCTTGTCGTAAGAGGCGACTAATGGGATGGGGTGGTCAGGCTTGCTGACTTGGATGACACATTCCATCGTATCCCAATTGCATAGGTTGATGTTCATGATGTTGATCACTGGATTGTCTGGTCCTGACTCGATTAATTACAGACCTCCGCCATGTAGCTGGAATATTGCTGAGTGCGGCGTTAAACAGCAAACCAAAACAAACCATATGACCATGTGAATGTAGCATTTTGTATTGCCATAGTCAGCCTTAGTCATAGTCATATCTGATCAGATGATCTATACATTTCACGTGTGTGAAGAGGAATCTACTTGATTCTGCAGTGACTTTCATTGAAACAGTGAAAATGGTAATTGACTCTGTGTAACTGTGTGACTATTTTCTTTTCTGGCAGGGCATGTGGTGGTATCGATCAATCAAGTTCAGTGGAGATCAGATTCTGCTGGATACGACACATCTCTACTTCTACTTCATTAGCCGAACTCCAAACATGATTCTCAAACGTGAGTTCACCCAGTTTATTACAAAGATATTCACTATTTCTGCTCTCTCTTCATTCATCAGTAAGTGGGTACCAAGTAGGATGTGACTGCACCTGTTCGTCCATCAGTAAGTGGGTACCAAGTAGGATATGACTGCAACTGTTCATCATCAGTAAGTGGGTACCAAGTAGGATGTGACTGCAACTGTTCATCCATCGCTATGTGGGTACCAAGTGGGAAGTGACTAACTGTTCATCCAATTTTGATTGAGTGTCTCTGCTGGAAAGGTAGATGATGGATTGGTTGGGGTTTTTTAACCTTGGAAGCCAGATAAACCTCAGCTTTGTCTTCAATATGTATTTAGAAAATTGTTATGACTTTTTTAATGTTTCAGTTTGTAGATGTACTGTGATCTTTTTAGAATAGGATTTTCATTCTATCTTTCCAAAGCATATTTTGAATGAATTTTCACATTTTCCATATCCACAAAGTAAGGCTGAGCCTTAGTATGTTTTACTTACTTGAGAGAAGTAAAAGCCCTTTTGTTATCATGGTCTATATTCTATCACCCTGTCTCTTCCTCAGGTGCCGTAATGATACTGGGAGCATCATTTGAATTTGACCGCTTTCACAATACTGAGATTGCAAACAGACCAAGCGACAATGAAGAAATTCCAACAGTAAGTCTTGACTTGACCACTTTTGCTATATCGACTTTTATATGTGAATTTGTTCCATGTCTGACTGTCTTGGCTTGATATGTTTTGTATTTTGTTTTTCACTGTGACTCATTACGCTTTGTTGCAGCTGATGAAGCTGTTGCCCAACATCCAGAAGGAGAACAAGAAGCCACCACTGTGTTACCCATACAGCATCAAGGCCCGTGCCCTCATCCTGGCTCACTGCCAGAGGATGCCACTCCCACCACTCAGTCTGGACCTCGGTAAGATATGACTTATATTCATACTCCTGTTTCAAAACATGACCTTTTGCAAAAATATTTTGTATCCTGTGTGAAGTTTTTCTTGGAACTTCCTTATAATTTTATGGTTTACTGTCATGTGTATTGTGTTTTGTTTCCTCAGACAAACAGTACATCCTGAACAAATGCCCCTACCTTCTGAATGAGATGATCAACATTTGTGCCCAGCAGGTTGCCATGGCAATGGCAGGAAGATGTAAGTGTTGCCTTTATGTTATTATTGTGCCCACCAACTCAAATCCACTTGTTGAACCAATAAACCACATACTCCCTCAGCAGGTTTAGGTCACTCATCACTGTCTACTGAAAATTCCACTCAGCCCACCCAGTGAACCTGTCCACCCAATACACTTAAGCACTCAGCATACACTCACCCAGCCATCGCAGCTGAGAGGTATCAGATGTATATCTGTAATGTATATCACTGTGTGTGAGCTCTGTAGTTACATCATAGTGTTACCATGCATTTAGTATGTAAATCATTTACAGTGAGTAAGGTTTTATGCTGCTTTGAGCTATTATCCAGCAATATAGACGAGGACTCCAGAAATGGGCTTAAAACATTGTACCCATGTGGGGAATCAATCCTAGGTCTTCAGTGTGACAAGCAAACACATTACCCCACTATTGGCTCCCACCCCACTGTCAAGTATTTACAACATGGAATTACCATGTATGAGTAGTGTTAAACATTTCCAACATTGTATCACCATGTGTGAAGTGTGTATCAAGTTTGTAGAACATTGTATCACCATGTGTGAAGTGTGTCAAAACATGTAGAACATTGTATCACTGTGAGGTTGTAAAACCTGTATAACATTGTATCACCATGTGTGAAGTGTGTGTCAAGCATGTAGAACATTGTATCACCATGCACGAAGTGTGTCAAAACATGTAGAACATTGTATCACTGTGAAGTGTGTCAAACCTGTATAACATTGTTTCACCATGCATGGAGTGTGTCAAGATTGTAGAACGTTGTATCACCATGCGTGAAGTGTGTGACAAACATGTAGAACATTGTATCACTGTGAGGTTGTAAAACCTGTATAACATTGTATCACCATGTGTGAAGTGTGTGCCAAGCATGTAGAACAGTGTCACTATGTGTGAAGTATGTGTCAAGCATGTAGAACATTGTATCACCATGTGTGAAGTGTGTGTCAAGCATGTAGGACATTGTATAAGATGTGTGTGAAGTCTTTGTCAAGCATGTAGAACATTGTGTTACAGTGCAGCAGAGCCCCCGTCTGGACACAGTTGAGAACCTGATGAAGCTGAGTCAGATGATCATACAGGCCCTGGAGGAGAAGTCCAGCTCGCTGCTGCAACTGCCCCACATCACACAGGACATGCTGAGACACTTCGTGGGCAAGAAGGTGAGATCATTGTTGGTCATATGCTTACACCTACACCACCACATCACACAGGACATGCTGAGACACTTTGTGGGCAAGAAGGTGAGATCATTGTTGGTCATATGCTTACACCTACACCACCACATCACACAGGACATGCTGAGACACTTTGTGGGAAATAGGATAGATCACTGTCTTGTGTCCTTGGTGCCTTATACTTTCCTTTGAGACACCTGGCTCCAGGAGAATGTTCCCAGATGATATTTGTCTTTCACAGCACTCACATTCCTAGAGTAATCTTGTATTGTCGTCACAATGTTCTTTACCCTATTACAGAGGAACATTCGCACCATCCGTGACTTGGTATCGATGAAAGAGGAAGATCGACGCTCAATGCTGCGTGGTCTGAATGACAGCGAATACAATGATGTGATGAACGTCTGTGCAAGCATGCCTGATGTCATCATGGAAGTAACGTCTGAGGGTAAGCTATGGCTGTCCTGAAAGTCATTTAACTGTAAACAAGACATGTTCCATCACATGCCACAACTTAAGAGAAAGATAAGAGCATAGGTGACCAAATGATGTAGGGTATCACAGTTAGGTGCAGCATTGCACCTCTTAGCTGTGTCTGGATCTGCTGTTTGGTCTGTTCCCTTCTGTTCAGTTAGAACTTTAGAACGCATGACTTGCCAGAAATACTGGTGAACATGAAAGAATAATGTTTAGTGCATAGCTTCTGCATGGCATGTCTGTATTGAAACCCTTGTTAGAGAGATTCATTAAGCATGCAATGTGTGATTTAAGATAAAATATTGAACATGCATTGTACTTTCCTGTCCAATTTCAGTTCTTGATGATGAAGACAAATCTATCACTGCTGGATCGATTGTCACTGTAACTGTGAGACTGACACGCGAACATCTGGGTTTGAAGTTGAATCGGGAATTGCCAGCCTCTGAAGGAGTTGAAGATGTTGTTGACAATGATGGAGATGAAGATGCTGAGGATGGTGAAGAGAAACAGGTGAGGGGGAACAGTCCTGTTAAGATTTAAGATCAGAATAGTTACCCAATACCTCATGCTATCCATACGTCAAGACTGGTAGCTGATGTTTATGATGCAGTGAGTGTGCAGTCACTTGTTTGCCTTGTATAGATTTGCAGGCTGAATCAGATCCTGGAACAATGAAGGATGCAATGTTTCACAACTTTTATGCCTTACATGACTATGACCTTTTCATGACACGATGAATGCATAGTGTAACATTTGATCTTACCAAAGTAGTATAGTGTCGCTATGTTCCCCCAGACAAATGCCTCCCCCCAGAACAAGCCCAAGGTGTGGGAGAAACAGAAGAAGAAAGGCAAGAAGGGAGGAGCCAAGCAGAAGAAGAAGACCAAGCAAGCCAACCAATGGAAGCCTGCAGCTCCACAAGCCAAACCAGATGCAGCACAGAACAATGGGGTAACTGTGCTATATTTGTCGTTTATCACATAGGGTAACTGACCTGTGCTTAATGTTTATCACACAGGATAACAAGCTAAATGTCCTATACTTGTTGATTATCACTTGGATGTGTACACAGAGTTATGGCCCTTTAGATGTTATACATAGTTGTTGCTGACTTGTCAGTCAGTGTAACTGAGAGACAGATTTAAAGTCCTGTTCTTGTGAAATGGTCTTATAGTTTGCTTGTTTATTGGGTAACATCACTGTTCTTGGAATCTTTATAGGTTACCCTGATATGACCCAAGTAGAGTAAAAGAATGTTTCCTACCAACTGTTACAAGGTACATGGTTTTTTCTGTTGTTGCACAGAAAACAGCCAAAGCAGCAGAGGCAGCAGCAGAAGGAGCTGAAGATGACGAGCATGAAGATGTGCCTGAGAAGAAGGTGCAAGACTCGCATGTTGAGGAGTCAGAGGATGAGGAGAGAAATGACTCAGAGGAGGAACAAGAAGAGACTAAGAAGCCTGTCAAAGCTGAGGACGAGGAGAAGGATGAAGAAGAGGAAGAAGACTGGTCAAAGTTCCAGGAAGAATCAAGGAAAGAGAACTCTCTGGAAACCAAGAGCAAGGAGAGCCATATTGTTCACTGCCCATATTTCTCTACAGTAAGTTGTATGACATGCTCTATCACCCTCATAATATTACAGTCATGGAAGGATTCTTTTGAGATATTGATTTATGTTGTGGAAAGAGACCAAGGTTTGAAACTTAAAATGTGAATGAAACTGTTGGCTTTTTGTGATATGTGAATAAGTAATGACTGCAAGTGAGGGGTTAGTTTGTTGATCTCTAAAGCTTCATGGATTCTAGGTTAAAATTGGTCCCTTGTAACTGTGCCGGTTTTAGTGGCCAATTTGTGGATCTGCTGGTCGGACTTGATTGCTCAGAGGTCACCATCATACACTTGGAATACTGCTGTGTGTCGTGTTAACAGATGAATGAAAAGAAGGCACTGAAAAGGCAAACTAAAAAGGGAGATAACTCCTTAACAGTGTTATTTGGAATACTGAAGAGGGAGATAACTCCTTGATAGTGTTGTTTGGAATATTGAAGGGGGAGACAACTCCTGACAGTTTTGTTTGGGAATTATGACCAGGATGAAAACTGACTGTCAATGGTCATGTGACTACTGTAGAAGGAGTTAAGTCCTTGATATCGTTGTTAGGAATACTGAAGAGGGAGATAACTCCTTGACAGTGTTGTTGGTAATACTGAACAGGGAGATAACTCCTTGACAGTGTTGTTGGTAATACTGAACAGGGAGATAACTCCTTGACATTCTTGTTGAGTGTAAGGAACTGGGTGACAACTTCTTCATGGTATTATTTGGAATGCTAAATAGGGAGATAAGTGCTCATCGTTTTTGTTGCAGGAGAAGCAGGAATGGTGGTGGTTGTACGTGGCAGACAGGAAACACCATCACCTCATCACTGCACCTGTACAGATTTGTAGCCTGAAGAAGGATGAGGAGGTCCAGCTCAAGTTCTCAGCCCCTCGTAAACCTGGCTCATACCAGTACTCTGTCATCCTACGCTCAGACTCATATCTGCTTGACTTTGACAAAATATCCAACATCAAGGTATGTAATTACTTCCTGCAAATGTATTCCTCATGCAATGTAATTGAAATTAAGTCTTCACATGTCCTGAGAGCAGCTTGTAACCCTGCATCAGCAAGTTTTGTAGTTCAGAGAAGAATGGATTTGGGGTATGCTAGTCTAAAGGACCATTGAAAGACGCAGCCATTATAATAAAGCTAGAGTTTTACTAAGCGTGTCATTCATTCACTGACTCAACATTATATCTGAGACTGGCCACTCCTGTTGCAGCTGGATGTGAAGGAGGCGAAGGTTGTGTCCGACCACCCGCAGTGGGACATCTCAGACGACGAGGCGGAGAAGGAGGATGGCGCCGGAGAAGACACAGAGGAGGATAGCGACTACTCTTCTGAGGAGGATGACGATGATTAGGAGGGGTGACAGGAGGGAGGGGAGGGAGGGATGACGTATGCGAGGTTGTACAGAAGATATTGATTTGTTAACCAAGGAGGATGAATTCAGGTCAGGGAGTTGGGGATGCAGAAGAGAAAAGTGCACATTTATATGTAAGAAGTGTCTGATGGGTGAATGTCTGATGGTAGGATAATATTGAGGGTGGTTGATACATATTTATGATAAGGTTAGCATGTGGAAGGGAGGAGTATGAGTACACAGAATGAGTGTGCAAGCTTGTTATCTCATATAATACATTGGAGGAGAGATTTCCTACAACATTGTTGTGACAATAAAGTCCGTGATTGCTATCTCGTTTACAGTATATTAGTTGGGGTCATGTTGTTATATCCCAGTTGGGTGGAGACTGTCCCTTTGGGGCAGTATGGTCTATACCAAATATGTTGACAAGCACTGAAGACGGATGTGTATGTGGATTGTGTGTATGGTGTAAGTGTTAAACAGATCATAGCAGTAGATGCTCCAGTCTTCACAGATGCTATCCCTTGATGGAACAAGTACATATTGTCAGGAAGGTAACAAAAGCATGAAAATTGTCCTTCACAAATCATTCAGGAATTCATCATTTATGATAAGGGTCAGCCCTCTGGAGTGAACATTGAAGATCTTATGTACATTATAGGGATTGGTGATCTGGATTGAACATAAAGGAACTGGTCAGCCATTGCAGGCCCACCATCTGGAGTGAGCATTAATGGATCTGTCATTTATTGCAGGGTCGCCAACAAAACAGTTGAGTGTCACAGATTTAGGGTACTTAAATAGATCACCGCTTCTGTTTTAATGTAAACTGTCATTCTGTTGAAACAGTTTCGATTATTCAAAACAAATGTCTTTGGTTATGTTACATCATGGGTCAGATATATCAGAATCACTTTAAGTCTCACTGTTTACTGCTCCTGCATGAAGACCAAAACCTTGGTGTCGTTCTCCCAGTGATCAGTGACCAGTCAATGTGCTCCAGTGTAACTTTAGCATCAGGGTAAGAGGACAAATCGCAACTGTTGTGATGTCTGGTTGACTATAGCTGCTGATTGAGACTGAATGATACAAATATTATAAGAGATCAAAGGGTCTGTAAAAGATGATGAATGTTATATAGATATTTTGTTCAATGTTTTGTAATAAAATGTGACCATGTTCAAAGCTGTGTTTGGATCAGTTTTATAGACTTACTGCTTAAACATTTCAGCATAGCATTTTCTCATCTGTGGGCATTTATAACTCATTTATCGTTTGTGTGTCTCTGTTCATTTGACAAAAAATCGCAAGTTGGAAGAGTGCTGTCATGCCAAGAAAATATGTTCCCTCCATAATGTATTGACCTGTTTAACACACAGCTCCTTTGAACATTGAATTATACATTGAATCATACAATAATTAAACCAGCATCCTTCCCAGAAATCTGCAACAGTTATTATTTGTACTACTCAAAGGGAGACTACTCTTCATGCCTATTTTCGCCATTTCCTGATGGGTTTCAGATGTGTGAAATGTTCCATTGTGCACCATAACATTTGAATTTGTAAACAGTACTTTCAAATAGCTGGAATAAAACTAAACTGAAATTGCCTTAGTCTAGCCCTACTTCAAGTCTGTTTTGTACATTTGTTTCTAGATAATTTATGGATTATTTTTTATTTAGAATCAATCATTTTGTATGGTCTGAATACTGTGTCAAGTTATGCTGGTAGAGTGCTCACATTGTTTCTTTTGATGCTGTCTTGGCTGTAGAGTTTGGTAATGGTTACAGCTTATGTCGTCAGGAGCTTCAAGTAATATGTGTGGATGATGATGTGAAGAGTAACCATTAACTGCCACATCATAGCAGGCCAGACAGGGCCAACTTCGTTTTCATCTTGTATGCCTTATCTTTGGTTTGCAGAACATGAGAAACATATATTTGATTGAAAGAATTCCTTATCATCAAACCATAATAAATATATAATTAACCTGCCTCAGAATCAATGTTCTTTTTCAAATTATGACCAAGACCATGTTCCCCAAAGACATTTTAGTACAGTACCGAAGTTCGTCCTTGGAAACTTGCCCATGATTCTGACAGTCATGGTTCAAAGATGGCATTGTAGGATTGGAGCCTTAAGCCTGAAGTTGACATTACAGGGAATGGTCTGAAATCAATGTGGACAAGCTACATATGTCATCTGCATCATGCTGCAATGGCAGGGGAAATATGTGTAATATTTGAACATTTGAAATAATACTAGTCTGACCTTGAACCAAATATAATGTTGCCTGTATGTCTGAGATGTGTACCAGCATATTGTTACTAATATAATCACAAATCGCCTGCAGTTACAATTAAAGGAAGGTTGATTTTCCATTACTGTAATTGTTGTTTGTTTAACACTGGTAATATGAATAGCAATGAAGAGACAGAATGTGTACATAGTAATATACGGGATACCACTGTTATGGCAAAGTTTGAACATTTTGGTGTTAGAGGGATTTTCAGAAAATATATTTATGTGATGAAATAAACAGCTTTCTTGTTGAAGGTATCATGTTTGTAAATAGCTTATTAATCCCATTTTGTAAATAAAATCTGAAATAGTGTACCTAAGAACTCTACCTAAAACTGAGCTGTAAAGAATATCTGAAGATGTCTTGATGTTTCATTGGTTATTTATATGGAAAATCCTTTACAAATATGCTCTTTGACTGTCCAGAGTTCTATAATTTACAGTAAGGCTGTACTTGGCATCTGCTATATCTGGTGGTGTTAGAATGGGGGATCACTGCATGGCAAGTTGTCAAAGCAAAACACTGTTTACTCCCATAGCTGCTGTACCATGTGACCTTGGCTAGTCATGCATGCATGCAATACTTACTGTACCATGTGACCATGGCTAGTCATGCATGCAGGAGGTGCTGTACCATGTGACCAAGGCTAGTCATGCATGCAAGAGCTGCTGTACCATGTGACCAAGGCTAGTCATGCATGCAGTACTTACTGTACCATGTGACCATGGCTAGTCATGCATGCAGGAGCTGATGTACCATGTGACCATGGCTAGTCATGCATGCAGTAACTGCTGTATCGTGACCATGGCTAGACATGCATGCAGGAGCTGCTGTACCATGTGATCAAGGCTAGTCATGCATGCAGGAGCTGCTGTACCATGGCTAGTCATGCATGCAGGAGCTGCTGTATCATGTGACAATGGCTAGACCTGCATGCAGGAGCTGCTGTATCATGTGACAATGGCTAGACCTGCATGCAGGAGCTGCTGTACCATGTGACCAAGGCTAGTCATGCATGCAGTAACTGCTGTATCATGTGACCATGGCTAGACATGCATGCAGGAGCTGCTGTATCATGTGACAATGGCTAGACCTGCATGCAGGAGCTGCTGTACCATGTGACAATGGCTAGACCTGCATGCAGTAGCTGCTGTACCATGTGACCAAGGCTAGTCATGCATGCAGTAACTGCTGTATCATGTGACCATGGCTAGACATGCATGCAGGAGCTGCTGTACCATGTGACCAAAGCTAGTCATGCATGCAGTAACTGCTGTACCATGTGACCATGGCTAGTCATGCATGCAGGAGCTGCTGTACCATGTGACCAAAGCTAGTCATGCATGCAGTTACTGCTGTACCATGTGACCAAGGCTAGTCATGCATGCAGTAACTGCTGTACCATGTGACCATGGCTAGTCATGCATGCAGGAGCTGCTGTACCATGTGACCAAAGCTAGTCATGCATGCAGTAACTGCTGTACCATGTGACCAGGGCTAGTCATGCATGCAGTAGCTGCTGTGCCATGTGACCAGGACCAAGCTAGTCATGCATGCAGTAACTGCTGTACCATGTGACCATGGCTAGTCATGCATGCAGGAGCTGCTGTACCATGTGACCAAGCTAGTCATGCATGAAGTAGCTGCTGTACCATGTGACCAGGGCTGGTCATGCATGCAGTAACTGCTGTACCAGGGCTAGTCATGCATGCAGTAACTGCTGTACCAGGGCTAGTCATGCATGCAGTTACTGCTGTACCATGTGACCATGGCTAGTCATGCATGCAGTAACTGCTGTACCATGGCTAGTCATGCATGCAGTAACTGCTGTACCATGGTGTACCAGGCTTCATGCATGCAGTAACTGCTGTACCATGTGGCCATGGCTAGGTAGGCATATTTCCAGATATACTCCAGATCATGTACATTTCCTTGCTTGTCAGTCAGATGTAGATGAACACATTGCATCATAAATTCCTGAAATCAACAGGTCCAGTAACTGTTGTGACCTTCCCCTTGACTGACATCAACCCTCAAGATAACATAGATGATCCATCATTCTGCTCATGTTACTTTCTTACATTTTCCTGTGTCAGTTATAGCAGTGTGAAGAGTTTCTTTACATAAAAATACAATAAACTATTTTCAACGTCACTCTTGTCTCTGTCATTTGTTTACTGTAGCCACAGCAAGAATTAAAGTGTGATGACAATAAAAGGACACAATGTGGAGCATTCCAGGGTTTTGCTGTTTCGGCACAATGCTGTCAACTGGCTATTCAAGGGCTCTTTGCACATTTCTGTGAGCAGACATTTATATCAAATGAAGAAAAAGAAAATGTCCTTCATGTGAAGTAGAGTAAATTTTGTTATTGAAAATAATACCATAAAATTTGATCAATCTTTTATCCTTATAAATTCATTGCCAAAACCAAACCTGGAAACTGACAGATGCACCCACATACCAGTGTCAATAACGGGTGTGAACACCATTTGTATTAACACTTGCAAGGCCGCCATGGTGTTGCAAAGACACCAGATTTTAAAACCCGCCAAAGGGATGCTCCTGATGTCAAAACCAATATAGGATCATCAAGAGAAATAGCCCAGCACGACAGTACAGCCATGTTATAGAGCCTCTAAAAGTGTTCCAAACTTGCCAACTGTGGTCTGGCACTATCTGGCTGCTAGGTGACATTATATATCCCTGCATTTGCAAAAAGGGAAGAACATGATCCAGAACGTTGTCTTTTCATGTCGCACACCAACCAAATTGAAATTAAATATGACTTGCATTCCCCCATGAAATGTGATTCCACCCAGTACCGTTACACCTCTTAACTGATCAGGTGCAGTAATGCAAGCATCACTATTTGGAAAATGTTGTGGATGCACCATCAGAGCCATTTGTGGAAGTAAAACTGGGCATATCACTAGATGCTGGGACTGGATGATGTGCTCCTTCTACCTGTTCCATACGGCTCTGACACTGACAGTTTCGTATTAGTTCTGTAAATGCATCAACCTAATATGGTTATTTTAATAACATGATGTGAAATATGGATGACCCACCCATGACAAATCATGATTGTTTGGATGCCCATCAAAGGTCTGGCAACATCACTTTGTACCATACTGTGAAAGAGATATCTAAAGTTCTTTGAAAACAAAAGTGTTATGTGCATCTGATAGCTAAACAATAATTGTGTTTTGTGGTCAACTTGATTACCGTCATGGCTGCCTTGATGGTATGATACTACATGAGGGAGTGAGTGAGTTTAGTTTTACGCCGCACTCAGCAATATTCCAGCTATATGGCGACGGTCTGTAAACAATAGAGTCTGGTGCAGACAATCCAGTGATCAACAGCATGGGCATCGATCTGCGCAATTGGGAACCAATGACATGTGTCAACCAAGTCAGCGAGCCTGACCACCCAATCCCGTTAGTCGCCTCTTATGACATGCATAGTCGCCTTTTATAGCAAGCATGGGGTGCTGAAGACCTATTCTAATATGTGTAGGTAAAGTAACATGCCGATCGAGCAGGTTTGTTTAACAAAATGTAGGTGATTTGTTGCTGAAAGTAGATTCCCACTGCTACTGGGCAGGTCTCCTCCTACACCATCATAGTCGGCAGGATGGGTTGAATTTTATGTATGGTCTCCACGACAAAAATGATTTTTCTGGACTTGTCAATGTTATATTTCACCACACTGCCAAAGCAAACTGTTTTTGGCTATGACATGTCTTGGTTCTCATATTCTTCAGGAAGATATGAAAATTCTGACACCCAAGAAGCACTTTTCACATTATTGAGATGTGTGAGATCCAAATGTCTCAGCTTGAATTAATCAGCCTTGAGACAATTTTCCCCAACACAAAAACACAAAGAGACACTTGGTTATACTAGATGACAGATGTTGTATTTACAATGAAATCAACACATTGTCTGGCGACCTGTCTCCCCAGGAGAGTAGAAACAACACCGGTGGGTGTTCCAATTTACATAATTACAATAAAACAAATATTGATCCATCTGCTGCATCAGGGCAAGGGGAGACAACTCTGGTTCAGAGTTCATGTCTGACAGTTCACTGAGAGTGGCACGGCTGCTTCCCTGGTCACAACAGTCTGTTCACCCACTGCTAGTGAGCAACAATGGGCTGATTGGGGTTGTGATGGAGCGTGGGAGGTAAGCTGGGGCGTTCCTCCAACTTGTCATACTCCAGGTGAAACTCTTTTGCCACTTTCCGCCAGTTCTGTGCATCAAAGAAGTAGTATGTTCCCCTCTCATACGTGTTTGTTTTGACGATGGGATCCATACCCGGTGCCCTTGTCATCCACACCCTCTCCTCCTTGTGGTACCTCCACTCTCGACTGTGACTGAAAACATCACACACACGACATAATAAATAAATTCAATCAACTTTTTTAACATGTTATTGTGTTTGCCGATTAAAGCCACTTTCAGAAATATTCAAGATATATGATGACTGCCTGTAAATACTCACAATTACCAGAAAGGTGATGGATATTAGATATTATTCAAACAACTGTACCACAATATCAAGAGCCCAACCATAAGATCCACTAAATTGCCTCTTACAAAGTACCTTAGGTTGGTTACCGTGGACTAATTCTAACCCCAAATACTAACCTCAGTAAAAAGACTATGCAGTAGAATTGCTACAGATATGGCCTAATACTACCCATCTGAGTTAGGTAAAGATGTGTTTCTAATGCATATGTGTATCTCAGTGGGCTAGCACTATAAAACCAGCTTCAGTCTGGGTTAGTACAAGCAGCCGCACATACACACACACGTGCATGCACGTCGTCATATGAACGAAATATTCTCAAGTACGACGTTAAACCCAATTTCACCTCACCTCACCTCTAATGCATATGTACCTTATTTAACAATCCACAGCTGTGACAGCTAAATCAATATAATAAAAACTCCATCCCTTAATGATGTCCATATTACTAATGCTATGTCATCAGAACAATCTATTTTCGGAACTGACTTATAAAACATTTCTTTGGAAATATGCAAAAGCAATTGAAAGACTGTTGCAGGGTGTGACTCACAGTTCTGCTGCCGCCGCCAACTGCAACACGTCCCCACCGTTCATGTAGAACAAGAAGAACAACAGGTCCTCTCCATACCGGTTCAGCTTGATTGGAGCCAGCTGCACGACAAACAACACAATCAGGTCAACCGCACTTCTGTAAGTGGCATTTACAAACTGGTAGGATGAAGAAGAATGAATTTTATGGATTGACAACTTCTTTATTGCAATTGCTGTGTTTCCGTGTAGATACAAACCTGTTATCAAGCAAGATACACCAAAACGTTGAATCTATTGATGTGTTTCCGTGTAGATGCTATCACTGTTATCAAGCAAGATACACCAAAATGTTCAATCTATTGATGTGTTTCTGTGTAGATGCTATCACTGTTATCAAGCAAGATACACCAAAATGTTCAATCTATTGATGTGTTTCTGTGTAGATGCTATCACTGTTATCAACCAAGATACACCAAAATGTTCAATCTATTGATGTGTTTCTGTGTAGTTGCTATCACTGTTATCAAGCAAGATACACCAAAATGTTCAATCTATTGCTGTGTTTCCGTGTAGATGCTATCACTGTTATCAAGAAAGACACACCAAAACGTTCAATCTATTGATGTGTTTCTGTGTAGATGCTATCACTGTTATCAAGCAAGAAACACCAAAACGTTCAATCTATTGCTGTGTTTCCGTGTAGATGCTATCACTGTTATCAAGCAAGAAACACCAAAATGTTCAATCTATTGCTGTGTTTCCGTGTAGATGCTATCACTGTTATCAAGCAAGATACACCAAAACGTTGAATCTATTGATGTGTTTCTGTGTAGATGCTATCACTGATATCGAGCAAGAAACACCAAAACGTTCAATCTATTGCTGTGTTTCCGTGTAGATGCTATCACTGTTATCAAGCAAGAAACACCCAAACGTTCAATCTATTGATGTGTTTCTGTGTAGATGCTATCACTGTTATCAGGCAAAAACACCAAAACGTTCAATCTATTGATGTGTTTCCGTGTAGATGCTATCACTGTTATCAAGCAAGAAACACCAAAACGTTGAATCTATTGCTGTATTTCCGTGTAGATGCTATCACTGTTATCAAGCAAGATACACCAAAATGTTCAATCTATTGCTGTATTTCCGTGTAGATGCTATCACTGTTATCAAGCAAGATACACCAAAACGTTGAATCTATTGCTGTGTTTCCGTGTAGATGCTATCACTGTTATCAAGCAAGATACACCAAACTGTTGAATCTATTGCTGTGTTTCCGTGTAGATGCTATCACTGTTATCAAGCAAGATACACCAAAACGTTGAATCTATTGCTGTATTTCCGTGTAGATGCTATCACTGTTATCAAGCAAGATACACCAAAACGTTGAATCTATTGCTGTGTTTCCGTGTAGATGCTATCACTGTTATCAAGCAAGATACACCAAAACGTTGAATCTATTGCTGTGTTTCACTGTTATCAAGTAGATGCTATCTATTGATGTTATCAAGCAAGATACACCAAACCGTTTCAATCTATTGCGTTGTGAATCTATTGCTGTGTTTCCGTGTAGATGCTATCACTGTTATCAAGCAAGATACACCAAAACGTTCAATCTATTGCTGTGTTTCCGTGTAGATGCTATCACTGTTATCAAGCAAGATACACCAAAACGTTGAATCTATTGCTATAAAGAAGTTGTCAATCCATCAAATTTGTTCCTCTTCATGTCAACGGCTGGGAGAAATTTCACTCTTCTTAATCCCACTACCTTCTCAGCTTTCAAATTCACTCTAGTCCAAGACTACTAACTTATGTTGAAGGTATCTAAAACTCCAATGGTAGTCTTCACTGACCAGTAGCATGAGGGCTATATTCTAAACCAGTTATGTCAAAAGCATTCAGAAATTGCACTTTTGATAATCCCACTAATTCCCCGTCTTCAATTTCACACATGTTCAAACATAATCAGGTCAAACATAGTTTTTGTTCTGAGACAGGCTGACATTACATACTGGACCTTTTAATGCAAGCATAATCTCTGCAAACTCACCTTTTCCCTGATGAAAATGTTTGTGAGATACTCTGCAGGCACGTGGAAATCTGAAAATAAACATTTGGTCCATGGGCAACATCTGGTGCTTTTTAATCTGACATCTGGACAAACATTTTCTATAAACTGACTTAAAACACAGACACCTCATTGGAGTTGCATTTGTCCTGACATAAAACAGTATCTCCAAAACCAACTGTGAAACACAGTGGATTCTCTCAGCATCTGAAATACACCCATCAAGCCAGGCAGACAGGTGACTTAAATGTAACTAACATGTCTTGAAATTACAGGCCCGTATCATCTCACTTGTGCAACTCGGGGCTATCTTGAACAACCAAAGAATATCCAGTACAACTCACAGATACTGCAGTCCTTGTTCATGCAGTTCATCATACCTCCATCTTCATAATGATCAAAACCATGAAGCCATTTGCTAGTTTTGCACAAAATGTGACATCACCACGTCCTTCTCTCGTGTCTGTAGCTGTAGCGACTTGAAACTTACCGATATCTTGTGGCCGACAGGGTGCATCTGCCCAGGGGGACTGAAATGTACTGTAGAGGTTTCTGGAACAAAATCAGCAAATACTGTCACAGTCGGTTGATGACAAGATAAAACAAAATTATGGCAATTACACACAATACAACCATTTTAAATATGACTGACATCGGCAGGGGTTGAAGGCTTTTATGGCTGAAGCGACTGAATGTTACTCTCCAAGGGAGTTTACACAACTATGACTATGTATATACAGTGAGTTGAAGAAGCTGCTCCAAGAGGATATATGTAGCCATTAACTATACTCATGCACATTACACCACCCAAATCCTTTCATGTAAAGATATGCACACAGTAGGTTTACAAATATCTACCAGGTCAAACAATGTAAACACTGACAACATGGTCAAAAAATGTAAACATTGCCAACATGGTCAAAAAATGTAAACAGTGCCAACATGGTCAAACAATGTAAACATTGCCAACATCATCATACAATGTAAACAGTGCCAACACGGTCAAACAACGTAAACATTTCTAACATCATCAAACAATGTAATCACTGTCAACCAGGTAAAATATTGGTAAGTCAGGCAATGAATACAAATTAAACAATACCAACACATTATCAAGCATTGACAAATAATGTCAAGCAAGGTCAGTGTCAACCATTGTAGACATCGTCAAATAATGCTGACAATGTCAAACAGAACAATCATTCCAGACAATGTCAAACAGGACAACCATTACAGACAATGTCAAACAATTCCCACAATAGAAAAATGCAGGCAACCATTCCTGACAATGTCAAACAATATGCACAATGTCAAACAAGGGCAACCATTCTTTACAATGGCAACAATGTTGTACAATTCCAGCCAACAATGAATGTGTATGCAAATAAAACCATCACAGTCAGTTTAGTAAGCTAATGGCCAGTACTGCAGTACAGAATGTATTTATCATATGACACCAATCAGCAGTTTCACATAACATATTTATGTACGGTGAACGTGAAATGGAAACAACAAAGATACACAACATATATATATATCAGAATGTATATTGGTATATGTACCCCATCCAGGTACTGACACACACACACTCACTCACATGTAGAAACACACTGACTACAAGACAAGCGAAACAGATTACACACAACCAACACTGAAAGACAGACCCTTCTTATATTCAAAGTCTGATAAGAGCAAAGCATTATATTCCTACTCCAACACTTAATGGATGGGAAAACTACATACAAATTAACACGTTATTTCCCACATGATAACACATTAACATATGTCAAATCCATAGACTTCACAAAATCAAAAGGGGGACAACTCTGACATCTAGTAAATGTATTTTCATTGGTTGTCTATCTGTGCACCAGTGCCTGGGATATTCCATGTGATATTGATATTAAACTAGGCAAATAGCCTTCCAAAGTCAACCAGTTTTACAAAGGAGGTAAGATAATCTATTAATCATAATGACAACAATCAACCCCTCTCAAGGATTGACAGAAAAGGAGAGAAAGTCTAGTCGGCACCCAGATTCCACAATGATATATGAGTCCAAGGTAACAGATCTGAACTCCTTCAATGAATACAACACGCACTCTACCAAGTTTAAAGAGTTCTGAATACACTAAGTCCAGTATCACAAATACTTCAATGATTATCTTAAGTACTGAATACCCAACCAAACACCCTGACCACTTCTGAGTATTACACAGAGCATCATGTGTTGAATGACGAACTATGAAAAACACTCATCCTCTCCATGATAACATGAAACATTTATGGATAACAACTTCTTTATTGTTTGCAACAATGTTCACAATCTACTTCTTGACCCTTCGCCATTCACCTGATCAGAATCAGAAGAAGACTTGTAACCTGAAACATCTCATTACACATAACAAAGTTTATATCCATAAATATTTCACGTCTTCATGTTTGTCCAACTTCTATACTTATATACCAAAGACTTCATCTCAACCAACCACACAAACTTTCCAATTAGCGTTTTACCATTAACCTGTTTAGGACCAATCTGTGATCCATTCATACAGCTATCACCAGGTAAATACATGAAGTTACATGTTAACAATGAACAGACCAAAGCCACCAACAGAGGTGAGAAAACCCCTGACAACAATTTATATAACTCATTGCCTGTTCTACAGACTGACTACTGTTAATGGTTACAGCAAGAGACATGCCAGAGGTCTTACACTCCACAGTCTTTACCAGATGGACACAAGGAACTATGGCCTACAACCACCCATGAACCAGCTGGACAAACTAGGGCTTACTGCAGACAGTGTTAATTGCGTCAGATGTTAGTGCACGATAGGAACACAGACGAAGGAGGACAACAGTCGCAGAGAGATTAAATAAGCAAACACAGAACACCTCAGACACCAAATTTTGAAAAGCATTCAATCAGGGTGGGGTGGGGGTTTTCAGTAGCATCAGAAACACTGAGAGAATAGTTACAAAGCATATTGGGTCAGATTGATCGTTTGGAAAATTTAGAAATAATTCTTCATGTCCTATCTATAACCTGGAGCTGCACACATACCCTTCCGCTGTGATTACTGTTAGCAGCAGAGCCATTTAATAGTCTGATGGTATTTCAACAAGGACATCTAACCCTGACTGACTATGCTTTACTAATGATGTTTTGTAAGGAAAATGACACTGTAAAGGAGACAATGACAATTTGTTGAAGAGATGTTTCCGGAGATTGTAGTGAGCATTCCAGCAGAAACAATGGGTAAATGAAGAAGTTAGTTTGAGAATAATGGTCAGGCCTACCTCTTAGAGCTGCATAGAGAAAGAAGCAATGATCAGAACATGATTATCTTAATTATAGACACATCAACGAATTTTTTACATTGCAGGGTTCAGACGACCACTTCTCAGACAGCCATGTTAACAGCAGTGAAGGGTGTGCTAGGGGTAAGTCCGTCTCCGTGGAGGACGAGTATTTCATTGACAGATGTGTTGTGTTACAAACAAGATAGTCATTGTGAGTGGAAACAGTCTCTGCAGGACTTCATTCAGGACCATGATATAAGAAAAACGTTTGATGGATAGAAAACTATAGAAAATTATCATGATGTAATGTTTACAAGAAAATAATACAATTGAAACAAAACAAGAACTGAAGCACTGGCCAATCAGCTTAAGTAAATGCATGATGACTGCACACACAGACATGGAGGCATCGGTGTGCACAACACATGCAGTCCAACCATACCAGCAAAGCCAAGACACCATCCCAACAATAACTCCGGGACCAACATGAGTACCTACTTAACACACGCTATCAGTTACCCAGACAATATCTATCAAAATATCACAGCCCGTTCATGGACTAATTCTAGCTACCATAAATAATACCAAACTCAGAATTCATGAATTGGTCTTATCCATTGTTAAATATAGTTAAAGGTTGTCAATGCAGCTACAAGCTGTTACAAAACCCTAACAATATACCAAACTCTTTCATTAAAAAGCAATATTGTTGTTTTAACTTTACACATTTTATAAGAAAAATAGAAGTTTAAAAAGGGTATAATTTTCTATGTTATCATCATGTCAATAAGTGCTACTCTCATATCTGTCCTAAAGGTATACAGAATTAGTGACACACTGTGACACAGTGGTTATTGAAAACATCCATGAATGCCACCTCCAGCAGGTGCCCCGATGCAAGTAACTAGGGGATGCAGCTGACACAGCACACAGTTGCTTAAATTGAAAGGCCAGGGCAAGTTTGTGAGGAGCAGATACTGGAGAGACAACTTACTCAGGGGAGTTGAGATTGAGGCCCAATGTTGTGAGATCAATCCCGGGTGCTAAAGCAACCAAGTTGGGGTCGTTCTCGGATGCCCGTATAAACGTGAGGAGACCCACAATGCCAAACTGATCTGTGACCATGCCTGGCGGGATATTGGACACCGTGCCTGTATTGGAGAAAGATACATTAATACATGGGGGTATTAAACAGGAAGATAATAACAGTTATAAATAAAAATCACTTCAATTCACTGAATAGATAGATCAGGAAGTTCTTTTGTGCATAAAATGCAAGATATTAACTACAAAAAATAAAACTTTAAAAGATCACCTGATTCACTAACCCTCCGAGTTTGTAGCTACTCCAGTTTGAACAAGACAGAAATGTTATCTTTGTTTAAACACAGTTTACTTCAGCAGCAGAAATGATGCACTGAGAACAAGATCCAAATTATTTTACTAAAAATCAGCACGCCTGGAAGGTTGACCCCAGGTGACTCGAAAACCCCTGCCCAACTGCAAGTTGTTCTAACTACTGTGAGGCACAGAGCAGGGGTGGAAATAACTTTAAAATTGCTAGTGTACTCCGGTACAGTTGCACATGTAAAATCACTTACCCTGATAATTTTTCCACAATACCGGCCACTTTTCTTGTTGTTTTTAAATAGACAACATAATTATTAATTAACATTGGAAAGTCAACTGGACACCGGTATAGCGTGATATACAAATTGGCTTGCCTGACAGAAACACACACTGGACTGGGGCGTCGGGCAATGGGTTATTTCCACCCCTGACAGAGACACTCACCATCTGGGTGCGTCTGAATGCCTCTCTTTGGTTGTGATGATTTGTCGGAGGGTTTGTCTTTGCTGTTCACCGACTCGAATGTTCCTGGTGCAGGCTGCAACAATACTCTCTCATGTCACACAAGTCAACCAATACTCTCTCATGTCACACAAGTCACCCACAGTCTGAACACGCACATCACTAGTTTGCAGCTTCAGTCAGATGTCAATAATACCATGTCAAGGCATGTTCTGGACCTACTCTTGCTCCCTGAGTTTCCCATCTGAACCCCACCTTATTCTTGTTCCCTCAATATCTCATCTCAACCCCACCATACTCTTCTTCCCTCAATATCTCATCTGAACCCCAACTTATTCTTGTTCCCTCAATATCCCATCTGTACCCCACCTTATTCTTGTTCCCTCAATATCTCATCTCAACCCCACCATACTCTTCTTCCCTCAATATCCCATCTGAACCCCAACTTATTCTTGTTCCCTCAATATCCCATCTGTACCCCACCTTATTCTTGTTCCCTCAATATCCCATCTGAACCTCACCTTACTCTTGTTCCCTTAATATCCTGTCTGAACCCCAACTTCTTCTTGTTCCCTCAATATCCTGTCAGAACCTCACCTTACTCTTGTTCCCTTAATATTCCGTCTGAACCTCACCTTACTCTTGTTCGGTCAATATCCCATCTGAACCCCACCTTACTCTTGTTCCCTCAATATCTCATCTGAACCCCACCATACTCTTCTTCCCTCAATATCCTGTCTGAACCCCACCTTACTTTTGTTCCCTCAATATCCTGTCTGAGCCTCACCATACTCTTGTTCCCTTAATATCCTGTCCGAACCCCACCTTACTCTTGTTCCCTCAATATCCAGTCTGAGCCTCACCTTACTCTTGTTCCCTTAATATCCCATCTGAACCCCACCATACTCTTGTTCCCTCAATATCCTGTCTGAACCTCACCATACTCTTGTTCAGTCAATATCTCATCTGAACCCCACCTTACTCTTGTTCCCTCAATATCACGTCTGAAACTCACCATATTCTTGTTCCCTCAATATCCCGTCTGAACCTCACCATACACTTGTTCCCTCAATATCCCATCTCAACCCCACCTTACTCTTGTTCCCTCAATATCCCATCTGAACCTCACCTTACTCTTGTTCCCTCGATATCCCATCTGAACCCCACCTTACTCTTGTTCCCTCAATATCCCGTCTGAACCCCACCTTACTCTTGTTCCCTCAATATCCCATCTGAACCTCACCTTACTCTTGTTTGGTCAATATCCCGGCTGAACCCCACCTTACTCTTGTTCCCTCAATATCCCGTCTGAACATCACCTTACTCTTGTTCCCTCAATGTCTCATGTGAACCCCACCTTACTCTTGTTCCCTCCATATCCCGCCTGAACCCCACCTTACTCTTGTTCCCTCAATATTCCATCTGAATCAGACCTCACTCATCTTGTCAACTTTCACTGACGTCTCCAGATCAGCCACAGATACCCCCTGGCAGAATGACCAAAATCTGTTCCTAATAGGTTTGTCAGTATGACAGTACATATATTACCAAGGCAAAGTAGGTACTTTTATCAAAGTAAATTTACCATGTAAGTTTGTTTACTTACCATGTAAGGATTTGGAGGACCAAATAGAGCACTAACAGTTTTCCTTGTGGAGTCGTTTGCCGATGATGCTGGGGGATCTGGAACAAAACAACAATGTTATCATAGTGAATGATTACATGTAGTTACAATGCACCTAATGATATTCCATCTGTATCACAGGAACCTATTACATTCTCAGGTTTTGAAGTATTGTTTTCTCATATATAGAATCTATGCATTGTACTGCTCTGTAACACTGTGTAACCGACATGTTCTGTTTGTTAATAAAGCCACTTGACAACCTTGTGATTGATATCATGAGCATAGATGGGTGGGGCATTTTCAGCAAGAGTAAGTGAGTTTGGTTTTACTCCGCTTTTAGCAATATGTCAGCAATATCATGGCAAGGACACCAGAATTGGGCTTCGCACATTGTACCCATGTTGCGAATCGAACCCGAGTCTTCAGCGTGACGAGGGACTACCACTAGGCTACCCAACCTCCCCCATTCTAAGCAGGAAGCTTGACATGAAGCAGCGTACTTACTTGAGGATCCAGGCAGGGCAGGGAACTCCTCCTGGGTGATATTGAACTCCGGGGTGGGGTCCGGAACAGCTTTGCTGACCATACCTACTGTAGGCAAACAAACACCCTCTTTAGTCACCGCGGCTTTTGTATACACACTGGATACAGGCATCGTGAGCATTTGCATCAGGTAAACTCACACAACTACACCACTAAAACAATCAGATAACCACAGAAAAGGTACAATTCATAACAGTTATCAAACCTGTTATATTTATAAATTGATGTGAAATGATTAACTTTGTACAGTATAAGTCTGTCTAATCCATGATTTGGAAAAGTATAACATACAAACGATCAATGAATGGAAACATTACAAACAGATATCCAAAACAAACAGTATATTACAGTTATAACAAAGTGAAAGGCACCACCTAATTTAGTTCACCAAACGTATAGTATATCATACAGATCTTAACTAGAATACACAGCAAGAGGACATTCCAATAGTTTGTTATATATATCAGATTGTTATAAGCATATTTCTTACAAACACAGCTTACTGTAAGTAATTTCAAATGTTAAATTCAAAAGTAAATTGTAACAAAAGCTTTGATATGTATTTCTTGTGCCTGAAGAAAGATAACATTTTGACAGAAGTGACTCATCACCATTTCACTCCTGCATGGACACTGAGAAAGTCTTTAGCCAATGATGAGGCAGTTAACTTAGAGAGAAGACAAGGAGGCTACAAGAAGAACTGAAGCAGAGATGATGTTCTGGGGAGATAGATGAAGGAAGCATGGCAATAGTGCAAAGTAACTCCGTAGAAAACTAGGTAAGGTTGCCATAGTTTTAATTATCACAAGACCTTGAAACTGATCTTTTGCTAAATTTTCCTAATTTTTAATAAATTATTGCACATTTTATGATAAGATGGCAATAGCTCTCAGCATAATTTTCACGAATCAGTAGAGACTATTTATGATAAATGGTTTTGAAGCTGGTCATATTTCCATACAAATAAATATGTCTTGTTTCTAACAATTTGAGGACATTAAAAATGAATTATCTATTTTTATAGATACATGATACAGATGTCTCGTACTCTTCCTTCTCAGTATCTGCATTTTTTATCATTAACAGGATAGTCTATCAAATAAACTATAAAACATAGTTTTAGATGTCAAAAAGAGCTTGATCCATTGGCTAGATCTTACCATAGTTTCGAGCGGTTGGCATGGGATTGGGAGGGATGTTAGATCTGTTGCTTAATGAAGGAAATTCCGACAAATCCAGCGCTGGATGGTTGTTCTCGTTACCTGTGGAACATAAGGAGAATGAGGACTCACACAGAATTACTGTACAAGCACAACAAACTAATCTCCTCGTATCCACCAAATGTACATAGATTGAAAACCCTTTTTTATACATACAAATTTTGAATTAGCAAACCAAAACAGCAGTCCTGTTTCTAACCACGGGGAGATTCTATTCAGCATTCAAATCTTTCTTTTAATGTTTTATGTTTGTAATCAGTGACAATGTGTTTAAATAGCATAGCTACTGCTTCATTGGCAGAGAGATTAATGATGTCCCCAGAGACGTCACAACAGTTTGCAAAGCAATTTACAATTAAAAGATTGCATACCTTGCCTGCTCCCCGAAAAGCCGAAACTGTTTGTGATACTAGTGATTGGTCCGGCAGCACTGCAATACACAGGACACACAGTGTAGTAAGTGGACATCAGTGTGCACACATCACCATGGCAACATTGTAAATATCACAGGTGTTTACACGTGTACAGGACACAGTGGGTTATAGTTAGTTGGAACAATTGTTGCTGTGAGATTGTAGAGTGAAATAATACCCAAAACATAATCACGCTATATCACTTCATTACAAACTGTAGTCCAAACATCAACAGAACAATATACACATATAATTTATATGAAATATACACTTTTGATATATATGGTAATACATACTTTATAATGTAAACATTAATATATATGTATACTTTGCCACTAATTGTATTGTTTAGTCTAAAGTCTCTTGGCTTCATTGTGTTCACTAGAACTAGAAGTCAAATGCATATCAGTCAGCATAGCACTTTCTCCATAGTTTGTCTAGTGTTATGAGGCAGTGTCATCTTTGATATCAGGCAATTGAATTGACAAACATGTCACGACAGTGCCCTGTTGGCGTAATGTGCTTAGGTTGAAACATTTGAATGATAATTTCTGTGAAGCAAAACAGCAAAACCTCATTAACAATGCCACTTACAGCCTAATGACAGTGCCCTGTTGGCCTAGACAAATTGTCACAAGTGATGCTACTGCATGGCTTTGACATATTCTATTTTGCATATCTCAATTAGGTAAACAACAAACTAGTTCCATGTTAAAAACATTCTCTCAAAATATTCCTAAATATTTGATTCTAATGACCAATAATAATGAATTGAATTCATGAAGGGATATAGAGGTTTGATTCACTGAATATGTGAGTGAATCCCAACAGGACAGGTATATAATACTATACATCTAACAACAATTGTTCTCAAGCAATGAGAAGGGGATAAGGGAATGTTCAACTTCTGCACACAAAAATAATTCATAGCCTAAAAAACCATCTCTTTTAGTCTCCTGTGTAACTCCAGACACGGAGATACAGACGTTTTGTTAAATGTGGGCACTGTTACCTTCCGAATGCTGAGGATAAAGTTGTCCGCTTCTGGAGATTATTGAGAGGCTGAGAGGACTGGTTCTGACCGAGCACACTGCGGGCTCCGATCACTGACAGGCTGCAATGATCAAATAACTCACTTGCACATCATGGAAACATGGGCAGTTGTTTATTGTTTCACACTGCCCTCAGCAATATTCTAGTTGTACTGCACTGGCCCCTAAATAATCGAGTCTGAACCAGAGTGATTAATATTACAAGTAATGATCTATGTTGTCATGTATGATGTCACTCACACAAGTTACTGAGCCTGATCATTTAGTGAGTGAGTGAGAGAGTGAGAGAGTGAGTATAGTTTTACGCCGCTTTGAACAATATTCTAGCAATATCACTGCGGGGGACACTAGAAATGGACTTCACAGATTGCACCCATGTGGGGAATCAAACCTGTGTCCTCAGCGAGATGAGCAAATGCTTTAACCACTAGGCTACCCCACCACCCCTGATCATGTAACTCAATATGTAATCTCTTACAACTCAATAGTCTGCTGGGGACCAATTCTAACCTGGAATATGAACAGGGTTTACATAAGTGAAACCATTAACAATTTTCTTTGAGAGTGGCTGAGATTGGCTGGGCATTGACATTTAGTCTACACATAACTACTGGCTACACAGCACCTGTTGGGTGAGTGTTGAGGCTGCTGTATACTGATGGGGAAGTTGGGGTTCATGCTCGTCGGCGTGATGTGGCCGCCACTGCTGTTGCGTCCAGGGAACTGACTGTTACCAATACTTCGTTGGGGCAGACCTGGAAACAAGTAACACAGCATTCTAGTGCTCCATCTCCCAATCCATTATCTTGTCAGTCAAAGTTTACCTTTAGTTGGCAGAATTTTGTTACTAGTTTTATGATACTTACACGAATGTAACAAAGGGAAATGCAAGATTCAAGACAAATACTTTAAAGAATAACATGTTAGAAAAAAAACCCAACCCAAAACATGTTAAAATGGCAGCTATATCTGATGACTCACCCTGGCTGTAGAAGTTGTTTCCGAACCCAGACAGCTGAGATGGGGATTGAGATGTCATCTGTCACAGAGAGACATTGATACCAGAAACATAGTCAGTTGATTTATATCAAACACAAATAAAGAAGATCTTGGTCTTCCTTTCTGTTATTACAGTGAAACCACATCAGCTGTTGGAGATTACTGTGGCATCATATGTGCCCTAAACAACAGATAATGATGCATCTACTTGACGACCCCTAGAACTCAGTTGTAATCGTTTACTCAGGTTTGCATCATACATTGAGTAGATCAAAACAAAAGAAACAACAAATTCTTTGTATGTTTATGATGTTGTGTTTATGTAATGACCTCAATCACTTCAACAGGTCTAGAAATGCAACAGTAATTCTGCAGCAAGTCAGCGATGAACACCAAACATCTATATTTAGTAGGGGTGACTATTGAGGGGGACACAACTGTAGCGACAGTCTATTGCAACATACTATAGCGATAGTCTATTGCGACTAACTATTGCAATAGTTTTTTCTCTCCTTGAATTGTCTCATTTGAAGTCATTTCCCAAATGAATGTATAGTTTATATGAAATAAGAACAAGCTGAAGTAGTTTCAATCTCTTTTAATAACTGACAAGAAACTTGAAACCCAGATTAAGTTTGTTTAAGAGGTAACGGGCAGAAAACTCTAAATCAAAGTGAACGAATCTGGTACTTCCTGTATTTTACGCTGCGCATTTATCAACGGAAATCAATTACTAAACTATCGATAGTCAAACATTCTATCGATGCATCGATAGGTTTTCGTTTCTACCATCGATAAATTGCTATCGGAGACTCAACAATTGCAATCCAACGATAGTTCGATGCATCGTTAAAGCCCTAATATGTAGTCTATTACTTTGCTTTATATACACTATACAGGCAGGTTTGAACGTCATCAGCTCATAAAGGCTTTCTTCTTGCTTTGATGGCAGTATATACGTAAATATTTAAATCTGGACCAGACAATTCAGTCAATAATTTCATGAGCAACTATCCATGTTTTCTTGGTGACATCAACTGTCACACAGCCTGACCGTCCAATCCATAAAGTTGCCCCTTACAGCCAGTATTGGTTGCTCAGGACTATTCTAACCTGCAGTCCCCATGGGGAACACAACAATGAGAAGTAAATGTGGTTACTGACCCTCACCTCCTTGTCTGGTCGGGAACACAGACTGACTGAAGTACAAGCTGGGATCATCCTCGTCTGTCTCGAACATGCCCTACACACAAAACACAAACTTGTTTACTTTATAATGTTTGACTGCCTATATGGCTGAATCATGAATAGATCATAAGGTCATTCTGAAACACATTTTACAGACCCATTCTTCAAAGCAGTCTCAAGGCTTCAACTCTGTAAACTGTCTTTTAATTTTGTTGCTGTTTAATGTCACACTCGGCCATGTTCCAACATGATGACAGCCTGTTCATGTTTGAGTCTGAACAAGACCATCCTATGAACATATTATCAATGATACATGCCATCAGGTCACAATGACATATCATTGCAAGTCACTGAACAACCAGTGCTGAGGACCTACCTAAATAGACAATCCCCACATGGACCACTGGGTCAGGACAGTCATATTGCTCTGATTGCCACTGTGATCGTGCCTGATGAGACACTTTCCAGCATGTGTGAGTTTAGTTTTATGCTGCTCTCAGCAATATTCCAGCTATATGGCGGCAGTCTGTAATTAATCGAGTCTGGACCAGACAATCCAGTGATCAACAGCATGGGCATCGATCTACGCAATTGGGAAACAACGACGTGTCAACCCAGACTCATTCATCGCCTCTTACGACAAGCATGGGTTACTGAAGATCAATTCGAACCTGGATCTTCACGGATCTTCAGCATTAACTACTCTAGAATTTTGCGTAACATTAATGAATTCGATTGTCTGTTTCGTTGGACTTCTACTCACATGTTTTCTTGTTTGGGATTTTGCTTGTGGCATACCAATCATGCCGAAGTTCCTGCGGGGACCCGGGGATGGATCTGTAACATTCTTCTTGTTCATGCTGAATCTGAAAAACATAATATCCACAAATGATCTTTATGATATACTTATTATCTACTTTACACCCTACTAAAGTCTATGTAACAATAACTATGGTAACAAACAGCCATGCACTTCATATCTTTAACAAACTTTCACATGTAGGACATGTTTGCGACACAATGACATGTATGACATTGATGTGACACACAGACACGTATGACATCTGTGAGACATCCTGGCATGTGTGACAACCTCAGATGTATGGGATCTGCATGACACCCTGACATTTATGACAATGATGTAATACCCTAACATGTATGGCATTGATATGACACCCTAACAGACATGATGCTGATATGACACCCTCACAGGTATGACATTGATATGACACCCTAACAGACCTGTATGACATTGATCACACTCTAACATGTATGACATTGATGACACCCTAACAGGTATGACATTGATATGACACCCTAACAGGTATGACATTGATATGACACCCTAACAGGTATGACATTGATACGACACCTTAACAGTATGACATTGATATGACACCCTAACACCTGTATGACATTGATATGACACCCTAACAAGTATGACATCAATGACACCCTAACAGGTATGACATTGATATGACACCCTAACAAGTATGACATCAATGACACCCTAACAGGTATGACATTGATATGACACCCTAACACCTGTATTGATATGACACCTTATCAGTATGAAATTGATGTAACACCCTAACAGGTATGATATTGATATGACACCTTAACAGTATGAAATTGATGTAACACCCTAACAGGTATGACATTGATATGACACCTTAACAGTATGAAATTGATGTAACACCCTAACAGGTATGACATTGATACGACACCTTAACAGTATGAAATTGATGTAACACCCTAACAGGTATGACATTGATATGACACCCTAACAGGTATGACATGGATATGACACCCTAACAGGTATGACATGGATATGACACCCTAACAGGTATGACATTGATATGACACACTAACAGGTATGCCACTGATATGACACACTAAAAGTACTCAGTACATCTACATTAAGCATACCTACTTATACTGTGGCACCAGAGTGAGTTGGTAATATACTGAAGGAAAACATAAGGGATCACATGAGAGCACAAGTGTTCCTTTATTTTTTCCAAGGTTTCTTCACAAGCTTTAATAGCACAGCTTGTGAAGAAACCTTGGAAAAAATAAAGGAACACTTGTGCTTTTATGTGATCCCTTATTTTTTTCCTTCAGTATATAATCATATTTAAGATATCATGATACCATCAGACATGTGGCACACAGAATTGTACTGACTGACATTGTAATGCCTTTCCACACAATTATACATGCAGGATTTGATTTTAACAGCAGTCATAATAGACATCGCTTGGCATCAGTGACTGGAAAGGGCAACTGCCATCCCGACAGTTACAATGTTCAAAACCCGACAGAAACTCAAATCTTGTTGAACTTGATAATAGTCATGATACTGATGCATCTTGAAACTGCCACTGCTCATTTGGTCCCATTTTGAACTGATGTAAAACAACAATCGTGACTATGTTAACGTGAAAGAACAGAACATACAGGTTATATATATACAAAAATGAATTGCAATACCATTCTCAGCAAATATATCACATGAATATTTATGAACTAAGTACCAAAGACTGTCTCAAACAACCTAGCATTCAACATCACAAACTTACACAAACCAGTCCCCTATGTTACACTGACCATGGCAGACAAATACACATGTAAGCCTGGAAGCAGCAGCCTGAATTAAATAGGTTAGCTGGGGTTCAATGAACTGCAGGTTGAACCATCAGTCTAAGTTGAACCCAGTGAATATTTAATGGCATCCAAGCTTCTAGAAAATCAATACAAAAGCCTGATATGGCAAGTGTGCATCAACCATACCTAAGATCTTGTTAAATGACAATGTACATGAGTGATTGAACACCAGAGCTCCAGATAAGTTTTAGCTCATGTGGGTGCTGTACCCACTGTATATTTTTGGGAGTGGGTATTATGAATGTTGAGTGGGTATTTCATTTTCCGTTACCCACTGCTTTCAAATATGTGGGTATTTCAGTGATTTTACTCACCTAAGTATATGTCATTGAGTAAGTTAACTAAGCAGGTATGTACTGCCTTATGTCACACCTAATCAGAACCAAATTAAATATAATGGAAATGATTTCATAAAAACTCACTCATCCTGTACTGACAGTACAACTCTAGTCCTATACTAACAATACAACTTGATACCAATCGATGTCTTTTTCATTACGCAAGTGATTTTTATAGATATATTCCATATGGATATGTTTTAAACTTTGTGCGGATCTAACATTTTAAATGCGTTTTTGGTACGCAACAATTATTTACTAGTAACACAATGACTATAGCCAACAACTAGTAACACCATGACTATAGCCAACAACTAGTAACACAATGACTATAGCCAACAACTAGTAACACCAAGACTATAGCCAACAACTAGTAACACAATGACTATAGCCAACAACTAGTAACACCATGACTATAGCCAACAACTAGTAACACAATGACTATAGCCAACAACTAGTAACACAATGACTATAGCCAACAACTAGTAACACAATGACTATAGCCAACAACTAGTAACACAATGACTATAGCCAACAACTAGTAACACAATGACTATAGCCAACAACTAGTAACACAATGACTATAGCCAACAACTAGTAACACACGTGACTATAGCCAACAACTAGTAACACCGTGACTATAGCCAACAACTAGTAACACAATGACTATAGCCAACAACTAGTAACACCGTGACTATAGCCAACAACTAGTAACACCGTGACTATAGCCAACAACTAGTAACACCATGACTATAGCCAACAACTAGTAACACAATGACTATAGCCAACAACTAGTAACACCGTGATTATAGCCAACAACTAGTAACACCGTGACTATAGCCAACAACTAGTAACACCATGACTATAGCCAACAACTAGTAACACAATGACTATAGCCAACAACTAGTAACACCATGACTATAGCCAACAACTAGTAACACAATGACTATAGCCAACAACTAGTAACACCATGACTATAGCCAACAACTAGTAACACCATGACTATAGCCAACAACTAGTAACACCATGACTATAGCCAACAACTAGTAACACAATGACTATAGCCAACAACTAGTAATAGCACAACTAGTAACTATAGCCAACAACTAGTAACACCATGACTATAGCCAACAACTAGTAATACAATGACTATAGCCAACAACTAGTAATACCATGACTATAGCCAACAACTAGTAATACCGTGACTATACCCAACAACTAGTAACACAATGACTATAGCCAACAACTAGTAACACATGACTATAGCCAACAACTAGTAACACCATGACTATAGCCAACAACTAGTAACACAATGACTATAGCCAACAACTAGTAACACAATGACTATAGCCAACAACTAGTAACACAATGACTATAGCCAACAACTAGTAACACCATGACTATAGCCAACAACTAGTAACACCATGACTATAGCCAACAACTAGTAACACAATGACTATAGCCAACAACTAGTAACACAATGACTATAGCCAACAACTAGTAACACCATGACTATAGCCAACAACTAGTAACACAATGACTATAGCCAACAACTAGTAACACAATGACTATAGCCAACAACTAGTAACACAATGACTATAGCCAACAACTAGTAACACAATGACTATAGCCAACAACTAGTAACACAATGACTATAGCCAACAACTAGTAACACAATGACTATATGACTATAGCCAACAACTAGTAATACCATGACTATAGCCAACAACTAGTAACACAATGACTATAGCCAACAACTAGTAACACAATGACTATAGCCAACAACTAGTAACACAATGACTGTAGCCAGTAACAATAAACACCACCACTATAACAAGCAACTAGTAACACCATGACTGTAGCCAGTAACAATAAACACCACCACTATAACAAGCAACTAGTAACACCATGACTGTAGCCAGTAACAATAAACACCACCACTATAACAAGCAACTAGTAACACAATCACTTGAGCCAGCAACTATACTACCCATCAAAAGTTTAAACTCACTAGTGTAAATGTAGCCACTTACTTCAGTCAACTGTTCTATACTAGATTTTGCAAAATATTTCATATTGACTAAAGGTACTGTTTACACATGAACTGATGTATTGTAAAAGAGATTGGTAACGTTGAAAAGATTATTGTCATGAGTTCAATAAATGATGAAAATTAGCGAATTCTTAAAGGTCACATGCAACCAAAAATTCAAACATAATTAAAACACAATTATCACTTATTCGTGACATATAATATACATTGCTGGTTATGAAAAAACATATAAACAAAATTATAAGTGTACAATCCCAAATCAAAAGTGCAATATTGTGTACTTGGTTTACTTCCCAAGAAACGAAGCAGCCGGGATACCGAACCCAGTCAGAGCGGGTGGGTGTGCACTCAAGTGTAATGGCTGGTTCATTTGCATATGCCCTCACGGCTTATTGTGTGTGTATATGTAGAGATGTTGGGTTTTGTAAATACATGCTCATTTTTTGTGGATAACATTTTGCAATCAACAGACATCATAACATGTCATGTGTTCAACTATCACACCTGCCCGTCTGTGGAATTACATAATGTGACAGAGACCGAACTCGGGCCATAAATCAATGCATTTTGTTTATGGTGTATAGCCTGATTGGTGTTAAATTCAAATTGCATGTGGTCAGTGATAGCAGTTGTGTATTGAATATTTTCATTAGCAGACAGGCAGGCAGACAAACAGGTGTCAATAAAACAAGACATTGAGTTTTGTCTGTGACAACGACATATCTATATCACAGTTAGAAATTCTGTCAACGCTAAATAATGACATTGCTTTTAAGTATCGAACTGAGAAAGTGACTCGGTAAGAAGAACGTGTGATGAAATTATATAAACAGTTAATTTACTGTCATAACATATAAAAAGCTCGCGCCTGTGAGATTTCAACTGACTGACCGAGTTTAGTTTTACGCCGCTTTTAGCAATATTCCAGCAATATCACGGCGGGGGACACCAGAAATGGGCTTAACACATTGTGCCCATGTGGGGAATCGAACCCGGGCCTTCGGCGAGACGAGCCAACGCTTTAACCACTAGGCTACCCCGCCGCCCCTGAGATATCAACAAAACATTAGAAAAATAGCTTACACCAAAGCCTTCACCGAGTATTCACCGGACAACCCGCTGCACGAACCTATTTCACTGCGCACGTGCTATGAGCGCAACCCAGCTGTTGAAACCAGTTTTCCCCAGAAAAGTCGGGGGAAAATAAGAGAAACGTTTGAACTCCGATTTCGCGCGGTTTTTTTCATCGCGTTATTTTTCAAATTTATAAGCTGAATTTGCATTTTTGACGATTTGTTTCGGTAAGTCAATACCGAAAGGTATCAGAATCTGCAAAGTTGTGTTTTACGTTGCATGTGACCTTTAAGTTCAAATTACATGTGGTCAGTGATCGAAGTTGTGTATTGAATATTGTCATTAGCAGACAGGCGGGCAGACATAGGTGTCAATAAACAGACATTGAGTTTTGTCTGTGACAACGACATACTATATCACAGTTAGAAATTCTGTCAACGCTAAATAATGACATTGCTTTTAAGTATCGAACTGAGAAAGTGACTCGGTAAGAAGAACGTGTGGTGAAATAGACAAATGAAATTATATAAACAGTTAAATCCGTAATCTACTGTCATAACATATAAAAAGTTCGGGCCTGTGAAATATCAACAAAACATTAAAAAAATAGCTCACACCAAAGCCTTCACCGAGTATTCACCGGACAACCGGCTTCCAAGCTGTGCGAACCTATTTCACTGCGCATGTGCTATGAGTGCAGCCCAGCCCAGCTGTTGAAACCACTTTTCCCCAAGCTGGGAAATTAGTGAATTGTTTGAACTCCGATTTCGTGCGGGTTTTTTCATCACGTTATTTTTCAACTTTATAAGTTGAATTTGCATTTTTCATGATTTGTTTCGTAAGTCCATACCGAAAGGTATCAGAATCTGCAAAGTTGTGTTTTACGTTGCATGTGACCTTTAACAAAACTTTACACCAAAACGCAGCTGTTCACATGCACGATTTTTGTATATGCTTTTCAGCAATTTGATGCATGATCCTCGTGCAATTCATCTAAAAAAGTTTGCAGTTGGTTCCCCCAAGTTAGTGGAGAAATTCATCTTCGATGTAACCATATATATTTACATAACATATAGTGAGTGCTTTAAGTGAGTCTAAACGTTTGATGGGTAGTACAGTAACAAGTAGCACCCTGACAAGAGTCAGCGCCATGTAACATTGTGACAACAGCTGACAGCATGTAACACCATGACGACAACCAGCAGTAATCACAGCCATGACCACAAGACTGGGGACACTACAGCATACAGTGTGTGTAAATCATGTGACCAACTTAATAAGCTTACAGGGACAACAAAGTAGATGATAATTTCAGAGTGAAGCAACCCTGGGACAGTCAACTGGACACTTGTTAGTGACAACACTTCACCATGTTTACATTTCTATGGTGGTTGTTTAAAGCAACAATCAGCACAAGTTGAGCTATATCACCAGACCTGTTATTAAACAAGTCTTGCCAAGGCAAATCAGTGTTTGATAGTAAAGCCATCAGGTTTTATTGACAAGTGTGACATACACATTGTTACTATGGAGTTGATTTACTGATACTCAAAATTCCAATCACCCCTCTTTGTCTCAAGTAATACTCTTTGTCTCAAGTTCCATAGTTGACCTGAGAGCGATTAAAAGAGCAGATTTAAAGACATTAATCTTTGGACGACTTCTTGCATGTATATAATACTTCTGTATAAGGAACAGTGAATGGTGAATGGAACAAATTGTGTTCAAACATGGTGGGTGGAGTGAGTGAGTGAGTGAGGTCAAATGCCACTTTAAGGTACCCCAGTCTTGGCAGTGTGATGTCAGAGGAAAACCCAAAGTGTGCATTAATTTTAACAATGCTGACATAAGTGAAATATTGCTCACTGTGGTGTAAAGAGTCTGAAACACAAGTCAAGCAAACAGCTTATTTGAGTAAGCCCAGTTGACAACATTCCATACAACAGTATGCACCTTTAGCCTCTCGTCCAAAGCCACTAGTCTTGGAAACTTCTGTTCCGGGTAGTAGGAACAGTTAATAACAGTCCACACAATAACACTAAACTCTACTGAAAATGATACAGAGCCAACTCTGGGCTAGCAGTCTACACTTCTTTATACAGACAGTGATAACAGTAAAATGTACAATATTGATAACAAGTGACACATTTGGGTTAATATCAAATGTTTGTCAAGACTGATATGTATGGTACTGTGAGAGAACTAATGAGAAACCTAATAGCCTTGGGTTTGTCTGGTCCGAACATTTACAGGTTATTGTGAAACAGTGTAACACAACAACAAACACTATCCCTGTGTGGCTGGGGTTTTGAACAACAGCAATCATACACACACTGTTTACCTCATGATGTTATCAGAGTGAGTTTAGTAGTTTTACGCCTCTTTAAGCAATATTCCAGCAATATCACGGCGGGGGACACCAGAAATGGGCTTTACACAATGTACCCATGTGAGGAATCAAACCCGGGTCTTTAGCGTGACAAGCAAACGTTTTAACCACTAGGCTACCTCGCCACCCAGGTGTTATCAGATGTACAATCAGTAAAACAAAAACCGCCAGCTCCTTGCGATCACCAACAACTAGTGGCCAACATCCTTACAAGCAGCGTGACCACCTCACCCCAATAAAAGACAAAAATGAAAAAATTATATCTTTCCATTCAAATTCCCAGAGAAGCTATGTTCATGTCTTATTATAATTTAACCATTTCAGTTACAGCATGTACAAAGTTGTCACATGAGTTTCTTCTTCAACCATCACATCTCCTTCAGCAATGAGTGAGTGAGTATAGTTTTACGCTGCTTTTGGGCTTCACACATTGTACCCACATGGGGAATCGAACCCGGGTCTTCGACGTAACGAGCCAACGCTTTAACCACTAGGCTACCCAACCGCCCTCTTCAGCAATGAAGTAATGTATTACAAGGGTGGTGATTATAATGAGACGATGGCCTCAGATCATGATGAAGCAACTGAGCAGGTGAGTTGAGTATAATGCCTCTTTGAATGGCATTGAAGTTATATCAAAAGGTGTCGGCTTAGTGTGGAGGAAAGCCTTGAGTGATGCAGGTGTTAGACATTAACCGCTTTGGAGAACCCCACAAGCAGAGGTGAGTGAGTATGGTTTTAGCAACATTCCAGCAATATCATGGAGGACGTCACCAGAAATGTACCCATCTGGGGAATCAAACCCAGGTCTTTGGTGTGGCTAGCTAACACTTTAACCACTAGGCTACCCCACCACACAAGTGTGTGATGCTGACAAAATTAGAAATATATCTGGAGCAAACAACAATCATAATCATAGGTTTACAAGAAATGCAGCTCTGCACAGCAAAATGCAGCACCACCTATTCCCCATGTATGAATAAGCATTTGAAAGCTTTACATGAAAATATCTTCAAAACCCATTACCAGAAAGCATGATGAGTATCCTATGACAAACGCCTCCCTTGGAAATAAGTCTCATTGAACAAATTTTCAAAATTATGTGTTTAAGCGTACATAATCGGTTCTTTCAATATAAAAATTTGGTCTTGGGTTACCTACATTCTTGGGTGAAATGGTAGGAGACAAAACTTTCCATGAACAGATTGTACAGTTATAAACATGAACAGTAACAAACACCAAACAATGTTTCGTTAGAATATCATGCATTTACACATACCATGCACTGAAATAGATTCAAGTTAAACAGAATGTCACAGATGAGATGCTGTTAAACACTTCTTAGTACTCCTGGAACAATTCCATTTAGTTATATCTAAACAAGCTAGAGGATGGAACACTCGTGCTGGTTGGAAACAGTCAACAGGGGTTAGCACCAACCAATGGACTGGCTACTTACTGGGCATTCCAAGACAACGGATCAGCCCCAAACCTTCTGTCACCAACAAAAGATTGGAGGCATTGTATTAGTCATAATTAAATCTCATGTTGTAATGATTTCATACACAAATGACTTCTTCATAAATGATCAAGCCTGTGCCTCAATAATTAGCACAGCTATTTTTTTCCAACATTATACAGAATCATTAACAGTTGATTTCTAGACTCATAATAATTGTACCTACATTTTCAAACAAACGTTCACAATAACTCCTTTGCTGCCCTCAACGTGCAGAATTCCTCAAAATTAATTTACAGTGTTATATTATTGCAAATATCATAAACAAAGTTAAAAGTTCTACAACTACAAAAATCTATCTACTTCTAAAGAAAGGTAACCTAATTCAGAGTCCAAGCCATCTTCATTCTGACATTTGTTCAATTAATTACAGTAGTCAAATATTCCCAAATAATTATTGTTCTTGATGAAATTTCAATCACAAATACAACATTTAAAGATACATTACATCACACTTACAATAAAAAGCATATTTTTACATGTCTATTAATGAACCACATACTCATAATGATATTTTAAATGGTCCAGGAGGCATGGTAAAATCACATTGATTCTTGATGCTTAATGGCTTGAACACTGAACTGGCTAACTATCTACAGTGCTAAAAAGTATATGAAGTATACTGACTGTGATCCTGGTGCTCCTCCCCCTCCACCGCTGCTTGGCCCACCCCCAGTACTGCCCCCACCCCCAAGGCCTGTCATACTGTCTAACTGGTTCCGAAAGGTCATGACTGTTGTCTCTTGGAATCAAGTAGCTAGTGGCCTGTCAAAATACAGTAATAATGCAATATCAGTTTCACACATTATTCATAAAGTTTTGAAGCAACTCAAACACCTAAAATCTGATAACAATTCTGATTTTCAGCAACATGATAAAGAGTGGTGTAAATGTTCACCTCCTAACATGCATAAAGACAAACCTAGACATGTATTCAATTACTGACTTCGTCTCATTAGAAGTATACAGTCTTATTAGACTCACTGTCTTATCGGATAATGTGTCAGCAATATTTTCATTTGCTTGATAACAGTGTTAGGATCTAAACAGATAGGTTGCATCTTTTGCAATGAAGAAGTTGTCTATCCATAAAAAGGTGTTCCTCTTCATCAAACCAGCTTCTAAATACCACTTAAAGTAGAGGTAGTATTCTTATCTTAACATCCTATTTAAGTATAATGTGAGTGTCTGAATCACCAATCTGCGAACATCATAACATTCTTACCTGAAATTGTTATGGTATGTGTTATATTAGCAACATATATCCATGACTACCAATTAACACATCAGACAAAAAGAAACAGTATATATACAAATACACAATTGAATGAATCCGGACTTGATTGGGGAAAATACCTGCTGCACCAACTATAACAGACAATTAATTGCAGCATAAACATCTTTTGAGCATCTTGAATACTGCACTCACAAATAATTCGTATCAGGCTGATGTAAAACAGAACATGAACCGTCTGCCTCAGCATATTTCTATGCATTTCATGGTCTTATCAAGACGCATCAATAACCCAAGGTGACATATGCACGCATGTTCAAATAATAATTTGGCTTTGTTGAATGTGACAGTAGTAACAGCTTGTCTTTGCAGGTGCAATTTTGGGACGAGTTATTGTCACTCTTCACAAACGCTTTGCAGTTCCTTTTGACAACCTTATCCTCAGTCTGAAATACATAAGACTAAAAGTACAAAGATGTACACACATATTAACAAACCTTTCGTATAACTGGTAAATTTTATAATTTTTAACCCAAGATGGCATGAAGACATTGTGCGAAATTGGGCATACTTAATCGACCTTGACCTTCCCTTTTATAAATTTGATTTGGGAAATTATCACATCGAGTGTGGCATTTGTGATAGTCTAAAAACAAAGTAGAGAATCCCAATTAACGACATATGGATTACCTGGAGACAAATGTAGTTTATCTTTTTTATAAATCCTCCGATTTCATGATTCAGCTAGTTAAAACCTCTTCTGATGTGAAAACCATGATTGTAAATTCTATACCAGCGCCATCTATCGATACAAAAGCAGAAAGAAGCGAGTTACCTCCCTTAGACTGAACGACTTCATCATCACTTCTGGGTGCTATATGCGCGATTGTCTTACTGAGGCGACGTTTTATTGACTTCAATCCCATAACTCAACTTTTACTTGACTTTATTGTCTTCTCTGTATTTAATCACTCAGGCTTTTAAGTAATATTGTTACCTGGGTACATTAATCATAACTTATATAAATATATTAGCTTCTGTATGTAGTCACAAAAATCTGTCTAAGTAAACTTAGGCTCAGTATTATTCGTTACATTGCTATACTGAATAGCAGTGTAACGAAACATACTGAGCCTAAGTTCACTTAGACTGTCATAAAAATACAGAAATTGTTAACTATAGCAATTTTCATGTCGTCATTTTCTTCCAACTTCTAAACGAGTATTGCAGACTTCTGTGGTACCAGTAAACGGTATTTGTTCGTGCCAAACCGAACAGCACAGTTCTAAATTTGACGCATTCATCAATTATATTTTCAACTCCATGAATCCATGAAATGCGGTATATCAAACCAAATTGCTGACTGATTATAACTGCCTGTATAGTGACGTTCTTATCTGACACGTGGGAGCTTTCGTCTTCTGTAAACGCAATGTTCGTAACAGTCGTAAGCGAATAATAAAAATAATCTTTATCTCAATATTTATAAGAAATACTTTACATATGTGTGCCACGAATGCATGCATTGTAGGTAGCTAAAGCTCTATCTTGGTTCTAATAGGATAGTTTACTAGTCCCAAAATTGTGGTAATATTATGGGGTCGCTTTCGCAAAAGCTATAGGACTATTGACCTTTATTGTTCCCTTTTTATTTATTAATGAAAAGCAAATCCTGAACTTGTACAGTTGTTTGACTGGATTTTGTACAGAAGATATCATCTTGATTTCTGACACAGTGTATGGACTACAAGGACATATCAGTTATCAGTGTCTGAAAATCCTTTTGTGTCAGTTACCATTTGAGCGTTAATGAGGATAAGACCACTTTAAAGCAGTGCACAAATCAAAATGGACGTCTTAAGTTGGACAGTTATTATTATGATCAGGTTCTGGAACAGTCCTAACATATTAAGTGTTTTTGTCAGAGTTGTCTCTTGGATTTAAACATTCATACCATTAGGATTAACATTAGACGAATACATTATAGCACCTGTACCAAATATGTAACTTCAATACAGTATACTGAATCTTTACTCTAACATGTTTCAAACTTAGGAACACAAAGGCATATTTTAGATACAGTTCGCATCACCTGATTTGAATCAGAAAGGTTTTCTTAGGAAAGAGAGAATTTGTAAAGAAACGTTAACAGAGGAGGAGGCTATCGTTTCATTTTAAAGTGTAAAACATATGATGATCCCAGAGCACTGTTTAAGACACCAACATATTATATCTCTGCTACTAGACACACTTTTAATGTATAAGGGACTTACACAATACAAATCAATGTACATGTATAAGAAACTTGGAGACAACCTGTCATCCCGAGTCACGTACAACTCCACGGTTAAATATTTCTGTGCGTAAACAATGTTTGTGACGATCGTTTCAGGAATCTCATTCGCTTGAAACAACATAAGAATAAGAAAAACAACCGCCAGTAATGTATATATTTACACACATGATCCGAAATGCAAACTGGATGTGGAGGAAGCAGGTTTCACGTATTTTAACGTGTGCATGTTATTAGATTTTGAGATAAACGATCACGATATGTTAATAGTTGAAGCTTTTGAATCCCTGCATAGGATGATGCAGTGTATGTGGAGTGAGCGTTGCTGGGTGAACTTAGTAGTGGTGGTAGTAGCAGTACCTGAGGCAGCAGCAGCAACGACAGCAGTAGCAGCAGCAGTAGTGAGGTGAGGTGAAATTGGGCTTCACGTCGTGCTTGAGAATATTTCGGTCATATGACGACAGCAGCAGCAGTAGTGGTAGTAGCAGTAGTAGTAGTAATTGTAGAAGCAGCAACAAAAAAAACATATAAAAATTCTTTTTTTTTAGTAGTAGTAGTAGTAGTAGTAGTAGTAGTAGTAGTGGTGGTGGTAGTAGCACCAACAGAGGCATTAGGAGCAGCGTCGGCAGAACTAGTAGTATTAGTAATCAACAGAGGCAGTAGTAATAGTAGTAGTAGTAGTAACAGTAGTAGTAGTAGTGGTGGTGGTGGTGGTAGTAGCACCAACAGAGGCATTAGGAGCAGCGTCGGCAGAACTAGTAGTATTAGTAATCAACAGAGGCAGTAGTAATAGTAGTAGTAGTAGTAATAGTAGTAGTAGTAGTGGTGGTGGTAGTAGCACCAACAGAGGCAGTAGCAGCAGCGTCGGCAGAACTAGTAGTATTAGTAATCACCAGAGGCAGTAGTAATAGTGGTAGTAGTAGTAATAGTAGTAGTAGTAGTAATAGTAGTAGTAGTAGTGGTGGTGGTAGTAGCACCAACAGAGGCATTAGCAGCAGCGTCGGCAGAACTAGTAGTATTAGTAATCACCAGAGGCAGTAGTAATAGTGGTAGTAGTAGTAATAGTAGTAGTAGTAGTAACAGTAGTAGTAGTAGTAGTAGTGGTGGTGGTAGTAGCACCAACAGAGGCAGTAGCAGCAGCCTCGACAGAACTAGTAGTATTAGTAATCACCAGAGGCAGTAGTAATAGTAGTAGCAGTAGTAGTAGTAACAGTAGTAGTAGTAGTGGTGGTGGTAGTAGCACCAACAGAGGCAGTAGCAGCAGCCTCGACAGAACTAGTAGTATTAGTAATCACCAGAGGCAGTAGTAATAGTAGTAGCAGCAGTAAAAGTGGTGATGGATAGGGACAGTGTTCACTTCGCGTGCAAATCTAAGACGAAATATCATATCAAAGATTGACACTAACATACTTGAAACGATAATCACCGTCGTTATAATGCTGCACGTTTTGCTGTACCCCATAATGTTCCATGTCCGTGCTCCCTATAGCAATATGTACAATGTATATTTGTTAATGCAGTCGTAGAATCTGGAAAGCATTTATTGAAAACTTTATTCCAAAGATTACCGAGTAGATAACTACTATATTTCAGCGGAGAGACATTTGAGTGTTGTCATGACAACAGTCAGGTTCCAAATGCCAGGGAGCAACCATGTTGTTTCTGAAAAGTGGAGAAGTTCTGAGACGTTCAACATTTTGTGCTGTTTTCGTCCATAATATGATAAAACTATCACATTTTAATCAACATTGACAATGACGTCATTGAGCAATTAACTTTTCTGTTTCTTTGAGAGAAATAACAAAAAAAGGAAAAGATATAAATATGACATTTGCGTAATTGACGTCACTGGTTTCAGTGTTTTATTAGCAAAACGACATTGGTGTTGACAAACCAGCTGCAAAACATGTTTGTATCATTAAATGACTCCTACATAGTTAATATTTCATGACTGTTACTTTTTTCACGTGTCAATACGTTAGCAATATTTCAGCTATTTCAAGGGGGGTGGGTGTGTGTGTGTGTGTGTGTGTTCTGCACCGAGACAGACAGCCTTACAAGTGGTTGACATGAACAACAGCCCACGACGTCGGCTTCGTAGACTACTTGAACGGCAGGTATAGAGATTTTGGGATCCTATATCTAACCCGCAGGCCACAACAGAGGAATGTTATGTCCGTTCACAATGAACATCGA